TGACATCTATAATACCAGTGTATATGTATGTAATCTATACTTCATTATTTATCATTTTAGTGATTAGCCTGTCCGTGCTCTGCCTTGTGCCCTGTCCTGATTTTTGTTTGGTTTCCACCTGGGCTCCTTGCCACTGGTTATTGTTGCTGATTGTGTGGGGGTTGCATTCATTGAACGCCGCCTTTCCTTGTTTATCTTGTTTATCATATTTCATGGGGGTCCATTCGCCCTTTCAGGCACTGAAAGTACGGACCCCTTCTAGTTAAATGCTTAAATTTTCAAGAACTTTGCCGTTTCGAGCTGGGTTGCGGGTGAGGAGATGGTATAAAGATTATAAATACCACTTCCGTTCATGAACAACTTCAAACCGAGTCAGGAACATTTTCAATTTAAACTTATTGGATAACCTTTTAGGTTTTTATTTTGATTCATAAAATTATACAATTCAAGTACATTTATGAAGAAAAATTACTGTTTAAGAAATTTAAGCACATTTTAAGAATAAGTAGACATTGAACAGAGAAAGCCTGTGACCCATTTATCGAGCTATTCGTAACAATTCGTTTTCATAATTCATATTTGGTTATTTGTATGATAAATGTTTAAAATTGACAAAAATTAAGGCACATAATATTCTTGAATACTAAATAATGCTAAATTTTTTGATAAATCCATGTTGTTGTTTTTTTTGTTATAGATATCACATTTTTACATTTATCTTTATCATCAACACCTACATCGTCGCCTTATTCTAAAAATGTCCTAACTCCATTTTTACAAAAAATGAGATAACTGCACATTTATTTTAGTATTAGTTTGTTCTATCTCCAAAACAAAACTTGTGAAGATTTACGTCATACTTTTGTAGATATAGCGTCTGTATTTTGTTCTATGTCCAATGGAAAGCTTTGCTGTTAGCCTTTTTTCGTCGTATCTCCAACACATGTAACACTTTTAGGCTAATCTTTCGTGCCAGCCAATCAAGTTGAAAAATATATGTCATGTGACCTGAAGGGGCCTGACAATATAATTGTTCTAACTCCAGTGATAACAACAACAATCGTATCTAAATCAGCCAGCTAACTAGGAAAGTAACAGTTAAAAATGGTTTCTGAAGCATGTAAGTAATATATTTTAGCTTTTATACGTTTTATAAGTGAATTTATATTTTGTATTAGTATTTGTTTCATAGTATTATCATTATTTTATATATATTTCTCAAAGTTTCACAATCACATAGTTTCGGATAACTATATTCGGATATTCGTATGAACTATTTGGAACTATTTGGAGTATCGAACATTGTTGTTGTTTAATTGTTAATGATAATATTTTGTCCATTTCAGGTCAGACTTACTTACATTATCAGATGTTGTCCTTACAGAAATGTTGTCTCTTAGAACATGTGACTGCAGTTAGCAGAACTTCCACAAAACTTTGGAATTTTATATCAACAACATCAAGTCTGTGGGGAAGTTTTGACTTGCCATCAGTTTCAGATAAATCATTGTTTCAAGTCTTAAAATATTCACAAAATAAATAGATATTTAACATTCCAATGGGATCGGAATACCACTGTCTTGTCAAAACATAGATTTTAAGTTTGCATGCGAGTTTCAGTGTTCTCCGGGTCATCAATGATTATATTTATTAGATAATAGCAGAATTCTTAAAGCACAATACGGCATGATCTAAAATGTTGCCGGCTCGGTTTGATTTAGCCTGTTCATGGAATGTCCAGTATCTACGTTGTGCGACAAAAACCAATATGGGAGATCGCAAAATTCACTGGATGTAAAATCTTGAAAACGACGATTTTGCAATCTTGAAAGATTGTTAAGAACTTGAGCAGATATTTTTTCATACGTTGATATTAAACCACAAACAATACTTGAGACTTTGAATGCATGTGGTATTGACTTTAATTGTGTGAATTAAAAAGAATTAATGGTAACATTTTAACATTGATAGAAACGATCGCAAATGTAAACTATGTATATATAACTCTATTGAATCAGAATACCACTTCCTTTTATGTTGTCCAATTTATACTGTTATAAGAACCAAATATTTAGGAAACATTTCATGGCCTACTATACAAAACTTTTCGACTATATTGTCCACTAATAACAAAAAGCTTATTCTTAAATGTGCTCACTATGTTCATAATGCATTTAAGTTGAGGCAACAGTCTCTTGAAGATGTAACTGCTTCTTAATTAGTTTCATTCTTGTGCTCTTTTTGTTATATATTGTATGATGTAATGTTTGTAACTATTTAACTTTTGGCCATATTTTTCATGATACTCTGTTAATGGCCAAAGGTAATGTTTATTTGCCGATTTGCCAATAAAATGAAATGAAATGAAATGATAATATAATTTATATCTGTATTATTTAATCACAATATTAGAGATGGTTACAATCATTTCATTTTTCATTATGGTTCAAAATATTTCAGTTTGTTTTAGCAAGTTCATTGATTAAAAATTTTGTAAAATGTTTGTTTTTCTTTTTTTTATGGCACAATTTTATATTGTTATTATCGAGAAAGGCCCACGTTGGAGATCACGTGAATGAATTTACACTTTGACATAGTAATTAATAATAATAATAATAAATACCACATTTATATAGCGCCCTTTTCATTAAAATGTTCAAAGGCGCTTTACATCAATCATATATGTCTAAAACAATATAAATGAACAGGATTATGAACATTAAAAATATTTTGCATTAACTAATTAAAAGTATAAATTATGGAATTATTTTTACATATTAATACAATATAACTTAAAGATCCTTAAAACTCACTTTACAATATTATTGTCATACATTAAAATTGTCTTCAATATATAAATGTGTAAGAAATAATGTGCTTTTTAACATAAACTCATAAATAAATATTAAAAGCTAGAGTGGTTGAATCGCTGACACTGAATGACTTTATCTTCGTAATTTACGAAGATAAAGTCATTCAGTGTCAGCGGTTCAACCACTCTGGCTGAAAATGTTCTTTAGAATGTAAAAATCTACTAATATTCTATAGTAAAATTATTACTCTTAAAAAATGCTAACTCAAAAAGTATTTACAATTTTAGCGTTACTTTGTCATATCTCCGCAAACTCATTTTTAGAGTAATTTTTTAATCTAAAAATAAACATTTTTGGTCTATCTCCAATTTTTTTTTTTAATTTTTACAATTACTGCAAATTATAAAGGTATATAACAAAGTGCTTTCATCACATGTTGACATCTATAATACCAATCCAGAAGTTCACACTGTTAGGAGTTATTAAATAAAAGTTACAACGTCTTGAACCTTTAACCCCTTTTTCCCAAAAAAGAGGAAATTGTAGATACACCATTTTTAGAATAGGGCGACGACATGCTTATGTTACACTTCATTAGGATGCGTCATCTCTAAGGATGCGTCATCTCTATAAAATTCAGGGATTTTGATTAATCACTGATGGGGATTTATGAAATCCCTGATTTCTCTCTCTCTCTCTCTCTCTCACTCTCTTTTTATTTTACATGAATTCCCAGACAAGATATTTTGCTTGGTAACAGGGTATGTATTTATGTTGTATATATAAGAGTTCCGGACATTCCTGTTGGTTCCCACGCTGACAATTTATTCAATTTATCAATGTCTTTAATTAATGCGGTGATTTATCACTTATCTCAAATATCTCATATAAATCCTTTTAGTCACGATCTTTTCCCAACTAACTGAATATTTTCAGTTTATGAATTATAATTTTTAGCTGAATCATGTGAACAAAAAACAACAGATGTCTTGTCGTGACCCGATCATTGGCATCCAAATAGTTAATCTTTTGAACCGTGGGGTCAATCGGTTGTTATACCATTACAGTAAGTACTATATTTGGCCTGTACATATAGTGATATATATCATGTCCCAGACAAGATATAATAATATTCAATCATAAAATAGTATCTTTAACATTGTACAGTTTTACCGGAGCACCAACCTATTCAAATATTACATCGCAGACTACTTTACTAATTATATGATATTCTCAGTTATTTTACACAAAGCCCCTCACCACTTCTTGTATTTATTGATAATTATTAATTTAATACATATCTAAATAACTGCCTAAGGGGCGTCCGTGGCCGAGTGGTTAAGGTCGTTGACTTCAAACCACTTGCCCCTCACCTCTGTGGGTTCGAATCCGTACAGGGACATTGGATTCTTTCATGTGAGGAAGCTATTCATTCAGCTTACGGAACATCGGTGGTTCTACTCAGGTACCCGTTCGTGCCTGAAATAATGCACGGAAGGGCACCTGAGGTCTTCCTCCACCAGTAAAGCTGGAACGTCGCGATATGACCTATACTGTGTCGATGTGACGTAAAACCCAAAACAAAATAACTGCCTGGTCATTGACATCTTTATCACGTGTCATCGCTTTTCAACGACGTGGAATCCCTATATAACGTCCAAAAAGGCAAAATTAAAAATGTTGCAGTCTCGGTTTGATTGAGCCTGGCAAGTTTTGTTTCATCTCAAATGCCAACCGAAAGCTCTTAATTTGAAATGCACCTGCTACTAATTTATGACATCACGGCTTTACATTATAGCAAAAGTTCCTCGTGCATATTATATAAATCATACAGTTCTCGTGCGTACATTGTCAAAAAATGAATAAATAAAAATAAATATTATAGTTTGTAATGTCAATATTATATACATCAAATCATATTTGAGATATCATAATTTAAAAAGGTCTGCGTAAGGCTAGCAATAGAAACAAGTTAAGTTCTCATGAAAAGAAAATAGTGGCCTATTTTAAATAGGCTACCTATTTTCTAAATACTGGGTTCTCACAGATTTTTAAACCTCCAGTATTGTTTTTTTTTTTATTATGACACGTGTTGTTATTTTTGGACTGGACATATTACAAAATGTTTTAGAAAATGTCAAGAGAAAAGCGAAAAGGGTATATGTATACCGCAACAGATACAGGAGTTAGACATACTCGGCAAATTAAAGCGTCTGAAAAACTAGGATTAGTCCAAAATGCAACTAAAATCATCGGGGAATTTTGCATTTATTGTGGGTTTAATTACCCAGTTGATGTTCGATTATGGTAAAATGTTCATAGAAGTTAAATTCTAATAATATTTGAACCACCTTTTAATCTGCTCCTCGTTTCTTTTTTTATACGTGTCCAAATGCAGTTTAAAATTTTCGGATATGTGTGTAATTTCGGATAAACACAAAATTAAAGGTGTTAAAGCGACATCTTTCATTGCTACATGTGTAATTATCATTTAAAATGAAAAGAATTATCCACAGAAAACACATTATACAATAATTTCTTTCAGGTATTGCATGTTAAAAATAAATTTTTTAACAGTTTGGTGAATGAGTTATATTGTAATTAGGAAGTACTGTAGCTATAGGAAGTAGCTAGCTGTATGGACCCTTTTAGTCAAATAAAAGTTCTAGCAGAATGGAATCATGTAATGATGTATAGCTAGCTCAGACACAACAGTATATGCTAGCCATTTGGTAGTCCAGTATATCAAACGTTACGGACTTGTTATAGTTTATGCCGATCAAGCCAGATATTTTATGTACATTGCTTTGCAAGAATATCTCAAAGTGATGTCATATTGATAATTCATAGGACTAGCCATTTGGCGGTTTTTATACACCAATCTTTAAGGCTGTGGTTGATGGTGTGGTCGGTCTGGCCTTGTCCGGACCATATTTTGGCCTAAAATATCTGGTTCTTAGCGGGGGAAAAACAACAACAACAAAATAGCAATAAACAACAAAAGCCTGTGGCACTGATTAGCAGTTTGACAATTAACTGAAGGTACGGTAATTAATATACAAACATGACGCTAAACTGAACTGGACACTGTTAATTTACCAGGCACATGTAGAGGTACTACGAAGTCTAATGTCATAATTGGCATTTGTTGACATAGACATGGCTTGGGACAGTTCACCATTTTTGTTTATTCAAAATATAACATCACACTTCTCAAAAAATTTTATTGTTTACATACAAGTATTTTAATACAAATCGTTTAAAATATTAAGATATCATGACATGTGACACAGTTCCATTGGAACCAAATCAATCAAATGAATTTACATTTTCAAAACAAAAGACTGCATACTACTGTTCTTGTATGTAATATTTCATGTATTTGTTTATTTGAGCAGTGTCACGACAAAACCAACATAGTGGGTTTGCGACCAGCATGGATCCAGACCAGCCTGCGCATCCGCGCAGTCTGATCAGGATTCATGCTGTTCGCTATCAGTTTCTCTACTTGAAATAGGGTTTGTAAGCGAACAGCATGGATCCTGATCAGACTGCGCGGATGCGCAGGCTGGTCTGGATCCATGTTGGTCGCAAAGCCATTATGTTGGTTTTGTCGTGACACGGCTCAATTATATAAATAATTATCAGATAAAAATGCAGCTAAAGAATTATAACAATATCAGTTGTTGTTTATTTTTCATCTGTCAAATATTAATTTTTCATATTTAATGTAAAACTGTACATCTGTTAAATGCAATCGGTAGTCAACTTTCACTCTTTAAACTTGCAAATTGCAATGCACAGATCTTTGTAAAAGATCATTGAATATGCCAAAATAACATGTCCAAATATAATGGAAAAATGCTCCTGAGAGCATCCTGGAATAAAAAATGTTCCCTGGGAACATGCCCCTGTACCAACCCCCTCCCCACCTCCTAGAACCACTTAATTGGCTGCACTAATCACAATATTGTGACAATGGACCTGATCTTTTATCAAGTTAATATTTACCATTCTAGAAGGCAGATGACGGAACAATTATCCCCAGAAAGTATAGCAATATACAGGAAATGGTGACACTAATCCTATGATTACTAAATGGGGAAACAGACAAAAGTCCTCCTGGACAAAATCCCTCCTGTCCAAAAATGACAAGGCGGACAAAAGCCCTCCCATGAAAATGACAGGGGTTTTGTCCACCCTGTTATTTTCAAAGGAGGGCTTTTGTCCGCCCAGTCATTTTAACGGGAGGGCTTTTGTCCCCCCTGTGACTTGCTGAGCAGAGGTGTCAAAAACTGTAATTAACAACTGGCAAATATAAATTGAATCCGCAGTCATGCATTAATTAAATGCTCCCCCTTCTGGTATATTCCGGTGGTGAGGGTAAACAAACCAAATACACATTCATTAATTCCCTTTAGAACACCTTGAAATTATAAGGTTATTAAGTCAACAGGTATCAATGCATTGCTGAGGGAACTTAAGGGGTAGTATATCTTGAATACATTAAAAAGATACTTAAAAATTAAAAATAAACAAACTCAAGAATTAAACCTTATAAAATTCTCCAACTACATGTATTTGAATTGCTTTTAATCACAATTGTTAGAGCTTTGAAATTTGGTTGAAAAAATAAAGAGCAGTAAAATGTATTGCACTTTATTGTAACCAAATATTTATGAATTAGAAGACAACTTTATTTAGCTGAATAATGTTTATTATATATACAAAGAAGATAAAATGTTGTTTTTTGAGCTGTAAACATAAATTATAATTTAACTAAAGAAACTCGATATTTGATTCATTTAATGACAGGTCAAGTTTTGTATAATTTCAGTGAGATTTATACTTTTTCTTTTCAGCCTTAGGGGAGAAAAAGGTCCTAGCCACAGTGCCAAACATGAACGTTTTGCTCAATGACGTCCTATTTATGGAAGTTTTGCAGCCATCAGAAATCCGTTACACTTTTAAAATTAGATTAGCAAAAAACTTTGGCATATCCTTTGTAAGTACATTTGCTAAATATCTAAAATTGAGATATATTTCTTTACCTTAATATTATTATTCATGTTACATAGAAAAGTTTCATATAGTTTATGTATTGGCAGTTCAATGTGTTGACTACCTCGAAATTGTATCTTGTCAGTGTGGACTGAAGTGTACTTACCTATTTAATATGTTGCTGTTGGGTGTTTAGTTAATATTAAAGTTCCATGGCTTTTTCTAAAGATTTATTTTAGAATACCGACAAATTTTCCTGTTTTTGCCATATTTCAGGCATATTCACAGTTTTTGAAATTAGTTTCAGCCAACAGCTAGTTGATAGTTTTTATCATTAATTACAATGTATGCTTGTGTGACAATCTTCTAGAATAAGCTTTCAAGTGAATTTGGAATTTTGAATTCTTAGGCTGTATGCATATTATCCAATGTAACATACTTTACATAGATTTAGTGATGTATAATATGAAGGGGTACAATGTCCTTAGTAGAATTTGAACCCAAGTGGTTTGAAATCAGCAACCATTTCCATTCAGTCATATTTGTTAAATGATTTTCAAGTAGACACTGTCATAATTTCAAAGTAAAATTTTAGGTGATAGGTCAAAAGTGGGATTAATTACTATTAGTTTTAAAATAAAAGATGAATGTATGAACTAGTGAAAGATTGAAAGTCTTGTTTGTAAGAGGTTTTAACCTGCACATACATTTTGAGTTTTTGTTATTATTTAATGTATTATACATTACATTGTATATCAATGTTATATGATTGTTGTTCAAATCCAGCCTTTAGGGTTTTGATTATTACAACATATTTTTTCATATTTCTTTTTCCAGCAGCGGAAATACCAGAGCATAGAATTAGCAATAGCAGAACCTTACCATGGGTGCACTCATTTATCAAATACACATTTAGTTAAAGGTAGAATAGTTCTCATTCAAAGAGGGTTAGTATGACAGTGTTTTTTTTTATATAAAATCTTTTTTAAAAGTTTTGGAAATATAGTCCGTAAGTCAGGGCTTTTTTTTCCTCAACATTTTGGGAATGACCCTAGCACTGCTGAAATTCGCAAAACAAAGTGCAGTGTTGGGATTTATAGAGAAACTAATAAAAAGTACTTGACACAGAGTATTATTGAATATAAGAGTATTAGGAATAGTTTCCATTAAAAAAAACACTTTGTATTCATATTTTCTTGTATAAGTAATTTCAAGTGATTTCTTTTTAACTTATACTCCTTATACACTTATGACACCATAGATTTGGATAGTATGGGCTTGATACAATATAAATCAATGCTTTGTTAGTTTGAAAGTTTAACTTCATATCTTAATCTGTCACTGTTGATGAAAAAGTCTCCATGACTGTCTGTGTTATATGTATATGTTATACATCTCTGTTATATGTCTGTGCTATACATCTGTATTATATGTTTGTGTTGTATTACTGTGTTATACATTTTTGTTATATATTGCTGTGACATGTATGTTATACATCTGTGTTATATGTCTGTTATATGTCTGTGTTACACATATGTATTATACATCTGGGTTATATGTGTCTGTTATATGTATGTGTTATATGTCTGTTATACATCTCAGTTATATGTCTGTGTAAAAACATCTGCATTGCATGTCTGTGTTATATGTTTGTTATACATCTGTGTTATATGTCTGTGATATACATCTGTGTTATACATCTGTGTTATACATCTGCATTGCATGTCTGTGTTATATCTTTGTTATACATCTGTGTTATATGTCTGTGTTAGTCACTGACATAGAGGTTATGAATTGTTTTATTTTGTTAGGGAGTGCTCTTTTGTCACTAAAGCAATAAACGCGGAGCAGGCAGGTGCTGTTGGCGTGGTGATAACAGATAATGATGTAAACAATGATCATGCGTTCATTGATATGATAGATGATAATACAGACAGAACTGTCGGCATTCCAGCTACATTTTTATTAGGGAAAGATGGGTATGTATGGGATAATGATGATATATGTTTATCAAAGAATTAAGAACCAGTAAGCCAAGTCACAAGCCACTCAGGCTATTGATTGGCAGTGTCTTCTTGTCCTATAAGATTTTTACAGGCCAAAAAAAAATGTAAACCTTGAAATGGGAAATTTAAATCAAGAATAATGTCACTTATACAACTATTTTGTTATTTTATTTAAGCAATTTGGGATAAATTAGTTGTTCTACTTGAAAATCAGTTATTTTATTTTCAGAAAATTAGGTGATTTGAGTGCTTATTTTTCACATGCCAGTTGGGCTAGTTACTAGGTACATGTACTTGAAAAATGTTATAGGCTTGACCCTAATTCTACTAGGCAATGGGATAAATTCACAGACTGTCATTGGTATTGAAGTTTTCATTGATCAGTAAAGATTTTTATATGTTACAGAAAAGTCAGTTAGTTGGGCAAAATAAAAAGAGTTCACACTGTAATAATTCTTTTTTTCTGGTCCATATTGGTTATTGACTCCAATAAATTGTTTGAAGGTTAAATACAGCTTAATAATAGAATTTAGATTTCCAAACTCATAAAAAAAGAAAAGTGTGATACCAATTTCTGTTGAAAAATATTACAGAAGTAAAGGAAGCCAGGTAAAACATTGATAAGAAGTTTTGTTTTCTTCCCCTTTATAAATGCATGACCAGGTATCAAGTGTTACTGTATCAGGTTTTGTCAATATTTAATCCTTAACCTCCTAAATTTCTTAAAATGAACTTGTCCAGCTTCTATAATCTATTTAAGGAATTGTCCATTACTAATTTTGGGGATATTAGGAAGAATGTTTGAAACAAGTCAGTCTACATTGTAGATCCTGGTTAGACTTGACAGATGTGCAAGCTGGCCTGACAAAGGATGATCACTTTTGGTTCAACAGTTTAATACTTATTTAGTTTAGTTTGATTGAGTTGGAAGCTATAAGTTTATTGAAACAGTCATTTATCTGTTCCTGGAACCAAACAGTACTAAGCAATGAGTGTAAAGCTTCTTACTCAAAATCTGGAAACAATGGCCTGTTCTGAACATTAGATTACAAGTCTGACACGTTGAACAGTTTAAGAATTTACATGTTTTATCTTGAGTCTGTTCCTACTTCATCACATGTTGTACTATTTTTGTTGTTTTCTTTCAGGAATATGATAAAGAATACATTAGACCGGCTACATCAACAATATGCTGTGATTACAATCCCAATAAACATTACCGGTGCAAATGTTTATCATGTTAATCAGCCACCATGGACTTTATGGTGATAAACATAATTGTTATAAACATTTCTAATGATGAGAAAAATCCTCAAAGTATTCAACCACCTTAGACTTTATGGTGATAAACAGAATAGTTATAAACATTTTTGATGGGAATAATTCTAAAGGTCTTATGGTGATAAACAATTTTCATGGATTTTAGGGTAAAGATTTTCCAAATTTAGGCGATAAATTATTCCAATAAACAGAACTGGTGCAAGAGTTTACAGCAATAATCAACAACTCTCTGTTGCTGAATCAAGCAGAAATGAAGATGATAGAATTCTTTGAAGTGATAAACAAATTTTGAAAATTTTTACATGTAATAAATTGTTCGCATGTAAAAGTGCCACATAAGATATATTTCATTTGATGGAAGTTAAAAATTCCTTAAAAAGACATAGATAAACATAAGTTTTAAAGCCACCTTGACCTGAAAATAATAGTATTGTTACCATTGGTCGAACAATTGTGTTTTCCCACCGTCAGTTGTTTGGTAAGAAACACTGAGGGTGAATGTATGTTGTGCATCTGAAATATTGTGACTTACATGAGTTGTTTCCCTTATTTGTCATCCTTTAGTCTGCAGGTAAAAGTACAAGCCAAAGGCCAATAAAATTTTGATTGGAATAGAGAATGTCCGGAAAGTTTAAACATCAGATTTATGATACATATTCCTACCTCTGAACTTTTATTTTAAAGTAATCATTTCTGTACATAATCATAAATGTATGGAGAATATTGAATTGAGTCGCGTCACGACAAAACCAACATAGTGGGTTTTCGACTAGCATGGATCCAGACCAGCCTGCGCATCCGTGCAGTCTGATTACGATCCATGCTGTTCGTTATCAGTTTCTCTACTTGTAATAGGGTTTGTAAGCGAACAGCATGGATCCTGATCAGACTGCGCTGGTCTGGATCCATGCTGGTCGCAAACGCATTACGTTGGTTTTGTCGTGACGCAGCTCAAACCAATAAAAAACCAAAAGTGAAATAGTGAAGCAAATTATTGTCTGAAGTAGAAAAGCTTTAGTGTTATGCCAATGTGTTCACCTATATTCTCTTTAATATTATGATTAATTTCTGTTCACATTAAAAAAACCTGGACTAAACACAAAATTGCTTATATTGCAGTACATACTTATTTAATAATCAACAACTGAACACTGTCTATATTAAGTGTGAATTGAGCATTTACCTATAGAATTTATGTAACAGATGTGTCCAGTTTGACTTTGTAATAGTCTGTTGGAAAAGTTCAGGGAAATCAGAATTTTAATGAAGATAAATTTATATACCAACAGTATAGGGCCTTGTCACACTGTGCCTGACTTTATACTGGTGGCAAAGACTTATTACCTTCGGTTAAGCAGGATAGGGCGTAAGCTCCAGGAGAAGCAAAAAATTACTGGTATATAAAAATCTGGTGATCAAGGAATGATGAAAGTCATATGATGTCACTTCATATTATGTATACATTACGTTTTTGCCATAAGTGTGTGGTTTTGGGACAGTTAATTTTGAATGAATTCCAATGAAAATGAAATTTTCATATTATATTTTTACATGTGTTGTGAAAGAATAAGATATGCGTAATATATTAACAAAATGGTGATGGCCGTAAAGTTGTATGCATGTGTGTAGGGACAGATACAGATATTGTTGTTTTTTTGGCTAGAGAAAAGTTGTATTTTATGCAAAGTTTTTCACTACGTTATTGAATGTTTGTTATAATTTTATGTATAGTTGTAGAATTATTTGTCATAAAATTGTTACATTGTTGTTAAGTATTACTTTTACAGCAAACTTACATTTTTCTTGTTAAATGTTTAAAGCATATTGTCAGAACTCTGCTATATAACACTGCTACATTTTGTATAATGGACTCTTCCTGTTTTGAAGTCAGAACTTTCCATTGTTATTTTAAAGGGGTTTCATATGGTGGCTGATTTCTGCCATTTCACGTCTTCGCCCCTCAAAATTTGAGGGGAAGACATGATAATATGCTGACTTACCATGTCTTCACCTTCGACTTTTGAGGGTGAAGACAAAACACATTTTAGGTGAAATAATAATATTTTAATAAGCAAAGACGCAAGATCTTTTGCGGTAAAATTATCGTGTTGGGTAGAAATCTTTGTATTTGCGCCCTTATATTTGTTGTGTTGTCATGGTTGGCTAATTTATCGAGCCTTTGTAACCTTGTGTCTTCACCCGGAAAATTAAAAACATGATAAGTGGCCAATTTATTGAGTCTTTGTGTCTTCATCCTAAAAATTGAAGACATGATAAATTGGCAAAGACACAAAATGGCAGAAATCAGTACCATAGTTTTAGTTTCATTTAGCAGGATTGAACATCTGGGTTGCTTACTCATGGTCTGAAATCATGTTTACTATTCAGTCAGTACAGTATTTTGAAACTTTTTGTAAGGTGACAAATGGTCTGGTCCAGATTGAAAGATGGACTAATCCATTTAAAATAGTTAATGGGGGGTTAAGGTTAAATTTCAAAAAAACATTTAACCATTAACCTACTTAATTATTAAATGGACTTTTCCAGCTTCTATTTATGGACCTGTCTATTATCAATTTTGGGGATATCCTGTTGAAAAAGTGATTCGGTAAACAGTATACAGACTCTATACTGGTGGCAGGGTTATGGCAAAGCTTGTGTATGTTTTATACTAAATAGTTTTAGAAAATGTTGGAAGGCTCAACTTTACCAAACTTGCCAAAAATTTTATAACTTCCATATTAGAATTTTTATTAACTTCATTGATTGTTAAAGATTAGTTGATGTACTTTTAACTAGATATGTTAATACATGTAGTAGAAGAAGATTTATCATATTTTTATTTAGAACATAGCCTTTAAGGATAGAAAAAGTAGTTTTAGGATATTTGTTAAATAAATGATCATAAACTCATTATATCTATGCAAAATATACATGCCTCAAGTTTACAAAACTTTAAATATATTTTTATTGTAGTTTTATTATTATTGATTTTAGGAGGGCTGATTTGTACTGATTTAAAAAGTGGATTTACTCGAATAAATGATTATGTCCATAAATGATAATGTCCATTAATTTTGAAGTGCTTGACATTTTGTAGAAAGTTTTTAAAAAAAAATAATCTTGTAGAGAGTAAGAAATAAATGATTTGTCAACATGTGACCTACATATTGAATTATCAAGCAGTGGGCTGCTCCAGTTTTTCTGTTATTAAAGTATTGTCCAAAATTTTCATGTTATGATCAATTTCCTGACATATGAAATGACATTGAACATCTAGACTTGATTTGTAATAGCTTGAGTGGCGGGGTGGTCAAGTGATTAAAATGTCAGAGTAGTAAACTAAGGATTTTTAGCCACTTGGGTTCAAACCCCGTCAGGGGCAAGCGGTTGTTTTCGTAAGCAAGAAAACTTTACTATGCTTAGTACTGGTTGGTTCTCTAGGGAATGATTCAAGAGTATTTTAATAAGCTCATAGCTTCCGAAATGCAATCAATATAAAAATAAATTTGACAATAATATTTAATAAAAAGATTTTTTTTTTTTTGGGGGGGGGGGGGATGGGGGGGACAAATAAAATGAAAATTTGTATATACTTATAGCTAAAGAACACGCCTTAAATTTTATCTGTAATGTTCGTGAAATCCTAACTTCCTCAGTCTCATTCTGAAAGTTTTAATCATATTGATTATAGGAGGTGGTAATTATCGTTATTATTGAGATTAATATATGTTCAGACTCTGGCTCGTTAACTTATTTTTTTACATTTTTTTTTTTTCCTTTAAAATGTGATTATTTTTTATTTAATTTTTTATTTTTTTACAAAAAATTTTTTAAAAAATAATACGGGTTTTTTTTTTTTTTTTTTTTTACAAAAATATTTTTTTTTTTTTAATTTTTTTTTTTTTATTTTTTTTTAAATTTTTTTAAAATAAATTTTTAAAAAATTTTAAATTTTATTAATATGCAAAAAATAATGTGTGCTTCAAAAAAGATATGCTGCAAGATGATTATGTAAATATTTCTTTGCGTTTAATTTATTACCTGTGAATTATTAGTTTAAGTTTCAATGATAATGATAATGTGTTTTTGCACAAAACCAAGAAATTCCATGTTCATTATGTACAGCGATAGTAAATAGATTTAAACCTAGAAATATACAATGTATCTTTTTTTGAAAATTTGCGTTTGAATATTAAAAGGACTACTAAGTTTTTTTTGACATGACTAGATTGGAAATATTTTTGGAGATAACATTCCATTTGATATTAGTCTAGACCAATAACTTGTTTGCAAAATATCAAATCATTCGCTCTCTCCATATTTCCAGAAAAATTATTCTAATTGTGAAAAGTGACCAAATATTGAAAAGGTTGCAATGCTTTTCACTCTAATTTGGCAAAGAATAGCAACAAAAATATGATTTTCAATTTATTTCAAATTATATTTCTTTACAATGTGTAATTATCTTTCTGCTTTATCTGCCCCAACTGATCTTTGTAAGAAATTGAAATTTTATGTTTTAGGCCTTTAAACTTTAGTTAAGTTCCTATAATTGCATGTATAACATTAAAAAAGAAATATAAGGTTGTTATTAAAGTTCAGATTCATAAATAATTGAAATGTTTAAATTAGTTATTTTAATTTGAGATTTTTATATTTTGTTTAATTTTGTGTGTTGTGATTGTATTTTAAGTGTGTTGAGATTTTACAGAATTGTCCCAGTGTGAAAATCGTACAGGTCCCAGTGTGAAGAATCGTACAGAATTCTTTTACATGTACATGTATTATTATTTATTTTCTTCACAAAAATATTGTTTATGGAACAGTATGTTATGTCAAGAAAGAAATCAGATCTTTTAATGTTGTTGTTTCTTATTTGGGTACCTGAAATAATGCATTGAGGGACATCTGAACCTCAAATTACTCAGTACTGTACATTTTTATATGCCTGAAAGAATTTTGGGCATATTATGCTATACCCCCTGGTGTCCGTCCGTCTGTCCGCACTACAGAATAGGGTTAGGGGGCCATCTAAGCAGAACAAAAGAGAACAATAGAGTTCATTCCATATCAACAGAGTACGTAAGGGGCCATCTATATTGGGGTCAAAATAAATGACCTTAATATTGTTAAAAGTTATACAACTGTCAAACTTCATAGGATGATCACATATATTGAGTACATTAATAATATGCCCTAAAAAAATTGCTTATGTTATATCCCTAGCGTCATGCTGTCCATGCATTGTAGTAAAATTATTTAATTCCCATGTCTTACAAATGCTTCATCCTTTCTAAAAAATCACTTTCGGGCATATAATGCTCCGCCTAGCGGTGCTCTTGTTTGTCTTGAGAAGAAAGACGCCTATAAAATGAAACCTTTTAAGCACATTGCCCATGGTTTGTGGTCTAGGTCACTGATTACTTGTTTTTTTGCTGTGGAATAGACTCCAGCCAGTCGAGCGAGGATACTTCAATTCTTTCTTGAGGTACAAAAAAAGCAGGTTATGAAAAGTGTTTCTACTCTGGTTCCCAGTTGTTCCGAAATAATGCTTTTTCTCTACCAATAAAACTGGTCTTTCTGTACCAAAACTTTGACAGTTGCCATGTGACATTTCAAGTGTCTTTGTGACTTAAAACCCAACCAAACAAATATTTTTTTTTTATATAGACTAGTTTTAACAGTACAAAATTTTGATTTAGTGAAAAAAAAAGGTTTAAAAAAAAAGGTTCACTTAAACTTTGATCAAGGTGGTTGTTAGCATTCTGTATTGTACTAATATGTCATAACATTGTGCATTCATTTCATAAGATTTCAATTTGTTTGTGCATTTATTTCATAAGATTTCAATTAGTTTTATTATTGTTCATTAATCTATGCAAAAAATGTATGTCTTCTTAAATTTTATGCTGATAGATGATACAGGTGCTCTTCTGCAATGATATTTGAGCCGCATCATGACAAAACCAACATAATGCGTTTGCGACCAGCATGGATCCAGACCAGCCTGCGCATCCACGCAGTCTGATCAGGATCCATGCTGTTCGCTATCAGTTTCTCTACTTGTAATAGAGTTGGTAAGCGAACAGCATGGATCCTGAGCAGACTGCACGGATGCGCAGGCTGGTCTGGATCCATGCTGGTCACATACGCGTAATGTTGGTTTTGTTGTGACACGGCTCATTTATTTTATTAAAGGAGCATCACTGAGGTCTAAAAGCCTTAAAACATAAAGTTCTTATATAATGGTGTGAAGCACTCTAAAAATCTCTAAAGGATAAGAAAGTAATATATTTGGAATTAAATTATGGTTCATAGAAGCATTGCAAAGCTTCTCAATTTTACGTCTTTCGCACAATTAAAATGATTATTCTGGATAATTGAATGATCTGAAAATTTTTTACACAAGTTATTGGTCCAGATCACATAAAAGCTTGAAAAAATGTTTCCAGTTCAATCATATAAGAAAAACTTGAGTGATGTCCCTTTAACACAGTTTGATAGAGTTAAATACAAGGGCTTGATATGCCATGCTGGTCATTCTGGTACATAATTAAATGAGTTTTAACTGTCTGTTTGCTCTGTGCTTCATATAAGGTGTATTTTTCTTCTGCTCCAGTTATTCAATTGACACAAACATACCTTAATGCATGCCGTTCTGACGCCTGTCAACTTTTTCTGAAATTATTCTAAATCAACATTATTTTTACATATGGTAATTTTGTTGTACAATTTTTGCTTTGAAATATTTAGTGCTTTAAGAGTTTTGTTTTACTTGTTCTTTTGGAAAATACAGTTAATTGAAGGCTAAATCAATAAATCTTACTTTCACATTATTTTGTATTGTAATTGGCATTTGTTTGCAACTACATCTTTTCATTATAAATTCACGATTTTTTTTTGCTGGCAGTTTTGAATGTTTATTTCTGTACAAACCCACCTGTTTTAATCCATATAACCTTACCAGGGCTTGTGTAATAATAATGTACATGTAAGTTGATGATGTAAAACCAAATAAAATCTAATAAACTTGACTTTGATTCTATGTGCAAGACATTATATTTTTGCTGGTACAATAGGGCCTACTAGTGTTTAAGTCAATTAAGATTGTTGTTCTTTGGTTTGATTTTGGATAATATGATGGTTTCCCTTGTTACATGATTAAACTAGGGGTGTCACATTTATCTTTTAAGCAGATTAGGTCCGTTTCAGCCTGTTAGAAAATTCAATACCTGGGTAATCCAGGTTAGCTGAATACCTTAGAAACTTTAGATTGGTTTTAAACATCACTTTTGTTTCTTATCTCAAAATATGATACATATTTTGTTTTTAAATCTTCTTTTTCCTCATTGCATGGTATCTCATCTTGTACCATATGGTCTTCTGGACACCAGTTACCCCATAATAGATGTTTGGTAATCGTTGCTGTGTACAAAATACACACAAAATGTACTATTTTTACTTCAATACAAAATAGTTAATGTTAAAAATCAAAGAAATTCTTTTAGTAGGGTTTGTTAAACGTTTAACACAGTTATTAAAATGCTGTTTAAACGATATACATTTTTGCTAATCCTGACACCCCTATTCACCAACTCTGAAGAGCAAGTTATTCATCCTGCTAACGTCATGCAATAATAAAACTAGAGTATCAGCAATACCAATACTGGTTCTTAAAAAGCTAAAAACATGGCCTTACTTTGTAGAAAATATATTGTTCCCCCTTCACCAAGACAACCAAGGAGAGGCAACATGTACCAGATGGCAAATTCAAATGTATACCTTCACATTAAATCTTTTGAAGGAAACCAATATTTTACAGAAAATTTGTTTTGAAAGGGGCACAACTCTTTCAAATATGTTGGTTGCAGCAAACTCGACACATTTTTAATAATTAGAAACACAATCATCAGAAACCAACTGTCTACGGACAGACGACATACCATAATTGTGTCTTGAAGTCTTTTCAGACATATTAAAGTGAAGTGGTTCGTCAGTAAATAAATGGCGGTGCAGCGGCTATATAAATTGGAAATGTGACAGCAAAACAACACATTTCTGTAGGTATTGAATTATCTGACCAGTGACCTTGACCCAAATTTAGTGCATCAGCTTCCATGCTCTGTACCTTCCAAATATGGAAGACAATGATGAAACAAATTGGCACTGGTCAATAATGTGACTAAGAGAACTATAGTAAAGTGATAGGAAACTATTTGCATTGAATAAATGGCATATATAGCTTAAACACAGTATGTTACATAAATAAAAATTTCATGTTTTCATGAATGACTGCCTTCACTTAAATTGACTTTCTGCAATTTTCTGTAATGAACCGACCAACAGCATGTTCAATGATTTGAGTTATGGGTGTTAAGACAGTGACCTCTAAAGATGATCTACAGACGTATCGAGTTTCAAAAAGAATATCTCTTAATGTTATTCAAACTTTATATCTGAACCAAATTTAAGTGATCTAAAGGAAGTATCATTAATCTGTAAATTTAAAACAAACTCTGTAATTGTGTTTTTCTCTTTATTTCCAGGACAACTACAGGACATAAGCAGATGACTATGATGTTTCCATGATAGATTCTTCTGTGTGTTTGCCCTTATCAGCGGCCTGTCTAGAGCGAGCCTTGCGCTCAAGAATTTTCTTTCGGTCTTTGTCCATTTTAAGTTTTACAATGACCACCTGGAAATGGAAAATAGAGTTATTTAAATTATGTTATAAGAAACAAAAGTTATTTAAAAATATATCTTATACAGATAAAAAATATAAATGTAGACAAGAAAATGAACACTTGATACAGATCTGCTACATTTGTCTGATTTGTAAACAGAAACAGTAATCTTATTTGACAGGGTATGTATGAAAACATATATGTTTGGTTTTATGGCATACCAACATAATTTAGGTCATAAAAGCCAAAACAGGAAAGATGATTCTGGCTAACCTCTAGTGTTACAATGTAAAGCAATTTTGATGCCTCAACCATAAAAGGCAACCCTTCAGCCATAAGGGGCATGAAAACAAATATAACAGTATGCATTTACAGATAATAGTGACAGACCTTGGAGATCAATCTTTTTTGCTATGTTTTACCAAAGATTATAAAGATAATCTATGTAGATCAGTTGGTAAGGAAGATGAAGGGAAAACCATACATCTATCCAGCTGCTGACCTTTTTATTATTTCCCAGGGTTATAAAGTCAGCTCTCAAGAGCCAACTCTGAGTAACTGGGATTTAAAAGATCAAGGAGTATAATTTATTATTAGGGATAAATTTTATGTGTTTTGCATACATTGTATATGCGCTTTATGTAAGTTAAGGCTGTAAAACAAATATACTGTCACTCTGATATTCTGGCGCCCATTGTAATGCTTAAGGGACTCCCTCTCCAATTGTATGTTTTCAACAATCATAACAAGCATACATGTGTATGTTAAAGATCCTGTATGTTTTGTGATTGATATTTTTACTGTATGAATACCACACTAGCAAAAAATTATATATGTACATATTTATGCAAATAAAACAATTTTCAAACATCGAAGAATATGTAAAATGTGTACTGCAAATATTTGTGCACATTATATTTAATCAATAAATTACAGGCATTCATTTCTTATTGGAAAATTTGACTTAGAATTTATAGAAAATATATTTCTAATTACCTCCCTTTATTTACATGAAATGTTAAATTGGGTAATATCTTTTTAAATAATGCTTATTGGAACTTACAATATTGACAAATCTTAATTTGAGCATCATATTTATGAAATAAAACCATGAAAAAATTGTGTTACAGGATCTTTAAGTATGCAAAATTGCAGAATTCCTTTTGATGCCTATTTAAACAAAGTCCATACAGAAATCTAAATCTAACAAATTGCACTTTTTAAAAAATTCCAACTATTTTGCAGGGGAAATAATGGCCCTTTATTGCATTAGTCTCAGGAAATTCCAGTGATAGAGTGTTTATCAATTAACTGCACAATCAATCATATTGTTAAAAGTAAATTAGGGCAGTTTTGAATTTGAAATCATTAAATCAGAGATTTCCCACCGAGGCGAAATGAGCCGTGTCCTGACAAAACCAACATATTGGGTTTGCGGCCAGCATGGATCCAGACCAGCCTGCGCAGTCTGATCAGGATTCTTGCTGTTCGCTTACCAATCCTATTACAAGTAGAGAAACTGATAGTGAACAGCATTGATCCTGATCAGACTGCGCGGATGCACAGGCTGGTCTAAATCCATGCTGGTCGCAAACCCATTATGTTGGTTTTGTCGTGACGCGGCTCAAATCATTTTTCATATATTAGGGACTTCCCACAGAGCATTTTTCAAGTACCGTGTGCATGTTGTGTATCTTCAAACATGGTATTTAGTTGTTAGTAAACATTTTTTAAACGCTAATTTTCTATGTAGATCAGTTGGTAAGGAAGATGAAAGAAATACAATACATCTATCCAGCTGCTGAGCTTTTTTTTTAATATTTCCCATAAATATAAAGTCAATTCTTTACAGAATCAACTCTGAGTAACAGGGATACTAGAGTAATCAAATCATTTGAAACAGTGTTTTCACTTTTGGTTTATGCAGATTTTAGTTCGATTGTGTAGGAAGCTACAAGCTTATAGACACACTTTCGCATTAACCAGTACTAAGCAATGAGTGTAAAGTTTCTTGCTCAAGAAACAAAAACTTGCCCCTATAAGGGTTTGGACCAATGAGGCTTTTATCTGAAGCAATAGATGTGTTAACTTAAAACAAATAATTTGGCCATGGGACAAGGGGGGATATTTTAATCTTGGTACAAGCTAAAAATACAACAGATATAAACATCATTTAAACTGAAGATATGGATCACCAATTCAATAATAATGAAAACCCTGTAAATACTGCTCTCTTGGGAATGATTCACGGAAGCTTAGTATAGAGTTTAAGCTCCTTTTTTTTGTAATCAAAATTTGTAAAACAAGAGGGCCATGATGGCCCTAGATCGCTCACCTGAATTATCAAACTCATCCAAACAATTACCTAGACAAGCATTCTGACCAAGTCTCATGACAGGTGAGTCAAAAATGTGACCACTACAGTGTTAACAAGGATTATCCATATTTGAGCAGTGCGACCTAGTTTTTTACCCAGGTGACACATATTCAAACTTGACCTAGAAATCATCAAAACAAACTTTCAGACCAATTTCCAGGATACTTGGATCAAAACAGTAGCAACTAGAGTGTTAACAAGATTTTTCTATTTTTAGCTCCGGTGACCTAGTTTCACATGCGATTTCGAACTCATCCAAGCAATTACCTAGACAAGCATTCTGACCAAGTTTGATGATAATGGAGTCGAAAATGTGGACCACTAGAATGTTAACAAGGTTTTTCCATATTTGGGCGGTGTGACCTAGTTTTTCATCCAAGATGACCCATGTTCGATCTTGACTTAGAAATCATCAAAACAAACTTTCAGACCAATTAACAGAATATTTGGTTCACAACAGTAGCCACTAGAGTGTTAACAAGATTTTTCTATTTTTAGCTCCTGTGACCTAGTTTTTCATCAAGATGTCCCATGTTCGATTTATTCCCAGCAATGACCTAGACAAGTTTCCTGAACCAAGTTTGATGACAATTGAGTCAAAATTGTGACCACTAGAGTGTTAACAAGGTTTTTCTATTTTTAGCTCCTGTGACCTAGTTTTTCATCCGAGATGACCCATGTTCGAACTCATCCGAGTTATTACCTAGACAAGCATCTTGATCAAGTTTGATGATGATTGATGCAAAAATGTGACCGCTAAAGTGTTAACAAGGTTTTTTCTATTTTTTAGCTCCGGTGACCTACTTTTTCATCCGAGATGACCCATGTTCGAACTCATCCAAGCTATCAACTAGATAAGCATCCTGACCAAGTTTGATGATGATTGATGCAAAAATGTGACCGCTAGAGTGTTAACAAGGTTTTTCTATTTATAGCTCCGGTGACCTAGTTTTTCATCCGAGATGACCCATATTCGAACTCATCCGAGCTATTATCTAAACAAGCATCCTGACAAAGTTTGATGATGATTGGGTCAAAAATGTGACCACTAGAGTGGTCACAAGGTTTTTCTATTTTTTAGCTCCTGTGACCTAGTTTTTCATCCGAGATGACCCATGTTCGAACTCATCCAAGCAATTGACTAGACAAGCATTCTGACCAAGTTTGATGATGATTGGTTCAAAAATGTGAACCACTAGAGTGTTCACAAGGTTTTTTCTATTTATAGCTCCTGTGACCTACTTTTTCATCCGAGATGACCCATGTTCGAACTCAATCCGAGCTATCACCTAGACAAACATCCTGACCAAGTTTGATGAAGATTGGGTCAAAAATGTGACCTCTAGAGTGTTCACAAGGTTTTTCTATTTTTAGCTCTTGTGACCTAGTTTTTCATCTGAGATGACCCATATTCGAACTCATCCGAGCTTTCAACTAGATAAGCATCCTGACCAAGTTTGATGATGATTGAGGCAAAAATGCGACCGCTAGAGTGTTCACAAGCAATTGTGGACGGCCGGACGGACGACGGACGACGGACATTCATCGATCCTAAAAGCTCACCCTGAGCAAGCTCAGGTGAGCTAAAAAACTATAATCAAAATATTCAATGTCTTAAAATATATATCATATCGGTTATTATTGTAAAACATTTACAGAACTTGTATCACAATTCATGATCGCTTCATTACCAGACTATCAAAAGAACATAAACCAGTGTCTATTCTACAACTTGAAATAAATGGAGGATTCAATACTTCAATTATTAAAATGGGAGGGGAAGGATGGACACCTTGCCTCCATTTGATTGAAAACATTTTTCACACACTTATTTCCTATAATGATTATGTAGATCAGTTGGTAAGGAAGATGAAAGAAATACAATACATCTATCCAGCTACTGACCTTTTTTATATTTCCCATAAATATAAAGTCAATTCTTTACAGAACCAACTCTGAGTAACAGGGAATATGGACGCTAAATCATTTTGAAAATAGCTGAAAAAATTATTACCAACTATGGAATAATTTACAAATGCTACAAACATAAAGCTTCTTTTTTTGTTTGGTACTTTAAACCAGCCACTTATAGATTGAAAACATGGCTCTGTATTGCTTGCTATGAATTTACAGCTTATATAGATTTAACATTATCATCAGACCAGTTCAATGATAATACATTTACAAATCAATATGTTTCACAAATAAGTAGAATACTGTCAGGATTCAATCCTTCAATTATTAAAATGGGAAAGAAAGGGGAATCCGAAGGATGGACACCTAGCCTCCATTTGATAGCAAACATTGTTCAAACGGATTTTCTACAATGTAGATCAGTTGGTAAGGAAGATGAGTTATTTTTACTGGCATTATTTGATTTTAACTGGCATTTTGCCAGTATGCCAGCTTAAATTCGAACCCTGAAGGAAGATATTTCAATATATCTGATATTCTGTTTGTTTGATTTAACGCCTTTTCCCCCCCAAACAGTATTTCAGTCAAATAGGCGGGTAGTTTCCTAACCATCGTTCCTGGAGAGTTACACCAGTACAAGACTACCTTCCTCCGCGCTAAATTACCAAAGCATCTCCCAGGGCTTGACACTAACTTTTTTTAGGGGTAGTCAGAAGGACTACCTACTTTGAGGATCAGGTAGTCCTTGGCAAATCTAGGTAGTCCTCATTTTTAAACATAAAAAAATGTTTCTTATTCTATTAAAATGCATTTTGAGTGTATGTATCTGAAGATAAGAAAACAATTGCATGAGATCTCTTCAAATTTATTGGAAAAAATCACCAATAGATAAATCATATAAGATCTAGTAAAAGTTTGTAAGCTTTACTCTGCATGAGATGTAGGTTCCGGCTAGCCTCTGAGCTCTTCAAAGTCATCATCAACAATTTTTTTACATATTTTTGTTATAAAATATGGCAGTGTGACACACAAAAGTCAATAGATTTTGAAAGGGTTCTACTAAGGAATTACTAAGGTGTGTTGCAAATAAAAATTGCTAGGCAATCAGCTCAGCTTATATTATTGACAGCTTATAGGGAAGGGAGAATATATTGGCAATATGAGCTAAATAAGTATGTCAGTTTTAAATTTATGTAATACCTGGCTTTTGTATAAAAAAAAATATTTCAATAGAGCTTACAAATCTACTTTTCAGGTATAGATAATGTATGACCTTTTAGATGTGTTTTTTAAATTCAAAACAGAAGTAAAAAGCTTGGACAAGAACAAAATATGTTTGTCTTTACTCTAATTGATTTATTCTACAAACTTATTTTGTCAGACATTAAACAACAAAATATCAGAATAACAAACTTTTACTAGTGCTAGTAATTCAGTTATTTAACTGTCAGAAGATTTAAATAGGGACATTAGATTAATATCTGTTGTTCCTGATTTAAACACAAAATTAGAAAATGTAAAGCCATTTAATCAAACTATATTGCCTTAGTTTTTTATGCCTAGGGTATTAGTATTTGTTAACAATTGTTTTCTTCATATACATGTATTGGCATTATTGCTTACATTTGCTTGTACATGATTAAGAAAATGCTGACAACATTGTGAAGTTATGGCAAAGACAATTACAAATACTTTAGAATATTTCTTTTCTCTTTTTTAAAGAGATTTAAACATTTTTCTTCTCTCTTTTTTATAAAGAGATTTTTTCCCAATCAATAATTTCATGTCCGAATAAATTACATCCGAAATTAGATCTATTTCAGACAACACGTTTATTTTGGTTATCATTGTCAGTGTGATTTACACCAATCAACAAATCATATTCTTTTAAGTTAAAACCCTTGAATAGGTTCCAATATAAGCAAATATTTTCATTGAAATGTTTAATAGACAAAGAATTCTATTGAAGTAGGCTAGAAAAATCGGCAATTAAGTTGGACTTCCGGTTTCACTTTTCGCAACTTTATAGAGATTAAATAGAATCTATTATGCGTCTGCTGTGACTGACACTAGTGGACCCAACGGCTAAATTATTTTACTAGTAAGATGAATTTATCTTTCGCCTAAAAAAATGTTATTTTTATTAATTATTTTTAGTGAATTTAGAGACATTTCAGGTCACTGAAAATATTTGAGTAGCCCGACGGGATCCCAGCTTGGAAACTCGGGTAGTCCTTTTGGGGAAAAATTGGTAGCCTCGGGCTAACGGACCATCGTTAGTGTCGAGCCCTGTCTCCCGGGGATCCAACCCACGCCAGAGAGGTAACTGGATTAGAAATCATCAACTCGAACCCCACGACCACGGAGGCAGCGCATCTGATATTCTATAATGTAGATCAGTTGGTAAGGGGATTTAAAAAATTTCAATACATTTTTATCCGCTTTCCCGAACTTTTTATATTTCCCATAAAAATTTAAAATTTAATTTTTTTACAGAACCAACTTTTTGAGTAACAGGGAATTTTCAAAATTTAAAATGATTGCTTTTATACTGGAAAGTTTTACTACAATAAATTTTTTTTTTTGTTTGATTTTAAAAAGCCCCTTTTCCAACAGTATTTTCCCGTCCCTATAGGTGGGTTTGTTTTCCCCGACTCTTCCTTGGAGTTACAATTCCCCGTAATAGACCTACCCTTTCCCCTGGCTAAACTACCCCCAAAGCTCTTCCCCCGGAGATTTGAAACCCCACACCAGAGAAGTAACTTGGGTTAGAAGCCTCAAAATCGAACCCCACCACCGGAGGGAAAACGCATCTTTTATATTCTTTTAATGTAAAATCAGTTGGGGAAAGGGGAAAATGAAAGAAATACAATACATCTATCCAGCTGCTGAACTTTTTTATATTTCCCATAAATATAAAGTCAATTCTTTACAGAACCAACTCTGAGTAACAGGGATTTGCAAATTAAAGTGAATTGCTCTATACTGGAAAGTTCGCTACAATAAATTTTGTTTTACGCCTTTTCCCAACAGTATTTCAGTCATATAGGCGGGTAGTTTCCTGACCATCGTTCCTGGAGTTACACCAGTACTAGACTACCTTCCTCTGCGCTTAACTACCAAAGCATCTCCTGGGGATCGAACCCACGCCAGAGGTAACTGGATTACATGTCATGGACTCTAACCCCACGACCACGGGGGCGGTCTATGTGCTAACTAAAACAACTGACTTGACCAGGGGTCAAGGTTTAGGAAGATATTTTAATATATCTGATATTCTGTTATGTAGATCAGTTGGTAAGGAAGATGAAAGAAATACAATACATCTATCCAGCTACTGACCTTTTTTATTATTTCCCATAAATATAAAGTCAATTCATTACAGAACCAACTCTGAGTAACAGGGAATATTGAAGCTAAATCATTTGAAAATAGCTGGAAAAATTATTACCAACTATGGAAAAATTTACAAACGCTACAAACATAAAGCTTCTTTTTTGTTTGGTACTTTAAACCAGCCACTTATAGACTGAAAACTTGGCTAGAGATGTATTGCTTGCTATGAAATATGTTTCACAAATAAGTAGAATACAATCTGAAACACCAATTACCTTTGAAGGATGGATGCCAACATTTACGGAGGCACCATTGGCCTTCTCTCTCTGTATTCTTTCAATGTATACAACAAATTTCTTTCTGTAACACGACACAATCTTGCCTACTTGTTGACCTTTGTAATGTCCACGGACAACCTATATAATTAGAAAACAAGCATTCAAACCTAGTTATAGTACTTAACATTCATGCAAACTACAGTATTAGGTTCATTACAGAATATGTACAATATTGAAACTGCCACTGTATTAAATATGGAACAAGGGCTTTTTTCCTTCTATAGCTGGAGCCATGTTATGTTGCCAAGCATTCTTTTGGAAGACCAATAATCAGTACTTCATTTTTTTCTCTTTTTCATGGAGAAAGAAAACCAAGTGTGAATGCAGAGCTTGTTACTTAAACCTTAAATATGAATGGATACAATTTATTCTATAACAGTCAACACCCTTAAATCTGTTACCTGAACTTCATCATCTTTTCTGATGGGGATTGCTCTAACATTATACTTCTGTTTAAGTTCTTTTGACAGAGGAGCACTCATCAACTTCCTGCGTACATGAGATGGGGCGTTGAAGTGACGCTTCCTGTTCTTGCGTCTTGAAGACGACGACATTTTGTTGAACTTCATCTTGACGGCCCTGAAAATAAGAGCAATGTCTTTCATTGCAAGAAGTTCTTACGGCAATCTCCTGGTTTAGACCCCTATGTATTTTTTCAGGAGTAAAACTCGTATATAATACACTAAAGAAAACAGAATGAACCTTATATATACTCCTGGGTTAGAACCCGGGGTCTAATCCAGGATATTGCCATTCTTACATACTATGTATCAACAAAAGTAAACACTTTTTTTTAACTTTGACAAAGTGGAATACAAAAATTCTTTAAGGCTCCCCCCACCCAGTTTAACAGGTTTAATACTCATCCATACTGGTCTGAGAATTTCAGGATATAGATATAAATATCAGGAAACACAATAAATTTTAAACATATCACCACAGAAATCGGGGTTAAAATGGAATACCTGCTTTAACCTGTCATAATATAAAATAAGCTGTCACATTAACATGATCACATTTATCAAAAGTAACAAACATCTGATACACGCATATGCAGTTAAATACATACAAGTATTTTAATTATTCCTGAAATAGAGGCAAAGTTCTAATCCTTGAGTTTTCAGGCTAAATAAATGGGGTTGGTGAACTGTCATATAGTTTGCGATAAATCAAGCTATTTCGTTAGTATTCATGGCAACAATGAGTGTGGTTCAAGGACTCTACAGACAAAAGACACAGACAAATGTTCTGACTTCGCAACTTTCCAAGAACAAAATAACTAGACTTGTATCATAGAATAAATTCGGCAGTGAATGTTTTAGAGTTTAATTTTTACTCATATAGGATGGGAGAAACAAGTAAAGCTGGCGCAAATATGTTAAAACAATGCTAGTCTTCAATTTTGCCATTATTTATAAAAATATTCTGTATCCTTGATGCAGATGCCAACAGCTTTTTAAAAGAAAATCATTTTTCACCTGTCTGTTTTGGCCTGAAACCGGAAAAGGAAGAGACACGGACGAATGTTCAATAGTAGTTTTGGTGGATCAATGAATTAAATATAAATATATTTTGTCAACTGTTAAAAGTTTGTTAATTTGATTTAAAACCACAATTTTTTTTTTGTCACGAAAATATCATAGCGATAATTAAATATTTTTTATATAGTCTTGTGCATTATATCATAAGCTTCCGGTTTAAATTATCAAGAACGACAAATCTCGCTTACTCGTTATTTTTATTTAGAAAATACAAATATGCCAAGGAGCAGGAGTAGATCCCCAAAACGAGGTATAATTTATGACATATAATATGAAATCATTTGAATATACTCTATACGAAAGAATGTTTTGATTTAATTAAATTATGTAGAGATCTATTTGAAATCACAGACACTTGGGGTTTGGAGCTCAAAACGCCTTTAAAATCCAAATAAAATGCATATTTGTCAATCCCAGGACATGTACTGATCATATATATCAAAAAATCTTAATATATGCCGTTTTGAAAAAAAATCATATTTCAACAACTATAATAATACGCAAGATAAAAATGTTCGCCGGAAAAAATCCGCACCCCTACCGTCATAATCACCATGTATTTTTATCCATTTCCAATATTTTCACATAATCCTTTGGTCAATCGACACAGAAGATATTATTCTTCACGATGATGGTCAATTTTAAACTTCAACGGTAATATAAACAATGCAACAGCTGAAATAAACATCGTTATTGTTGCCGTTTTTTTCCAACGACAAAATCTTTCGATAAATTCAATGGACCAGACGGCTATGAACGAAGCTATCCGATTATGTGGTTCCCAAACTTAAAAGCGCTGCGCATTTTGCACACGGCAAAGCTGGGGCCACATAATCGGATAGCTTCGTTCATAGCCGTATGGTCCATTGAATTTATCGAAAGATTTTGTCGTTGAAAAAAAACGGCGATAATATTGATGTTTATTTAGGCTGTTGCGTTGTTTATATTACCGTTGAAGTTTAAAATTGACCATCATCGTGAAGAATTATATCTTCTGTGTCGATTGACCAAAGGATTATGTGAAAATATTGGAAATGGATTAAAATACATGGTGATTATGACGGTAGGGGTGCGGATTTTTCCGGCGAACATTTTTATCTTGTGTATTATTATAGATGTTGAAATATGAAATTTTTTCAAAACGGCTTATATTAAGTTTTTTTGATATATATGATCAGTACATGTGCTGGGATTGACAAATATGCATTTTATTTGGATTTTAAAGGCGTTTTGAGCTCCAAACCCCAAATGTCTGTGTTTGAAATAATTTTGTAAATTTCGTAGACCCAAAACATGCAAAACCATTGTGGCATCTTTACCTACTTTCTTTTTTCTTCTGATCATTAAAACCAATATGGCTCCTCCTGTACTTCATTAATAGTCAGAAAACACTCAGTAGATTTCACTGATATTGATTCTTTTACTATGCCAGCTCCAGTAGATTTAACTGATATTGAATCTTTTAGTTTTACTATGCCAGCTCCAGTCATACAGCAGGACAGCAGTCAATCAGAATACCTCCGCTTTTATCGTTATCTTGTAATTCGAAAAGTTGTGAAGTGTCAATTCAGTACTTCAGATGACAGTTTTCAAAACCATCACTATCTAGCAGGTACTCGCGTTACTGTCAAGCTGGCTTTGCGAACAGGCCCTTTGGGCCAGCTTTTCGAGCTCGCTATTAATACTGTCAATAAGATTGCATATCATACTGAGAAATATCAATTTAACCGGCTGATGTCAACCATGACACTTAGAAGTAACTCGTATGATGTAATTTGTGAGAACTGCTTGGAGTACTGGCTAGTCAAAATATATTGATGTGCCAAAGCTAGATGCAGAGATATTTTTGTTCTGGGTTAGAATCTTGCTTTTTGAGGCGAGATATTGCCCAGACACAAATAAACAAAATAGCACAATATCTTGTCCAGCAGTACAATTAGTTGGACTAGAGTCTGGCATGTACTATATTCAGAACATCTTTGTTGAAATGACATGATTTCAGTGCTCAAGATTTCTTTTTATAAATTTACTTTTTATTTTACATTACTTTTTTAAAAATAAAACCGTAGAACATTATAAGTCAGAAAATCACCTTTTATAATTTTGTAAAAAAAAAATTGTAAAAAAGTCAAAAGCCCATGGTATTGTTTTTGTAACTGTCCACACATATTTAAATGCACCCGTGGTCAGTGTCGTACTCATGTAGTCACATGAACAAAAAACAATTTGGAATGATGGCGGCGAAACGGTGAATATTTTCAGCTGTTGGAAATTGTTAGGTAGTTTAACTTTATGTTCTTAATAAATTTTTGTATGTTTATAATACTTGGCTATATAGTTTTATCAGCATATGTTTCACTTTACTTTAATTGAGTGCTTTATGAATGAATATGAGCATGCTATATTCCTGGCATGATTTTTGGTTATTTTTCCTAGATGGCATTGTCTTCAGCGTACATATCCTATCACAGTATAAAAATGGATACACTGAAGACCTTCAGCTAATGTGGCATTAAAGTTTTTGATCAGAGATTCAGACCAAACCTAACCAGAATAAGACACGCTCATTATTATTGAACATAAAACCTTTGTTTCAATTTGCAAATATCCTTTTCCTAATTAATTTCAGTGCATTAAATTGTATAATTTTTCAACATCGTTGTATATACTACATCTATATAGACTTTTTAAAGTAAAAAAAATATTAATTTAACATTGTCAATAAAATTGCATATTATACTGTGACAACATATAGAAAACTAATTTTGAACATAAACTACCTACATGTAACAATTCCTGATAGGTGAAAATAGACAGCATTTAACACATTTGTTTTTAACAGCTATTCCCAGACAACGTACCTGCTTAGTGTAATCATTAACGATTTTAAAGCAGTATGATGTAGATTTTGCCAAAATGTTTGATCATATGGCTACATTATACATGTATTGCATTCCCCCTAGAATTATTTTTCAGCCTGCATATCCAGACAAATAACCTTTCAACTCAAGAATCTGACAAGCAGGTATTGAACTTTATGCTCAAAAAGAGATTTAAAGAAAATTTGGGTATGGTTTTATCAGATTATTTTTGTTCCACATGTAATCAGTATATCCTTTATGTATTGCTTTTATGTAAATGTTTCTTTGATGCAGAAAGGAAAAGATCAAGGTCTAGAGAGAGAGAGAGATCCAGGGATAGAGAAAGGCACAGAAGTAAGTTTCTTTTCAATTTCAGTGATTTTTTTCTTCATTGAGGAAATACTGTGGTTTGGAGGTAAAATTTCATGGCAATTACTATCCTAGGGAAACAAAATTGCAAAAAAAAACCCAAAAATTAGGAATAAAACCATTTCCTTCTGATGAAAAAAGTGAAAAGAGCATAATTTTTGAATCAACAGTGAAATACAAATAACCATTTAGACTCAGGGTCCGAAATCAGTTTTTACAGAGAAATTTCAACTTGTTCCAAAGATCAAAACAGTGTCCCCTGCATTACAAATTTGATACTTTTGTTTGCTCAATTTTTATACGCCCGTTTGAAAAACAGGTTGTATTATTATAATTTCCCCCCTGGCGGGCTGGTTTACAGGCAGGCGGCGTCCAATTTTTGTCCGGAGCATATCTCCTACATGCATTGAGGAATTTGAATGAAACTTCATAGATATGTTCACCACTATGAGGAGTTACACCTTTATGAACCAGGTCTCTAGGTCAAAGGTTAAGGTCACACTTAGAGGTCAATGAAAAACGCTTGTCGGGGGCAAAACTTCTACATGGTTTTCAATATAACTTGGCACAAATGTTCACCATGGTGAGGAGGAGTGTCACATGCAAAATTAGGTCCCTGTGGTCAAGGTCACACATAGAGGTCAAAGTTCAGATAAAATATGAAAATGTGTATTTAGACCATTAAGTCATTTATTGAGGGGTTGAAACACAAATGATAATTATCATGACGACAGGTGTGAAACATGTAGTAATTTAGGTTAATATATGCAAGGTCAAGGTCACTAAGGGTGAAGAAATATAGAGATTTTGTCCATAGTATATCTCCTACACATACGAAGGGATACTAATGAAACTTCATTGAAATTTTTACCACTATGTGAAGCATTGTCATGCGCATAAGCCGGGTCTCTATGTCAAAGGTCAAGGTCACAGAGGTAATTGAAAAACGCTTGTCCGAAGCAAAACTTCTACATGCATAGAGGGATTTCAATATAACTTGGCACAAATGTTCACCATGGTGAGGGGGGTGGCACATGCAAAAATTAGGCCCCTGCAGCCAAGGTCAAGGTCACACATAGGGGCCAAAATTCTGATAAAAATATGAAAATGTGAATTCGGACTGTTTAGTCATCATTTATTAAGGGATTGAAACACATTAATGGTCATTATCATGACTACCATTGTGAAGCTAAGTATTGCGCACATAATCCAGGTCCCTGCTACCAAAGTCAAGGTCACATAGAGAGGTAAGTTTGTGTACTGGGACCATTTAGTCATTATTTATTGATGGATTGTAACACAAATGATAACTATCATGACTACAAGTGTGACACATGTAATTTAGGTTAATATTTTCAAGGTCAAGGTCACTAGAGATGATAAAATATTTAGATATTATCCAGAGCATATTGTCTATTTATATACATATTTATTACCCTTCCAGATTTTTTCCGCCTTTTTGATTGGATATTGATCACCCGAAAGAAATTGATATAACCGAGCCAGACGGGTAATATACACACTAAATTTCCCCGTTGGGTACCCAACGTTGTAAACAACAAGCGCTGAGGTGATGCGCGTACGGTTCGATTTTACGCGGTGTAAATTCCGATTTACAAGCTCTTTTTAACTGTCAAATGATAAATATTTACCAAAGTAGAGTAATGATACATATTACCATCAGTATCGAAAACAAATATGACCTTGTGAAAGCTTGATATTAATTACAAAAAAGTGCGTTCAATAGACTACTCCTTTTCTCTTGTTTACTTGTTAGGTACGGGAAAAATACGTCATGTATTTATGTGACGTCATGTTGTGACAAAGAGGTGCCCTAAAGGGAATCTTATTTCGACGTTTCATTTGAAACAGCAATGATTTTTAAAAAAATCGTCTAAACTCGGCAGGGGAAGGATAATAAAATTATTATTTTGGTTTTGGAGTGATATATGTGGATATATTACCTGCCAAGATAAAATATCACCCTCCCCTAACGGCTCGGGTGATATAAAATCTTAACAGGTAATATATCCACATATATCACTCCAAAACCAAAATAACATATACTATAATGCCCACATCCCTAACAAAAGCTTTTGTGACAGTCGTATTTTGCGACAATGTTGCCCTTGTTAAAATTTAAATCAACTTAACTACACATGAAACTTTTACTTTCTAAATTACACAAATTCTTCATAGTGATGGTTATGGATACACTTTTCTTGCAAATTTATGATTATTATGATGATGATTTATTACTAAATAAATTTTGTAACAGGGCAATACTTATATAAAATTATTCTTTGTATATGATAAATAGAAATATCAATATTTGTCTTTATTTAAGGACACAGAAGAAGTAGGTCAAGATCTAGGGACAAAGGTCGTAGAAGGTCAAGGTCAAGAGAGAGGAGACATGAGAGGGATGAAAGGTTTGTTTGTTTGTATAAGCATATAATATTTTGTATATGATATAGCCACAGTTCTCAGACATAAATGTGCCAGACGCATCCAAACTGAACAAATATCTGAAGCATTTTGATGTTTATTTTAGGCTAATTTAGATGATTTTTACATAGTGCCAAACTTATATTCTTTTGATAAACAGTTTTTACCAAACGCTTTCAAATAATTTCGGAGACTCCACATCATAAGATAAGCTTATGTAAAATGTTTCAGTAATTTTGAACACTTATTAATATGATATTTATATGAATAACTAAATTAAAATGCTCTTTTTCATTTTAGTTATGAAGTTTGTCCTTACTTAATACTTATATGTTGGTATACAGCTGTTGTTAATGCAGTGTACAGTGTTACTCAAAACCTTTCTAAATAGTGAATATTTTATTTCAAAACTAACACAAATTTATTAGACAGAATTTGTATATTTATAGACGTCGTGACCGTAGTGACAGTCACAGGGATCGTGGTCGTGGGCGGAAACCAGAAGAGGAATCGGACGATGATGAGCTAATATTCTTATCAGTTGAAAAACCTCCTGTATCAGGTATGGCTTGAAATTTTATCATTTATTTCAGCTTAAGTTAAAGGTTTTAGTGTATCAGTCCACCTTTTTTTCCACATTCATTATGATTATGGGAGTTATGACTGTACCAGTATAATTATATGGGAGTGTTAGCCAAATGGTAATAAGATGTTTGCCTTTCGACCAAGGGATAAAAGGTTCGAGTCCTACAGGTGAAGACAAAATTTCGTTGTATAATACCAGTGACTGGTTGGTTTTAGAAGACATACGCAAGTGTGATTGATATAAGTTTAAAGATTTTATAAGGAATCTGCACAGCTTTTATGGCAGTACATTATCAGTTTTTGTGTCGCCTTGAAAAAGGCGACATATAGGGGTTACTTTTGTCGGCGGTGTCGGCGTCGTTGTCGGCGTCCCCTTAAGCTTGTCCGGAGCATAAGTCAGTCATTATAAGTCGGATTGACTTCAAACTTGGTATGCATGCTTCTTACAATGACCCGAAGTGCAGTGCACAAGAACCGGTACTCTGCACTCCTTATTTTTTGAGTTATTGCCCTTTGTTAATTTTCATACTTTATTTTTGTCCAGGCCATTTCTCCTAAAGTATCAAATCTATGGACTTGAAACTTCATAGGATGATAGATCTCATTAAGAAGAAGTGCAGTGCACAAGAACTGGTACTCTGCATTTCTTATTTTTTGAGTTATTGCCCTTTGTTAATTTTCATACTTTATTTTTGTCCGGGCCATTTCTCCTCAAGTATAAAAGCTATGGACTTGAAACTTCATAGGATGATAGATCTCATTAAGGAGAAGTGCAGTGCACAAGAACTGGTACTCTGCATTTCTTATTTTTTGAGTTATTGCCCTTTGTTTATTTTCATACTTTATTTTTGTCCAGGCCATTTCTCCTTAAGTATAAAAGCTATGGACATGAAACTTCATAGGATGATAGATCTCATTAAGAAGAAGTGCAGTGCCCAAGAACTGGTACTCTGCATTTCTTATTTTTTGAGTTATTGCCCTTGTTAATTTTCAAACTTTATTATTGTCCAGGCCATTTCTCATAAATTATAAAAGCTTTTGACTTGAAAACTTAGTAGGATGATAGATCTTATTGAGGCCATCCTTAAAAAAATGTTTGTTTGCAGTAACCCGACCCAGAATTTTCAAGGTGGGTAGGTAGGTTGATTTTTTTTTTTTTTTTATTGAACTAATAAACATGGAATTTCAAAATGCTGGACAATTTATGCTTTGATAATCTGGTAACAATTAATAAATTAATAAATGAATTCTAATTAAATAATACCTACATTTTATTTCTTCTATTAACCTTTAAAAGAACAAAAACAAAGCACAAGGTATAATTTTCTGATTAATAAAAAAATTTTTTTTATCCAGACCATGAAAAAAACTTTTGAGTAGGGGCAAATTTTGTGAGTCGGTAGCGTTACTGCAAACAAACATTTTTTTAAGGATGGCCTGATACTGAGAAGTGCAATGCATAGAAACTGCTGCTCTGCATTTCTTATTTTTTGAGCTATTGCCCTTTGTTGATTTTCAAATATCATTTTTGTCCTGGCCATTTCTCCTAAACTATATTGTTCACAAGGTGACACATCCGACTCGCGGAGTTCTAGTTTGCAATATAAACCTCACATAACAGGTCAGGTTATATATGCACCATTTATATAGGTCATATAACCTGTAAAAAATCTTTACAACTAATTAGATTAGCAGTTGTAAGCTTATATAAGGGTTCTATATATAGCAAACAATTCATACACAGCAATATAACCTGCCTATAATTTATATAATGAATTTACAAATGCAACACTATTATATTCTTTGATTAGAATAAAATTAATTCAGATATTTGCAGCAGCAGCAGTGTGTATAAATAATATACTAGTAGACATCACAATTGCCCAATGAAATTCATTGTTACAAATATGCAGTAATATAATGTTTGTAAAGATTTTAGTCCGGTTATATAATGATATTGTCTGAAAATTAACATCAAAATTAACAAAGCCAGCCCGCATAGCTCAATCGGTTAGAGCGCGAGACTTGTAATCTCGACATTGTGGGTTCGATTCCCGGGCTGGCCAACTAAAATTACTAATCAGTCTTTCGGATGAGACTTTAAATCGAGGTCCCGTGTATGGGTGCTTAAACACTTGGCACGCTAAAGAACCAGGAGAAGCTTCTGGAATTGGGGCATCTTTCTGTATCTGTAATTGCACTATCCTCCGAAAAATAAAATGACTAATACTCTTCTGGAGGGCTCGCCCATATGGGCAACCGGTGGCGAGTATAAATAAACGCAAATACACACACACATTAACATTACAAGCATGTAGTATCTGTTAATGAACATACAATACCTTTGAATGAATGCTTAAGTGATAAGGGTACACTTGTATTATGTATTGTCGTTGTGTATCAGAAATTACTTAAACTTATGATGTTATTTATCATTTTGTTCACAGAGGAGGATTTACAGAATATGCCTGAAGATGAGCAGGAACTTATGAAAGTAATGGGCTTCTCAGGATTCGATACAACTAAAGTATGTATAACTTGTCTTAATTAACTTTATGGACACTAGACATTGGTCATGAATTATAGAATTTTAAGATTCAAGAAATCTGTCTCTTTTCAAGTTTAAAAAAATTTATGATTGTTTGAATTTTTTAGCTCAACTAATCTTCACTTTTGCCAGACTCTGGTTTAAATTATCAAGCACTGAGAATAGTGAAGTGCACTGTCCTTATGAAAGCTGTTGTTATGTATCTAAATTCTTCATATAAAGTTTGAAATAGGAGGTTATGATTTCAGATGGGCCTGGTATTTTGATCAAACTCTACATTAAGATGCTGTCTGTCTGTCTGTCTGTAGAGTAATCAAGCAGTGAAATGTGGGGCCATCTGTGTCCTTTCAACACTTTTCTAGTTACGTTTATTATCAATTATAATAATTTTTCATGGTATTATATGTGCCGCATCACGACAAAACCCAACATAATGGGTTTGCGACCAGCATGGATCTAGACCAGCTTGCGCATCCACGCAGTCTGATCAGGATCCATGCCCCTATAGCAAGTAGAGAAACTGATAGTGAACAGCATGGATCCTGATCAGACTGCGCATCCCGCGGATGCGCAGGCTGGTCTGGATCCATGCTGGTCGCAAACCCGTTCTGTTTGTTTTGTCATGACAAGGCTTATATGCTTGCACTGTAGACTTATTTAAAATAAACATTTACAATATGAGAATTATTTTCTTATTGCAGGATAAACAAGTTGTTGGCAATGAACACTATTCAGCAAATATTTGCAAGAAAAGACGTTATAGGTAATTGTAAAAAAATTTGTTGTCTTCGTTGACATTTTGAATTTTTAGATATATTACTACATGTATCTAGAAATTGATATCATCTTGTCTTCCTGACCAAGTAATTATATTAAATCACTTGCTTCTGAGTGGCCTTTGGATTCTAGATTAAAGTTTTGGTGCAGTAAAATATTTTTCACTATAACTTTGTCATTTCTTAAGGTATCAACTTCAAACTTCAAATATATGTTCCTTATCATCAACCACATCTTAAGTGACAATGGTCATAACTCTAGCACTAATATTTTCAGATTTATCTCCCCTTGAACTTAGAATTTTCCTCAAAAAATACTATTTCTTACTGTTTCTTCTTTATTTCCTAAGGGATCAACCTCATACTTCAAATATATTTACATTATCATCATCCCCATCTTATGTGACAATGTTCATAACTCTAGCACCAATATTTTCAGATTTATCTCCCCTTGAACTTAGAATTTTCCTTAAAAAATACTATTTTTTACTGATACTTCTTTATTTCTTAAGGGATCAACGTCATACTTCAAATATATGTACCTTATCATCATCCCCATCTTATGTGACAAGGTTCATAACTCTAGCACCAATATTTTCAGATTTATCTCCCCTTGAACTTAGAATTGTCCTAAAAAAATACTATTTCTTACTGTTTCTTCTTTATTTCTTAAGGGATCAACCTCATACTTCAAATATATTTACATTATCATCATCCCCATCTTATGTGACAATGTTCATAACTCTAGCACCAATATTTTTAGATTTATCTCCCTTTGAACTTAGAATTTTCCATACAAAATATTATTTTTTACTGTAACTTATTTATTTCTGATGGGATCAACTTCATACTTCAAATATATTTACGTTATCATCATCCACATCTTATGTGACAAGGTTCATAACTCTAGCACCAATATTGCAAGAATTATCTCCCCATAAACTTAGATTTATTTACTAGAAAAATGTTATTTTTTATTTTAACTTTTTTATTTTTAAAGGTATCTACCTCAAACTTCAAATACTTATTCCTTATAATCATTTACATTTTATGTGACAATGTTCATAACTCTTGAAGCAATATTTACAGAGTGACAGGGTGAGCTCTTGTGATCGCTTTTCGTCCGGCGTCCGTCCATCCGGCGTCCGTCCGTCCGTCAGTAAACTGTTGCTTTAAATGACATCTCCTCATAAACCACTGAGCCAATTTCATCCAAACTTCACAGGAATGTTCCTTTGGTGGTCACTTTTAAAAATTGTTCAAAGAATTTAATTCAATGCAGAACTCTGGTTGCCATGGCAACCGAAAGAAAAATCTTTGAATATCTTCTTTTAAACAACCCTAAGAGCTAGAGCTATGATATTTGGCATGAAACATCTTCTAGTGAGTGTCTACCAAGTTTGTTCAAATAAAAGCCCTTGGGTCAAAATTGGCCCCGCCCCAGGGGGTCATTGATTTTCCCTATATGCATATAGTAAAAACTTAAAAAATCTTCTTTTAAAGAACCGTAAGAGCTAGAGCTAAGATATTTAACATGAAACATCTTCTAGTGAGTGTCTACCAAGTTTGTTCAAATAAAAGCCCTGGGGTCAAAATTGGCCCCGCCCTGGGGGGTCATTGATTTTCCCTATATGCATATAGTAAAAACTTAAAAAATCTTCTTTTAAAGAACCATAAGAGCTAGAGCTTAGATATTTAGCATGAAACATCTTCTAGTGAATGTCTACCAAGTTTGTTCAAATAAAAGCCCTGGGGTCAAAATTGGCCCGGCCCCAGGGGGTCATTGATTTTCCCTATATGCATATAGTAAAAACTTAAAAAATCTTCTTTTAAAGAACCCAAAAAGCTAGAGCTAAGATATTTGGCATGAAACATCTTCTAGTGAGTGTCTACCAAGTTTGTTCAAATTAAAGCCCTGGGGTCAAAATTGGCCCCACCCCAGGGGGTCATTGATTTTCCCTATATGCATATAGTAAAAACTTAAAAAATCTTCTTTTAAAGAACCGTAAGAGCTAGAGCTTAGATATTTAGCATGAAACATCTTCTAGTGAATGTCTACCAAGTTTGTTCAAATAAAAGCCCTGGGGTCAAAATTGGCCCCGCCCCAGGGGGTCATTGATTTTCCCTATATGCATATAGTAAAAACTTAAAAAATCTTCTTTTAAAGAACACAAAGAGCTAGAGCTAAGATATTAAGCATGAAACATCTTCTAGTGAGTGTCTACCAAGTTTGTTCAAATTAAAGCCCTGGGGTCAAAATTGGCCCCGCCCCGGGGGGTCATTGATTTTCCCTATATGCATATAGTAAAAACTTAAAAAACCTTCTTTTAAAGAACCATAAGAGCTACAGCTTAGATATTTGGCATGAAACATCTTCTAGTGAATGTCTACCAAGTTTGTTCAAATAAAAGCCCTGGGGTCATAATTGACCCCGCCCCAGGGGGTCATAGATTTTCCCTATATGCATATAGTAAAAACTTAAAAAATCTTCTTTTAAAGAACACAAAGAGCTAGAGCTAAGATATTTAGCATGAAACATCTTCTAATGAGTGTTTAGTAAGTTTGTTCAAATAAAAGCCCTGGGGTCAAAATTGGCCCCGCCCCAGGGGGTCATTGATTTTCCCTATATGCATATAGTAAAAACTTAAAAAATCTTCTTTTAAAGAACTCAAAGAGCTAGAGCTAAGATATTTAGCATGAAACATGTTCTAATGGGTGTCTACCAAGTATGTTCAAATAAAAGCCCTTGGGTCAAAACTGGCCCCGCCCGGGGGGGGTCATTGATTTTCCTTATATGTGTTTAGCAAAAACTTAAAAATCTTCTTTAAAAAAACCCAAATAGCTAGAGTTTAGATATTAAGCATGAAACATCTTTAAGTAAATATCTACAAAGTTTGTTCAAATAAAAGCCCGGGGGTCAAAACTGGCCCTGCCCCAGGGATGTCATTGTTTTTAACTATATGTGTATAGTAAAAACCTTAAAAAATCTTCTTTTGAAAAACCCAATGAGCTAGAACTTTGATGTTTAGCATGAAACATCTTCTTATGGGTGTCTACCAAGTCTGTTCAAATAAACAAATAAAAGCCCTTGGGTAAAAATTGGGCTGGGGGGGTGGGGGGGGGGGGGCTTTATACAGGTGAGCGACCTCAGGGCCATCATGGCCCTCTTAAGATATCTACTTCAAACTTCAAATATATATTTCTTATTATTACACAAATGTTGTGTGGCAAGGTCCATAACTCTTGCATGACTATTTCTAGAATTATTCCCCTTGATCTTAGAATTGATGTTAACAAATGTTATATTTTTACTATAACTTAACTTAATTATACATAATTGATTTTTCTTTCATAGTTTTGTCCTCCTTACTGCGTCCAGCATTTTATTAGTCGAGCTTCGCTGTCTCCTGTGACAGCTCTTGTTAGTTAATCTAGACTATCTTTCTATCTTTAAAAAAGATATGTTCAATTCTTTTTATTCTTCACTGCTGTATTAAGAGATGTACTACAGGACGTGTCTTCTTACTCCACCAGTTAAGTTTAATACTATTAAAAGCCAACATATGATTTTCAAAGTGTTAGTGTGACTTAAAACCAGACAACATCAACAACAAGTTACAAGATAGAAAATAGTGTTGAGCAATGGACAGGTTAATACAGAAAAATACAGTTTTTGATACAGATTTGATTTGCCCTTGTCCACCAGACCTGCTGTCAGTAGGTAGATTAACTGTGAAATGTTCGGGCATCTGTGTCTCTGTATCCTATGGACACATTTGAGCCGCGTCATGAAAAAAACCAACATAGTGCGTTTGCGACCAGCATGGATCATGACCAGCCTGCGCATCTGCGCAGTCTGATCAGGATCCATGCTGTTTGCTTACCAACTCTATTTCAAGTAGAGAAACTGATAGCGAACAGCATGGATCCTGATCAGACTGCGCTGATGTGCTGGCTGGTTTGGATCCATGCTGGTCGCAAAGGCATGTTGGTTTTGTCATGACGCAGCTCATTTGTAGATTTTGTGTGTGTCTTTAATATAATTTTGTTAGATCAAAAGTAATTTTTTTAAGAACATAATAGAAAACAAGACAGTAAACAAAATCTTATTATACAGTATTATTATTATTTTTCAGACAATACATGAACAGAAAAGGGGGATTCAATCGACCATTGGATTTTATAGCTTGATATTGTGTTAGGATCTCAGACTACCAAGACTAAATGTGTATCAAAATTGGTGGTTTAAAAACAAAACTTGATGGTTTAAGATTTTACAGAATTATGGTTATTTCAGTGATTTGACAAAATTTGTGTTAGTCAAGACAAGTAAAATGAATGTGCTTAAACGCTACTGTTATTTTACCTACATATAAGAGTTTGACACTTTGTGTGTTTTTAGCTCGACTATAGGATAAGAATAAGTAGAGCTATTGTAGTCACCCGAGCGTCGGCATAACCACTTATGTTAAAGTTTTTGTAATAGTTCAAATATTTTCCAAGTCCATTGACATATGGCTTTGAAACTTTGCACACTTGTTCACCATCATGACCCCAACCTGTAGACAGGAGGAGGTAACTCTATCAAGCATTTTGACAGAATTATGCCCCTTTTTTGACTTAGAATTTACGTTAAAGTTTTTGTAATAGTTCAAATATTTTCAAAGTCCATTGACTTATGGCTTTGAAACTTTGCACACTTGTTCACCATCATAACCCCAACCTGTAAACAGGAGGAGGTAACTCTATCAAGCATTTTGACAGAATTATGCCCCTTTTTCGACTTAGGATTTATGTTAAAGTTTTTGTAATACCGCAAATATTTTCAAAGTCCATTGATATATGTCTTTGAAACTTTGCACACTTGTTCACCATCATAACCCCAACCTGTAAACAGGAGGAGGTAACTCTATCAAGCATTTTGACAGAATTATGCCCCTTTTTCGACTTGGAATTTGCGTTGAAGTTTCTGTAATACCTCAAATATTTTCAAAGTCCATTGACATATGGCTTTGAAACTTTGCACACTTGTTCACCATCATCACCCCAACCTGTAAACTGGAGGAGGTAACTGTATCAAGCATATTTTTTTTTACTATCAAGCACTAAGAATAGTCAAGCGTTGCTGTCCTACCGACAGCTCTTGTTTATCATGTAATACTTTAAAGGCACATTATGCCTTAGGAAGAAATACCCTTCTTAAATGGGGCAAACATGAGTTTTATAATGTTTAATTAATAGTTTTATAGCATGTTAGAAAGAGGGTTAGAATGTGAAATTTTTTGTGAGAAAAGTACTGTACTAATTGCTAAAAAGCTACAGAAGCAAAGATGGTTGAGGTAATTGGCCGATGAGTAAAATTTGGAAACAAAAACATAACATTGAAAATAAGCTCTTGAGAAGCAAAAATAAAAACATTTCTTTGATGTAATAGGCCTTTAAATCCCTAGTTTGCATAATTTTAAGTCTGAGGTTTTGTGAAAAATATGTAGATCTAGTGTTTTGCAGAAAATAGCTGAAATATCACAGTGAATTACATCTTTTAAATATTGTTAGAGAATTGTCAAAATATAATCACAATTAAGTCAACTGTATGTAGAATAGTGATATGAAAACTTTAAGTAGAAATACAATTTTTTCAGATTTTTTCAGATTTTTATGAGCATTTATGCAAACATATTAAAATTGCACATCTCAAAGAAATTAGAACATAAACAGTGTGCTGTCATGAACAAAGAAGAAAAATGAAATCACTGTGCCATGTCTGTCAGACATATACAATTCATTGTGTACCATGCTTTGTGATTGCAGGCACATGTTTCCTCTATTTGCTGTACCTTTCTTTGGAGCCTACATGTATATATTTTATCTTGTACCATTGTTGCAAAAATAAAAAGTATACTTGAGTTGCGTCACGACAAAACCAACATAGTGCATTTGTGACCAGCATGGATCCAGACCAGCCTGCGCTTCCGCACAGTCTGATCAGGATCCATGCTGTTCGCTATCAGTTTCTCTACATGTAATAGGGTTGGTAAGCGAACATCATGGATCCTGATCAGACTGTGCGGATGCGCAGGTTGGTCTGGATCCATGCTGGTCGCAAACCCACTATGTTGTTTTTGTCATGACACGGCTCACTTGTTGATTGTGGTAATTTGAGTGCATAAGTTCTTTTGCCACCAGTATAGAACCAGGCTAGTTTGAACACCTGTTCAGTCTGACCAGGCTATTTATACTGTTAGTAACTGAATTTTGTTGGCAGTCTCCTGGAGTAGACCCTTATGTATATTTCAGAAGTAAAACTTGTATATAATACATTAAAGAAAATTGAATGAACCTTATATATACATTACTCCTGGTTTAGACCCCAAGGTCTATTCCAGGATATAGCCATTTTGTATTTTGATATGGAAATCTATTTTCAAATGGGAACTGTTTCAAATTAAAATTAAGCCTAATCCATTTCACAAATTACACAGATAACTGAATAAATATCTTGAATCTTGAGGTACAAGTCTTTAGCAAGTTTTTAGATCTGTATGTAATAGTATGTTTTTTATCATTTATTCAAGCAATTTCATTGTACCATTAACACAATTTTTTATTCAAATATTGTCATCGGTACCATTTTACCATCCTGTCATCATTGAGCACTTATAAGAAATGTTCATGTATATATTACCTGTTGTGTAAATTAAAAAAAATAAAGTTAAAAAATAAAACATTTGTGTACAAATATTCACTATTGTCATACCTTACCCAAATAAACCTTTTGAATAAAGGTCACTTGCTTAAGTAGTATAAAGAATTAAAAGTTTATTATACGGTATTTGAAAATCAAAATTTTACTAATTACCATTTTTTCATCAGTCAACACAGATTGTTTAAAAAGCTGTTAATTTATCTGAAATATTAAAAAAGTTTTGAACTTTATTTAAAAGGTCATTTTTAAAAAAAAAAAAGATTATTAAAACAGTAATATTATGGGTATGAATAGATCTATGTTATTATTTGTTTGAAATGACTCTCATTTGTAAAAGAAAATAAATTCAAAAAATTAAAGTGATCAGTTTTGTTCTTATTATCTTTAATCTTTGGAAATCCCACAAAATGGTTAGTTTTAGATTGAGCCAGAGACTATAACATTGGTGGTACCTAAGTGGTTTCCTCCCATGATATGGTCAGCCAAATTAAACAGAATTTTAATTTTCCCTTGAACTTAATTTAATCCTTCAGTTTTCAGCAACTTTAACATTCCCTTCTGATGAAATTTGACAGGAACTTGAATTGTAATATATGTCATCTTGAAGGTATACATGTATATTATGAATCCAGCCCAGGTGTGGATCCAGGAGGTGTACATCCACGATTTTTCCAGAGGTCGAAGAAATCTCATAATTCCGGGTTTGGGGATTTTACTACTTTCAGAGGGGGTCAAGAGTAAAAAAGGCAGGATTTTCAAAACTTTTTTTGCGTGATAACAACTAAGAAAACGTTGGTTGATATATAATTTCAGAGACCAATTACTTTCCAGCTGTCAGGCGCGTAGCTGCCTATACGCGAGTACGCGCTGCTGCACAGCTGAATCCACATTATTTTGACAAAAAAATTTTTTTTAGTAAAAAAATGTGGTTTGAAATTCAGCCCCGCGTTCGCCAGATCTGATAATTACCCACACTGAATACTTTTTATAAATCATATAGCCTAAATCGTACACCATACCGTAGTATTTTTTGAAAAGTTGTCGGCCTTTGCAGCTCTTCAAAGTCGGAAGTTTGCACGCGCCGTATTTTCGAAATGTAAACAAATGCCAGCAAAGGCCGCAAGTTAGACTTGCTGTGAAATGTAGACTAGTTAAAATAAACGAAAGTAAAGCCATGCATTTTATGCTAAAATAAATGGATTTTCGTTGGTCAAGAAAGCTCTCCGGAGGCCCCAAAACGCACCAAATTGCACCATTTATTTCAAAATTTTCAGGGGGGGCATGCCCCCTGACCCCCCTAGATTATTTTGAATCCACATTCTTTATTGGCTAGCTACGCGCCTGGCTGTACTGTACAGTATAAGGAAGTTGGAACTTGAAATTCAATCAAATATCCAATATTCACGATAATATCCAAAAAATACTATATAAATAGTGTAAATAAATGTTTATTTATTTGACAGAATTTCAAGTTTCTGTGGTCATCTTCACCTGTCCAAGGAGGTGAAATCCCGCCAGACTCGCTACCTGCCCTTTCCGCTCATGTCTATAAATAGACACGTCATACTTAGGGATAAAAACAAAACATACCCGACTAGATTTTTTTTTTTTGCGGGAAATGATCTAGGTAATGAAAACGCTCACCATCAGAGCAATTATTTGTGCAAATAAATTTACATTTAATGCTAAATTTTCAAACATTACGTAGAGGATTTTCTAGCATGAGTGGCCAGAAGAATATATTGAGCTTTTTCTCGCCGCAGCAAAAGCGATCTTCAGATAAGATTGAGGTAGGAAACGGTGATTGAAAATTGCATTTTTTTTCATCATAAAAACACATGTTTGTATATTTCTTGTTCAATAATCACTGATAATATGGTGCATCATTAAGTATCTTAAAATATTAAAATACAAAAGTTGAAGTATGATGCTGGGATGTACTATAACGTATCGTATGGTCCAGTATGATGGCAGAGTGATGGCCTGAAAGGAATGAGTGCCATGAAAATTGTCTACCAGTAATGATCTAGTCGTAACCTAGTTCAACTACATTCTGTAATTGTACTACCCATTGAGATAAATGTGCTAATTTGTGTATGGGCATTGTCTTCCCAATTCTGCCCAACAAATTTTGCACTTTAGGGCCTATATAGACGACGGTCGCCCTTCATAAAGGCTGACGCCTGTGTAATATCAGTTTGATAAAGTGAGTCCGTCTTGCAGACGAAATAGTCTAATTCTGACCCAGAACAAAAGTATCTCGAAATTTAGCTTTGGCATGTCAAAATATTTTGACTAAGTCGTAACCATAACCATTAAGCTATTGTAACCAACATTGTGAAAAAACAATTCACTAAATTTTGCTTTGAGACCAGTGCAATTACCTGCATGCCGCCAGCTTTGTATCATCCTCTGACACTGCTGTGGGCAAGAAACCTGTAAGGGCCTTAAGATTCATACAAGTGAGAAAGCTATCGCACTGGCTTACAAACATCAGTAGTTCTAAATTCTCAGGTGCCTGAATGCATTAAAGGGGCATGCAAGGTTTTCCTCCATGAGTAATTATGTAAATAAAAACTTTCGCCAACTCAACAATGATAACAATACATCTTTACATTGATTCTCCACTAAACATTCAAATTAGGCTGTAAGTAATAGTGAATAATTGACATTTGCGAATAGTTACCCAGACATCTTTTTTAGTTGGTACAACTCATGTATAACATTGAACACATACTGGTTCTTTTAACATTTCACCAAAAAACTTGTAATATTTTCTGAAATTAAGTTTCCAAGAATTCTAGATTTGTGCAAAAACAGATACGTTACCATTTTTCCAATTGCTTTCAGAGACTAGATAGAAATAATTAGCATGAATATACACGATTTAGAAATTTATTATCATACTTTCAGCATTATAGCAACAGTATATATTACAAAATATTATGCATTAATATGCATTTAAAACAAATCAACGTCTATGAATAGCTTGTGAACTGCATGAAAATGTTACTTATTAATCAGACTTGTTTATTCCAAATACATGAGTTATTTATAAAAGCATTTTAGGACAATAAAAACACTTATGTTCCATACTTATCTATTGACAAAATGTAGCTCGAATTTACTTAACAGTATAAATTTATTCCGCTAAGTGGAAACAAATATTAAATCATAGTAACGTATCTGTTTCACAGTTCTTCTATGAACAAAATTATGAAAAACCCTGAACGCATAGATAGATATCCATAAAGTTTTATAAACAACTGACCAATAAATAATATGTCTGAACCAGTACTTTTAATATAAAACAGAACACACAATATCATTTAAATTTTTTTTTTAGGTTTTATTGTTTTATGTGTAGCTTCAAATAGTCAAATACAATTGTGACTTTAAGAAACAGATTGAACTTAACAAGAACATTTGAATAAAGACATTCATCTATTAGAATATGTATTAGCTAGATTAATGTGAGTGTTTCATAGACTAGTGTGAATTGACATTCTGTTGTCTTTTTGGTTCATCTGCTGTTCAATTGTCTTTATTTTTTCGAATACTTTTTCTTTATATTCTGGTACTATCTCGATCCTTGATTTTGTCATACTTCGTGATATGAGTAAGCCTACATGTATTTGCTTATCTACATTTCACAAAATAATATCCGAAACAATGGTACCGCTTAAAGAAAACCAACTTAGTAAGATTAAGAATTAATCCATATATATGTGCACCTCCAAGATTTTGAGCTATATGCAATTAGTCCATCCCTACCATAGACAGAAAATCTTGATACGACCCTGACTAAAATTTAGAAACTAACGGGCATTCATTTAAAAATACTTTAATATGTTTTTTTCATTAAGTTACAGTGCTGTCATATATTGCCTCACCATATACATGTATTACTTATTTAAACCAATTTTTTTTTCGTTGAAGATTTAGTTATATATATTATTAAAACAGTACTCAAATCTCTTTCTAAACAGATACGTTACTATGATAAACAGATACGTTACCAGAAGTTATACAGTCCTCTACATTTTATTTTAATACAAATTTTGCAAACCAAAAATATATCAACATATATTTATTCCAGGAAATAAAACAGTAAATCTCTAATGTTTCTTCCCTGTTTTTCAACATTTTATTTTCTAGAAAACTCAACTAATCCTTGAATTTCAAATTCCTGATTCACATTTTCAGTTTTCCAATAAAATCGAGATCAAAGCATCATTTATCGGCTACACGTATGTTATTCTGTAATTTTTTACATAAAACCATTTCAAAATTGAGCAAAATCGTCAGTTAAGATTCAAACAATAAATATTGGTAACGTATAGGTCTGTTGGTAACGTATCTGTTGGTCACAAAACTAAAATATATCAGATATACACACGTTTGGTAAAGCATATATTTGAATAATGCATAAATGCGATCCTACTTTTAAGTACTGGTAATAGTAAATGTTTCTCAGTGGGATATCATGGTAACGTATCTGTTTCACTTTAAAGTATAATCCAAATTGCCTCATCATTGCAAAGTCATTGTGGTTCTAGCATGTATATTGTCATCAAAATTATTTTTGAATAATGAAATATGATAAAACTTGAGTTCAATAGCAAACTATTAATATGTTACAAGTTCATATTACTCTTACTCAGGTTTACCTGAAGTTTGGTAACGTATCTGTTCAATATATGAGGGACATGCATTTCAGCTGGTAACTTTTTTTCAAATTCACTGTAGAAAACAATAAAAATCGCTCACTTACACATTTAAACTAAAACTTAATACTGAAGCAGTTTTTCTTCAACACATGTTTCAGGTGAAAATATGTAAAACCAACAGTAATATGGGACCCAAGCCTGGGGACATTACATAATGGGTTATACAGCACCTTTGCATGATAATATTTTCGTATAAATCCAACAGACTAAGTCATTAATTTGAATGCTTTACATACATGACTATGTAATGAAGCAATAGAATGCCAAAAAAAGTATTTTTCAACTGCAGTGCAACAAAATATACTCGAGGGACAAAATATTTTCTAATTTGCACGTTTAGTGGAGAATCAATGTTTAATCGATTATGAAAGGAGGAACTATTTCATGTTATGACGGTAATGTACATGACAAAATGGCTGGCAATCGGATAAAAAATTCATTGTCAAGTACAATTTAAATACAAACAAAATGTCATATCTTGTTATAAAATACTATAAAAAGTTATGTTTAGAATATATTTAAAACTTTTCGGCACTTTTCTAATACTAATAGTAACCTTAGTTTATGGTTATTGAATTTTCTAAGTGGTATTTAGCTAAATATCAACCATACCCATTTAAACTGATAAACATAATCCCTTTAATAAAATGTCCTGCACCACTAGTTAACTAGTCTTGCCTGCTAGTTTCGGTGGAATAACAATACCACTGCATTTACGCATTTAACATTGTTAGGATAGGGTGTAGGTGAAACTTATAATATTGTAATATTGTGTTAAAATATTGATTTATTTCCCATGTGCGAAGTAGTGAAGGCTAATTCCAGTACAAACAGTGTCTGACTTGGTAAAGAGAACCTTCATTATGCCAAGTTGATTAGATTAATACCAAACCATACATTGTACTTGTGTTTTAAAGAACAGTATGTAATTAAGTTTCACACAATGTTCTTGTTATAATAATAAGTGGCATGTATAGTGATATATATTTATAGTTGTTTTAATTTTCTTCTTTAATTTTCTAGAAATGATTAATACAATCCTGGAAACAGTAATTAATAAATGTAACTGAGTCCATTATGTAAGCTCAGAACCACCTGGTTTTTAAAGTGTTGTTCTCCCCATTATTTATATCCAGCTTATTGTCTTCTTTTTAAAGTGTACAGACAAAGAATCCAAGAAGCCAAAGCTAGATGATACACAATGTTCTCCACCAAAGACTGGGAAAGAAAATTTGAGTTCATCATTGAGCCCAGAACAGAAGAAAAGGATGGAGGAAAACCGACAGAAAGCCCTCGCCAAACTATCTACTAAACAGCCCGAGTCTAATGGATTGTTGGTTAACGTTGGGGCTTCATGGAGAACAGCCTTACAAGAGGAATTCTCTAAACCATATTTTGAAAAGGTTGGAAATTAATATTAAATGTACCCTTTTAAAGAAATGTTTTAAGACATAAGGTATCCGCACAGTCTGATCAGGATCCATGCTGTTCACTATCTGTTTCTCTATTTGTAATACAATTTGTAAGCGAACAGCATGGATCCTGATCAGACTGCACGGACGCGCATGCTGGTCTGGATCCATGCTGGTTGCAAACCCAGTATGTTGGTTTTGTCATGGCGCGACTCATATATGTTTTCAATGATTACTTAATTTAAATTAAAGATTCAAAGAAGTATTCTAGTAGTGATGAGTACGTTTCTGAGTTAGCATTGGGAGACAAATGACCATTAGACTCATGGTCAGAGATCATTTATCATGGGGAAATTTTGCCTTGCCAGAAGTTTGAACTTGCTACCCCTGGATTTCAAATCTGATGCTCTTGGTGTTGTGTAGTATTGTTCAGACACCTGAAAATTATAAAGTTGGACATTTTGTTACATTCGCCATAATAGACCTTGTGTGTATCAATGTTCCTGCATCAATACAGGTATAGGTTAACATCAATTATGTGCAGTAATACCAGATGGTGGTGGTGTTGGTAGTATACAATCTGAATCATGGTAGTAAGCCAAAGCACAGTTCAGCCACCGCATTGTTTCTGGGCAGACTGTGAAGCAGTACCAGTACTAGTTGTCTTCACTTTAGCAAGTAAATGATAACTTCTGTACATGGCAGAGCATAGGTACAGTGCAAATATACGTAGAAAGAATTTCATGATCAATCTCAATGAAAATGAACTGCACCATATAGCAACCAAAACCCAGGTGACCCGATTCACAGCCCAATGCTCTACCCATTGACCTAATGGGACGGTTAGTAATAAAAGGTGACAAATATTTCTGTATTTTTCTTTAATATTCTGTATATTGTTTTTACAGTTGAGTAAGTTTGTTGGATCAGAGAGGAACAAAGGCACAGTTTACCCACCAGCTGGAGATGTGTTTAGCTGGACAAGGGCATGTACTGTGGATGATGTAAGTATAATGTGTGAACACTACTTAACATTATGTGAACACTATGCAAGGAAATAACCTATTTTAAGGAGAGATTAACCACTAGGCAGTCATACAAATTTCTTCATTTAGAGCTAAACAATCTTTATTGTCTGTTTATCATTAATATGCCTGTACATTGATAGATTGGTTGCCAAATGGTTTGGTAATACTATTTTTGTCCTGCCTTTTGCTTAGTCCAGAGCATCTTTTGCCTTGTCCATGACAGTTTCACTCTCCTTAAGCTAGAGCCTTCACTTTAATTTGATTTAAACATACTTATTGTAGCTTGATTGAGAAGCAAGTTCTTCCAACTTATGTTGATCATTTCCGAGTACGCTTCTTGGAACTAACCAGTACTGGTGTCAAATGAGAAATGATGGTCATGGCTAGAATAGGGCTTTAACTGATGATCCCTTAGTCAAAAGGCAGACAATGTAACTACTAATTTACTTTATGTCACAGCAAACTTCTGTACTATAGCTTCATTTTGATGATACAACATTGAAACACATTGATTATGTTTATGCTCATGGTCAAATTTTTTAAACGTGTTTAGTAATAGGTTTTTGGCAAGAGATTTTGTTCCATTCAAAGATGTCTTGAGCCCACAGTTAAACGAACACAAGCAATACCTCTTTTAGCTAAATATAGTAGCTTATTGATCAGTAAAGATCATCAAAAGTTCATTTGAGTTGTACAGTAAAGTGCTATTTCTTTTTAAATATTAGGTGAAGGTTGTGATTCTAGGACAGGACCCCTATCATGGACCAAACCAGGCACATGGTCAGTGTTTAATTTTAGTCTTCTTTTTATTCTTCTTTATCTTAATATATGATGGAAATAGTTTGTTTCATAAATTTATATTAAGGGTTGGTAGTATGAAAAGTCAAGTGTTTGATCGTGTTTTTAAAGGTTAATTTAAGCCTTCTTCTAAGCTGTAAAGTCACTACATGTATTAAACAAAACAAAACAAAACAAAAAGGTGCACAAATAAGAATATTTGTAATACAATTTTGGATAATTTTACAGGAATGGCATTCAGTGTCCTGCCAGGTGTCCCTCCTCCTCCAAGGTAAGTAGAGTAAGGAAAAAAATTCATTTTTCTACAAGTATTTAGTTGTTACAGTAACCATAGTGACAAGGTAAAACTTACAATGCATTAATTTCCAACATATAATCTGTACTTTTGTAAAGTTATCTGACAATTGTCCTAGATGTTCTAAGCTTCATATATCTTGTGTAAGATTGATATTACTGTATACATAGATACACATGGCATCTGTGCTTGTCATAATCCTTTAAGCCTGGAAGTCACCATGCAAGTGTAACTTGAAACCTCTCCTTACCAATATAATGTGGGATACCACATTGATTTCTATATGGTGGAGTTATTGCACAAGTCTTTTGCATTATATGTAAATTAGCTTTATAGCTTGTATAGTGAATTGTTTTGATAATGATTGATGGTTTTAATCATGTGTTCATAAATATTTTTCAGTTTGTTGAACATATATAAGGAACTGGAGACGGACATTGAGGGATTTAAAAGACCAGGGCATGGTTATATTATGGGATGGGCTGAACAAGGTAAATTTTTCTGTGACACTTGTTTACTTTTTGCTCAGTTGTCTCCCTTTGACCACAAAAAATTTTACAGGGAAAGTGTATGCTGTCTATAATCGGAAGGTACTATAAAATATATATATAGGTTACAGCTAGGGATAAAGCTATGAGCTTGCCTACCTGTCTGTCCCACTATTGTATAGTATTTTTGTATACTGACCAATCAGTGCATTGTATCAACTAGACACGTTTTTAGTGACGAAATACACTTAACATATTTAGTAATGAAATTATGCAGAAGATACTTTTGGCTTAGTGAAAGGGGCCTAGTTTTGGTCCATCTGTAAAAGCCATGTACCTGGTACATTTGTACTTCTAGAAGTTTTAAAAAAAGAAGATAATTTTGTGCTATTATTAAGTGAAAGTTATGAAATTTCTGGGTTTCTAGGTTCTGTATATGTTCTTTAGTAAGAGGTTGATTTTTACCTCAGGATTAATGGTTATAAAGTTTTGTATTTTCCAACAGGTGTATTGATGTTGAATGCAGTACTTACAGTAAGGGCGAGGCAAGCTAACTCTCATAAAGACCAAGGATGGGAGAGACTGACTGATGCTACTATTTCATATCTGAATAAAAATAGGAAAGGAATTGTTTTCATGCTCTGGGGTTCATATGCGCAAAAGAAGGGAGCACAAATTGACAAGGTTTGTTTATTTTCAAATGGGATATAAGTTTGTTTTATATAAATATAGAGTATACAAGTTTTTATCACACATCGGAGCCGCTTTTGAGACTCTGTAAATATGGTTTTGCACGGCCATGCATGTATTTTGACGTGACATCACTTGCATTATACAAACATAGCAAAAAGACATACTAAATGAGTGTTGCACTATAGGCATATCATTAACAAAAAAAAAGGAATTTTTTCACTATTCAGTTTGTATTGTTCTTGTTTGTTATGTGATAAATAGAATATTGGTGTGAATACATTACTGAATTTATTGAACTTGTTGAATAAAATAATATTGCGCTCGCCAGAAGCTTATTGAACTAATTCAATAAATTCAGTATTGAATTAAGTAAGTTCAGTTTACACTCCTTCAATATCCTCTTTCTCTATTTATTATATACTTACATAAATGAAATATTGAGAATACTGATGAAAAAAAATTGTATTTCATTTTTCATATTTGCAGTGAAACATTCCATATTTTCACTGGTGTCTTCTTCAAAATTCAGCCAATACACAAAATTTAAGAGGACGTCTTTTCGATTGTTATGTCAAAAAAGAGAAAAATGTATATGATAAACAGAAAATTCAAGTTTTATCTATAAATGCAGAAGTTATTTCCATGAAAATTATCATATTTCACTCGCAGCTACCGCCACTCATGAAATATTTATTTTCATACCACTCCATGAAAATTAATCCTGTATTTATAGAAAAAAACTTGAATATCCTCTATATATTGTTACTATGTAGATTATTAAGATTTATACGTTTGTTTGTTTCAGAGTAAACATCATGTGTTAAAAGGGGTACATCCATCACCACTGTCAGCTCATAGAGGATTTATGGGATGCAAACATTTCTCACAGTGTAATGACTTTCTAAAAGAAGATGGAAATACTTCAATAGACTGGGCACATCTTCCCGTAGACTCTTGAGTAATAAAACCAGTCTGTTAAAGTGTAATCTGTTGTTAAGATTGTTTGTTTTGCTTGCCTGTGTTGACAGCAAAATGCAAGTAGAAAAATTGCTGATATTGTATGTGCTATATTTGTTGGACTGAATGACTTTATTTTGATCTGTCTGAATAAATTGTCCTCACTTTGGTTTGACTAAATATCACTATTTAGGGTTAATTGTGTATCTAATTCAAAGTTTTACCAGGTTTTGATTTAAAAGCATTATTTTTGTTAATCTTGATACAGAATTTATTAGCTAATGCAACTGCAATAATATGTTCAATTTTCATTTATTTTTCGTTTATCTTGAGTGAGTTTAACATGAATTGACTTTTTAATGCAGCTTTTTAATTTCATTGAATTATATTTTTGATTGCAACCAAAAAAAATTTACGTCAAAGATTGAATTGTTAGCTGGATATAAAATTAATGCTTAAATTGAATTTATCGCATAATGATAAACGAAGGCGCACGAGTGTACACTAGTGTAATTACATTTTGATGTGACATCATTTGGGTTAAATACCAACATAGCGTTAAAGCGCTCTAATGAAAAATGACTGCAAACCATTCTTATTTTGGATATGTAATAAAAAGATTATTGTCTTTGTGCAGATTCAATCTTAATTTGAGCCCTGTCACGACAAAACCAACATAATGGGTTTGCGACCAGCATGGATCCAGACCAGCCTGCACATCCGTGCAGTCTGATCAGGATCCATGCTGTTCGCTATCAGTTTCTCTACTTGTAATAGAGTTGGTAAGCGAACAGCATGGATCCTGTTCAGACTGCTCAGATGCGCAGGCTGGTCTGGATCCATGCTGGTCGCAAACCCATTATGTTGGTTTTGTCGTGACGTGGCTCATTTATTGATCTTATTTACAAAAACAATATTATGCATTCCAGAGGCTCTCATAGTATGATTTTATTCAACTCGTTAAATAAATTTATAACATGCTTTTCGGTGGTTTATAAAAATATATCAGTGATATAAAATTGGTAATTTCACTGTTTGAACCAGTGAAATTACCACTTTGATAATTTCACTGTTTTGAATTTAAGCCCCTTACGTTGTTTCAGTGAAATACCAGCGTGCACAGTACTGGGTACCAACTTAATGACGTGACGTCGTAAATGACGTCACGTTGTATTATTATTTGGCGCGCTTTTCATTCAGTATTAGGTTTAATGTCTTTTTAAAACGTTTCTTTGCATGTAATAAAAAGAAAATTTGTTTAGTTTAGTGTAAGATCGAAATATATTTCACCTTGTGAACATGAAAAGTTCATATTTCACTCGTGGCTGCGCCACTCGTGAAATATACCTTTTGGTGCTCACTCGGTGAAATATATTCCGATCTTACACTGAACTAAACAAATATCCTCTATTTAATTTTCTTCCAACTTCACTGATTATAAGTTTCTTTTCACTCTGTTATGTTAATATGTAAAAATGGCATTTAATGACAAGTGATGGATATAGGCAGCACACCACTCTAATTGAAGCCACAGCGAGGATTTCATGGATATAGTGACTATTGTGGATTTAAATGACTGGTTGTCTTTAAAGTGCATTTTCAGCATGAAATTTGTTTTTGTGACATGTAATATGATCATTGGCAAATTCGAAAACATGGTTAGAAATCACATGCTGTTAATTATAGATGTCAGGGCTGCCATTGTTTGTAAACATTGCTTTTAACAGCATGCTCGGTGAAAACAATTTATTTTACAGGGGGGTACAAACCTTCAGCAATAGCAAAAAATCTACAAGGCCAAGCACCTATTTCTTTGTGATATTTTGCATGTATAGGGAGTTGCTAAAGCAGTGACAGACTTTCTGTAGCCCATATATTTGCAGGTATTTTTTGTCGGAGGGACGAAATATGTCTCGGACCACTGTAGATTTTTAGGGGCCTGTCTAAAACGCGGACGCCTTAAGCGGACAATATAAACATATAGGGAAAACGCTGACAATATAGACAAAGAGGAAAAAAGCGGACGATATAGATATATAGTGGTGATTATTTTGGGCATTGATGAAGTTTATAAAAATGATGTGTAATTGGATTTATACTTTAATGTATAAAAAAATATAATACATTAGCAAATTGGGAGAAATATTAAAGTAATTTATGATTGAATGTCAATGAATTTTATATTATATTTATATGACACATTTTCGGAATTTCTAAATATTGAAAACTGTGCCTTGAAAACTAATATATGAAACAAATGGATCAAATGAATGTCTTTAGAATTACAATGATGGTACTAAATTGGCAACAGCTGATATGTAATTAAGGATATGTATTTCATTTTGGCATTGTTTTTGTCTGTCTTTATGTGCAGTAGGCGGACAAAATTTTTATTCGCAAAATAAAAAAAGCCTTGATTTTTCAAAATCGAAATTTTGTAAGAGTAATTTTTAATCATAAAGTTATTGATATAAATAAGTAAAGACAGGCTGTTGTTTTTTATTGATACAATATAAGCAGAAGCGTGCTGCAAATTAACGGTAATTATATAAGTGTGAACAACACGCTACTGATTAATCGTGTCGGCACTTAGCTAGAGATAACATGATACGCATTTTGCGGACAATATAGATATATAGGGAAAACGCTGACGATATAGATATAGAGGAAAAAAGCGGACGATATAGAAATTAAGAGTAGACTTATTGATGATGAGGTGGGAATCGATGAACTTAATAGAAATGCTGTATAATAGAATCATATTTTTGTATACGTAAAACTTAATGGCAAATAAGATAATTTTTTTTTAATTACGAATTATACTAAGTTGACCACATTAAAAAAAATAAGGATAAAAACTTTCATTCACATTTGTACAATGATTTTTGGACAAAAACACGCTTATTTATAAATTCATGTTTTTAAGGTAATTTTAAAGTTTAATGGTCGTTGATAAAAAGAAAAAGGCATGCACGTATGTGACGGACACGTGTTGCAAATTAACGACAATTAAGTGTCAACAACATGCTACCTGATTGAACCTGTCCGCTCTTTGCCCTATTTTTGCGGACAATATAAATATATAGAGAAAAAGCGGACGCTATAGATATAGTGTAGAATGATGTGTGAGATAAAATTATAATAAAATAGATAGTGATAGTGTATAGAAATATTGTGCAGTAATAAAAACGAAGATAAAGAATGAACTTCATTGCAATTTTATTTAAGCAATATAACACATTTGGTACATGAATTTATTTTACACATACAAATAATAATAATCCTTTCCTAAAGAAATATAGCCAGATTTTTTTATTCATAACAGTTTTCTATTCTCCCGTTTTAAACATTTATTTCGTCAGCGTTTTCCTTCTATATCTATATCGTCCGCTTTTTCACTATATGTCTATATTGTCCGCATTTTCTGTAGCCACTTTATTAATTGTAAATGGGTGAGATGTATGATTACTTGAAATATACAAGTGTCGGTGCGTGATTAAGTCAAATACACAGGTGACACGTGGATACTTTAATTAGTTGATTGGTTTTTATAGCAGAAAGATTTTTTTATTTACTTATAAATGGATAAAACATAAATAAAACTAAAAAATATTATGAATTAAAGAAAGATAATTGATATAACTTAATTATATACATGGTAGAAGCCAGATATTTTTTTTATTCATAACAGTTTTCTATTCTCCCGTTTTATACATTTATTTCGTCAGCGTTTTCCCTCTATATCTATATCGTCCGCTTTTTCACTATATGTCTATTTTGTCCGCATTTTCTGTAGCCACTTTATTAATTGTACAAGGGTGAGATGTATGATTACTTGAAATATACAAGTGTCGGTGCGTGATTAAGTCAAATACACAGGTGACACGTGGATACTTTAATTAGTTGATTGGTATTTATAGCAGAAAGTTTTTTTTATTTACTTAATGGATAAAATATAAATAAAACTAAAAAATATTATGAATTAAAGAAAGATAATTGATATAACTTAAATATATACATATCACACTTAATTGTAATGCTTTAAGTTAATTTGCAACACGTGTATTTTCACCGGTAAACGTTAATTTTCAAAAATATACTCATTCGCCCACTATTTCATAATTATATATGTACACAAAAGAAGATTCGGCGAATATGTCAATTAATGTGCAATATAGAAACAAAAGTAAATTACAAAACATAGTAAATTGTATATTTTGAAAGAATGTCAATCTACAGTAACACTATATATCTATATCGTCCGCTTTTTTCCTCTATGTCTATATTGTCAGCGTTTTCCCTATATGTTTATCATGTCCGCGAATTGCGTATGCAAAGTGTTCAAATATATTCAAACTTATTTCTTGTGCCCTTATTCAGTTTTCCACACGTGACTGTTGCATGTTTTGTACTGTTTAATTAAAAGTTATTAAGTCAATTAACATGAACAAATAAAAAACATAAATTTAAGAATTTGAACAAATAAATAAACTAAAGTCTTTTTTAATTATTATAATAATTACACCTTACAATTACTACTGCTTCTAACTAATGTCTTTCATATATTACTTTATAAAAGCCAATTATTAGCATTTAATATGAATTTAACTATGCTCAGTCATTTTACACTATATATCTATATCGTCCGCTTTTTTCCTCTTTGTCTATATCGTCAGCGTTTTCCCTATATGTTTATATTGTCCGCTTAAGGCGTCCGCGTTTTAGACTGTGCCCGATTTTTAGCTATTACGGAATGAATTGGAATTTTTAAATGCCTGACTGTTGCATATGGGATGATTTCATTACAGATGTGCAATGTTATGACATACATGTTCTCAATAAAATATGTTTTCTTTTCAAGATTGTGTAGTTTGGGATCAGATTTATCAGACATATTGCTTGTAGGACATTGACGGCAGAAACTTGAAATTAAGTGTGGAGTGCTACCATATGTTATATATAGTATATAATACTGCACGTTTGTAACGTCACTTTTCATTGGACAATCATGACGTTTATATAGTTTTATATACAAGGTTGCTGTCTATTTTCTAAGAAATCTCGCTTGATTCCTTTAAATATGATGCTTGCTGTATTATAAATTCGTTATAAGTATTTCTGACAGGTTGTATGGCCGTATATAAACGGTTGTTTGCAATATTACCCTCGCCTAGCGGCTCGGGTTATATTTACAAACACCTGTATATATATAGAGGATATTTGTTTGTTTGTGTGTAAGATGAAATTTTATTTCATCGAGTGGGCTTTAAAAACAGTATTCTCACGAGTGGCGTAGCCACAAGTGAGAATACTGTTTTTAAAGTTCACGAGATGAAATAAAATTACATCTTACACAACAAACAAACAAATTTTCTTTTTATTTTATGCTAAAAAACAAGTTTAAACGAAATTTCCATAATATTAACATAAATATTAAAATCTGTTTCCCCATTGAGAGCCTCTTTTCGTGCGAATTTCTCATTAAAAACAAGAAGTCTTGAGCTGAAAAATAAGTCCGACAATCAACATTAAATGACAGTGATATTATTTATTTTGTTTAAAAAATATGAATGATCGCTTGTTTTAATAATAAAAACAAACAATTCGTGTAGGAGAAAATTCCAACCATCCATCCATATTTCTGTTACTTACTGCGAATTTATATTAGACCTGGCTTTGTTAAATGTAAGCGGCAGCCATTTTTTAAAGTTGTGTATTTCACGGGAGGAAAATAATTGTGTTTGATTGATCATTCAGAGGGATATCATTTGGAATTGTTAGTCATACACCTTTTTAAAAGAAAGAAAACATATTTGAGGATTGAAACAGACAAAAAATAAGTGTTGACAGATGTGAAAACATGAAAAAAGCAGCTATGAAAATGGAAGACTTGGAACTTGCTCGGAATGCTGGGTGGTTTACTTGTTCTACGAGCTGTAGCTGTCACTGCTTTTCAATTTTTCATAAAGCATGCGGCAGTTATTACTCGTAGGATACTTTAATATGCCCAAATGTCATCAAGAGCAGTTTGCATGTGGAAGGAATGTATTTTTCAGACTGTAAAAATGAAACAAAAAATTTAGAGACGAAATTTGGTGATTGGAATTTGAATGAATAGAAGTAAGTTTTCTTCTTTTTATTACTTTTGACGTTTAAGGTATTTATCAATTTCAGCTTTGCTTTTTCTTTAAACAGCCTGACATTGTCAGAATTGTCAGCAAAAATAAAATTGAGGTACCACATGGGGAAAATCTTAAAAAAGTAGTTTCGTCATTGAAAAAAAGTGAAATTATATTTTGATAATTTTCACTGTGAAATTACCAAATATAATTTTCACGGATAAATCAGTAATCCACTGAAAAGCATAAAATAAAGGGCCATAATTTATAACCTGTCAAAAAATATTCATAACTAATAATGTACAATTAATCTCCAATAGTTAACAATTAATCTGCTGAAATTCCTTTATTGACTTGATCTGCTGTATCAGGATTTACTGTATGCAATGTGAACTTTCAATTTAAGGCCACTAGTATAGATCCTGGTCAGACAAACCTGCAGGCTTTATACTGGTTGCCGAGACTGTCAGTCCAGTTTCAGTGTTAAGTAACATTTTAATTTGTATTGACTGTTTTTATTTTTAAATATACTTGTTCAGTATTTAGTGTTCAGCTAACTATTTTTAGATTTTTGATATTTCAGAATCTTTATATAGATCATTTGTAAATATGTCATAAATTTTGCTAATAAAAGGAATATTATCATTTTTAGATTTATTTTGTTTGAACTTGAAATGACCAAGAGGTTAATATCATTTTCCAGTGTCTGTATTTGGGTATCCCACATTTAAACTGTATGTTTGTGACAATGATTTTCATTGGTCAGTTGTGGTGTTTATATGATATACCTAGCTGCTGCAAATTTAATCAAAGGAACCTATTACCTAGTATTTAAAATCTATTAATTAAATTTTTCACAAGTTACATGACCAGGAATTAGTTATCTTGTATAACAAGAGCTGCTAGCCCCATCCTAGATGTAATTTATTGCATACCTGTGCTGCTTTTGTGATTCCGTTTAGCACGACCGTGCATAACTTTGATGTGACCTCATTTGCGTTATATGTGCTAAATGTTACAGGCGCAACGAAAATATTATTCTTTTGCACTTAAAACAGTCTTTATTTTGGGTTTGTGACAAACAAAATATTATATTCGCGTAGGTTCAATACTGAATTTATTGAACTCGTTGAATAGAATAATATGCTCGCCTGATGGTTAAATTCAACTTGTTCAGTAATGAATCCAAACTCGTTCAATATCGTCTATATATAGCAAACAACTGTCCATAGCGCGATCATATAATATGTCAAGTCAAGTCCTAGTAATGCTCAAAACATCCTTATTTTAATGAATATGACTGACAAATTCATTAGTGTTCACATTCACGATTTCAACAGAGTAATTGCACCTTTTCGGCCATTAATATCTGCAAAAGATAAAGAACAAAAAAGTACACATCTAAATAGGTTATTCTGCGTTTCCTTATTTGTATTAAATTTCATACTCAAATGCTAATTCATGCTATGAAGAAATGCACTTGTATATCTTGAGTTTGTTCTCTAATCATATGTAGCAGCAATAAGCATTACAAAAGTAGAGCTTTAGTTATCATTATTAATTTATTTATAAACACATAAGAAATAGTTCTATATTTGCATGATATAACAAAATTTGATGTACAAAATAATCATAATCCAGTATATAAAAAAAATAACTCCATGGGCTTCATATTCAATTGTCCTACTAGTTTCACACACTCTTTGGCAACTACTGGAGTAGACACACAGACAAGCTTATAAGAGACTGGAGTCGAATATCCAAGCATTGATGAGTGAATTCACTGCACCAGATCTGAGTGGACCATATAGCTAGGCTTCATACAAACTTTAGACAGCCTACATCATCATCTTTCTCATTGATGTCGAATTGATTTATTACCACGTGGTCGGGATCGTGTATTATACGAGATTGATGGTTTGTCCCTGTACTTGATTCCATCTATCTGATTCGTCTTTAGGTCTTTCTGTTTATTCACTTGATTTTCCTCATCAATAGTTTTCTCATCATGATCAGTTTGATAAGATTCAGCTGAGTTGTTTTTATTGCAGTTGTTTGCATCTTGTTGGTTATTTTCAGAATCAGGAGGAGTATCTTCGTCTTTTAAACTCTCACCATTCAGATCCTTTTCAGATTGAGCATTGTCATTTACTTGGATGGAATCGTATAAATTCCGTTCTGTGATCGGTGAATCAATATTTTCACATTCTTTGGTTTTAGAATCATTTGTCATCATAAGTTTCCTTTGATGGTCAACATCATGATGTATTTTATCGGGGAAAATGTTTTCATTTGACGGTAAAGTTTCGGCACATTCAAACTCCGAAGCATTTGATTCTTGTGTCCCTGTTGCTGGATTTGTATCCTCATCTTCGTCGTTCAGTATACTTTCTAGTACTGATTTTATTATATCCTTCTTTAAATCATCATCAACTGATTCTGTTGTATTCAATACACGTTCAAGTTGCGCTGTCAGTTCACGGGATAGTTCAGTGCCGTCAACAGTTTCTTTATCATCATTGTCATCTGCCGTTATAATAACTTCAGTGATAATGTCTCCAGTGATTATGTCACCATTTTCACTTGTCTCTGCGCGCAGATTTTGCAGACGATAAAGTGTCTTTTTGAGCGGAAGTGGGCTAATAGAAATATCGTCTGCTTGGTCAGTTTTGAATGCGTCAAGAAGATCGTGATTTTCATCACAGCCATTTCCGTTGTTGCTTTCGTCACATTCAAGATAGTTGTCCCATCTGTTATTGAAGGAAGAAAACAACAACAACAACTTATTCTAAGTTTTCTATTTAAATTCTGTAACGATTATAGTTTAGCATACTACATGTAGAATTAAAAAGCCATTTTGTAGGAAAAAGTCGAAATAAAGTGACCTTAGATAACAGAAACATATATTACTTAAAGGTTATACATGAGCATTTGTATATTCATGGCAGAATACCAGCATTTGAAATACGTGTACGTAATATTATTGACTATTCTCTGTTGAAATATACACGGTCAATTCGTTTTATAAAAATACCTTTTCATGTCCAAGTCAAGGGATCCAGGGAAAGTGTCTGTGAGTAGGGTATCTGCTGTCAGGAAGGGGTCATACGGGTCAAATAGCTCCAAATAAACGGCTTTTGGAAATTCTGAAAGTTACAAAAAATCCTGTTGACCATACATGTACTTGTCAGTTATCACTTGTTAAATAAAACTATTTTGAAATTCAACTGTCTTAAAAAGAAGATATTTATATTATTTTAAAATTTAATTTATTTATTTCTAATTAAGCATGAACTAACCTTTCATTTCCCAGTCTGACGGATTCTCTGAGAATGGAAATGGCCATAAAGTATCGATTTCCGGTTCCGGTTTTGTATCGTCTGAATTCAATGTTTCTTCGTTTGCTGTAAAATGTATGCAATACTAGTAATTATAGAGATCCACGCATGTATGTGATTTTGAAATGTGTATAAGTAACCTGTTATTTACTAATTATGCCGTTAACAGTAGCGTTCTTTATATGCTGCTTATTTTTCCATTTCAATGCAACAAATATTTGTTTGGAGAAGATCAGATAACTTAAACATATTTATCCAACAGCACGATGCGATTGAACATTGACTAAAATAGCATTTCATATTACGTACAACAATCCGCTTTCATATAAAATCGTAATTTCAGAGTAAATGTTTACGCCTTTAAATTTTAGAATGCTTGTGGCAAGAAGCAAACGCTCTGGAACGCAACAATAGCAGAAAAGTATCAAATATCGGCCGTTTACCTTCTTTTATAATGTCGTTTGCCTCAATTTTCACGTTAACTTTGTCGCCAGTCTCCCTTACAATTGCGGTCTGCTTAACGTTGCTTTCTTGTGTTGTATTTATTTCCGGTTTGTCTCTGACAGTTTTTGGTGTGGATTTTAGATGACCATCAGTATAAGAATCACACTTCGTTTGCATGTCATTTGAAAAGTCTTCCACAGATTTCGATTTGACATGATCGCCATCATCAGACGAACTTTTGGCAGATGCGTGTGTGTCGACAACAGTTTCCTTTTCCACATGGATGACACACTCAGTATTTTTGGAGCTTTGAGGCTTTGTCTGCATGCTATAGCTAGTATTAAGTGTCGAATCAGAAATCATACTATTTTTCTCACAATTAACAATTCTTTTTTCTTCGGAACGCTGCTGCACCGGAACATCCGTCAATAACTTCCGGAAAGACAAACTCGTGCTGTTTGATCGAGCTGAGACAGAAATTGGACTTATATGAGTCTCGACAATTGGAATTCCTAATGGCACGCGCGTACGATCAGCTGAAATCACATTTGCACAACAGTAGACATAACAAATGAAATGTTAACGATCTATATAATTTTTCAGCATACAAGCGGTCATTTTCGTATTCTATTACCAGCCTCATAACTGGTTGTTCAATGCTTATTAAACAGACACTAAGATACAAAAATAATTTTCAGCTTTTTATGTTCTGTGAAACATTTCATTCCAATTCCAAAGCTTTTTCTGGGACTATGCACATTCTCTTGACTGTTTTTATTTCATGACACAATCATGAACAAAATTATACAACACTTGTTAACTAGATTATATACCTTAATTATCAAGTGGACATCAAGCTATCCAGCTAGCTTACGGAACGTCGGTGGTTCTACTCAGGTGCCCGTTCGTGCCTGAAATAATGCACGGAAGGGCACCTGAGGTCTTCCTCCACCAGTAAAGCTGGAACGTCGCGATATGACCTATACTGTGTCGATGTGACGTAAAACCCAAAACAAAACAAAACATCAAGTGGACATTATACATGTAACGATATTGCTATCAATATTGACTAGATAAATGAGGAGCGAACTACTTTAAGATATCCTACTTATGTTTTGGATGTTTTAGTTATATTTTATTTTCTTCTCAATATATACTTACTTTTTTGATGCTTGTTATCCGGCGTCCCTCTAGTAAAAGCATTTGGCGCATCGGACACTATTTTGAACGTAGCAGGTAAACCTGGGTTTCTTACCTGGGGTGCATTGGGAATAAATTGAGGGGGCATCCGTTTTAGATTTGGAAACAAATCGTTTGCAAAGCCGGGCCTCACAGCGCGAAACCTCACAGTTTGTTGCCCAGCAAGAGGCGGGGCAACAATACCTACAATCCTTGGCGACTGAGCAGGCGAGATTGCAAACGGCGTGGTCGATTGTGAATTCTGGGAATGAATGGCTTGGTCATGTAATGAATTGATTTGATGAACCGGTGTTCCAGAAATATTTTGTTTTTTGATGAACGGCGCTCGTTGCTGATAGTAACTTCGATCCTGCGTTTGAGACACGTTTTCTCCACGCCCATGCGATAATTTACTTGCCAACAAACCACGTGTTGTATCGGAGACTGTGTTTTCCGTGGGAATTTCAAACGCGGATTGGTAAGAAACACGTGCCACGTGTAAAGGTCGTGAGTTAGTATCAGTATAACAACTGGTGGCATTTTGGCTCAAATTCAAAACCTCGTGCATTTTTGAAGATTCGACATTTCCTGCAGAGGTTTCAGAAATTTGACCTTGTGCGTTATTGCCAGTACTGGATAGTGGTGCCAAACTTTCATGCACAAGTCCACTCTGACCCAGATTTTGAGACGTAATATTAGGTGGCGGTGTTGGCGTTTTTGTGTACACGACACCGTCCTCTTTCTTTTTCATCGTCGGGGCGCTTGGTTGATATACCCAATCTATGTAAAAATTAAATGTTCAAGCGTGTTGAATTAAGAATATCTATTGTACTATAAATTAATATAAACTCAATTACTTGAACGTTATCAAATACTTTTGATCATCATAAGTCGATTTAGAATAAAGATTTTTTTTTTCTAGATAGTTGTTTAACAATTCACGTATAATGTGCGCAATAATGCACAGTGCAATAAAACACTTTAATTAGAATTGTTTTAAATTCATCTTTTTTTTAAATAAAAGAATTCATTCTGATTTGATATTCCACTTAAAGTCTTCATAAAGCATATATTTTTATTACATGCTTTTCGGTGGTTTATAGAAATATATCAGTGAAATAAAAACTGATAATTCACTGTTTTAAACAGTGAAATTATCAATTTGATAATTTCACTGTTTTGAATATTTGAGCCCGGTACGTTGTTTCAGTGAAATAAAAGCGTTCACAAGAATGGAAACCAACTTAATGACGTGACGTCGTAAATGACGTCACGTTGTATTATTATTTGGCGCCCTTTTCATTTAGTACTATGCTTCAATGTCTTTTTAAACGTTTCTTTGCATATAATAAAAAGAAAATTTGTTTAGTTTAGTGTAAGATCAAAATATATTTCACCTCGTGAACACCAAAAGTTCATATTTCACTCGTGGCTGCGCCACTCGTGAAATATACCTTTTGGTGCTCACTCGGTGAAATATACTTCGATCTTACACTGAACTAAACAAATATCCTCTATATAAATTTTAACAATATTTTCCCGATACTTATTTTAAACAAAGGAAATATGGAAATATTTAAAGCATCAATCTAAAACTTATCGTTTACAGTAATCCGGCGAAAAGATAAAACTAGAGCGCACTTTACAGTCACCATTATTCTAATTATTATTACCAATACCTGGATAATCCTGTCTATGTTTGGCCTTTATTTTTTCTGCTATATCGTAATATTTTTTCTTCTCTTCCAATGCCATATTTGCCCACATTTGCCCTAATTTAACGCTTATCTCCGAGTTGGTTGCATTAGGCATAGAAGAGGCAAGGAAACCACGATAATCACGTGCCCAGACCATGAACGCGTTCATCGGACGCTTGATTTTACCATTCTTGTTCTTGTAATGAGCGCCTGGCGTTCTATATTCAATGTTGGTTCCTGGAATAGAGCCGCTTTGATTAACAAAAAATTCTTTTAATCATTCATTAGCAATATAAGAACGTCTTGAAAAAATACCTGAATTGGAACTTTCCAGGAGATCCAGTTTTTCAACCGTTTTGGTTGCCAGGTACTTTGAATGGGTATATTTTTATTTTCGTGCACTGTGCTTTTCTTTCTCGTCTTGTTACCATGAACTTTTTCATAATTGGCAAAGCAATGAGTAACAGCACGTATCATATCATTATGCTCAATACATTTTTGGATTGCCCTTTTCTGTTGCTGTTGTTGTTTCCTTCTTTTGTAAATTTGATTACATGTAAACCGTTTCCGACACAGGCTCCGACAGGACACGTTAATTATTATGTTATAAAGTTACATAGAATATAATCTTAAATTCGCTATGAATAGATGATAAAACACACGAAGACATGTTTCAGTATTAAAATTATCGTGTTATACTGCTGACCAAGTGATACAAGAGCTTTAATCTTTACGACCTAGCCTGTTTATGGCGACTAAATCGACCCATACGCCCAGTGCAGACCAAGATCAGCCAACACCCAATCCGTACTGTCTATGGTCAGGACATGTTTTGAAAATTTCCCTAAAACTGATGGAACACATCTCGTTTAGCGGACCCAAAAAGATAAGCTTGCGTTTTCCCCCATATTTTTACATGCTTATTTTCAAATACATTTGTGTATGCAACAGATTCGGAATAACACAAAAACAAAGATAATAGGGAGAAAAAAACGCATGCACACTGGGGTCAGCTACCCGAATGTAATGGTTTAAACTATATTGAAAGATGGACAAGATCATTTATGGTATTCAGCGTGACAAAGGTTTCTTATAAAAGCAGCACGCCTCCAGATTCCAGCTAATATTCGTGAAATTTTTGAAAATGTATCAAAAAGTAAAATATTGTGAAGTGAACAAAGAAAATAGTATACACATTGCAAACGGCACTTACAATCCACCTAAATTGCTTAAAAGAGGTCAAAATATTCAAAAATAGCCCTTATCACACACAAATCATGCAAAAACAGCCCTTACTCACTGTGAACATCGGCCATTTATCACAAATAACATGGAAATTATTACCTATATATTCAACTTTTTTACTTTTCATAAATTCTCAATATCTTTTTCTCAAGTTTGATTTTATTGAAATATTTTGCCTCATCTGGAGGCATGTAGCTTTAAATGTGAATCCTGTATTTACCTGGTACACATGATGATTTTGGATCATTCGTATCTTGTTGTTGTTGTCTCATTAACGACCATGCTAGTTTTTTCTTCATGTCTTCCAAAACAGCTTGCTCCTTAGACACCTTTGCTAGATACGGGACAAATACTGTACCAGACGAATCTCTCGAAATTTGAGTGTACAAAGATTTTTTAATCACTTTTTGACTCCCAAAGACCTCGCTTGCTGTTTCCTGGGCATTTGCTTTTGAAGTAGACAAAATCTGAAACAGGTTTTTTGTATCTCCTTGACCCCGAATGTCAGAGGGTGTTTGAGAAAACCCGGTTTTAACGGAAAAAATCCGAGACTTATTCTCCGCGTCATTGCCCGTCGTTGTAGACTGATTTGTACCAGCCATGTCTACATTTGAATTTCCAACAGCTGTTTCTGCTTCAGTTTTAACAACAAGTTGAAATGAATTATCCTTTTTCATCGAAGGATTGTTTGTCAATATAACTGTATCCATTTTTATGTTCTTATTAACCGGAAATTTGTGTTGGGCGCATTACCGGAAGTGAGTTTTAAACAAACTGGCGTCATGACGCCATGCGTTTCAGAACGGCGTAAACATTCCCGCGTAAAATTTAACACGTTCTGCACACATTTATACGTTTGATTAATTATAAGAAAAACGTTTCTAATGATATTTCCAAAGATATTTCTTATAGAAAATAGTTTTAAATAAAAGAAATCTACCTTATAAAAGAAGTAAATATAGGCCTGCTTTAACTATTGGTATTTCACTACGATTTCAAACGATTTGAAAGCAAATACACGTGTGAAATATAATGAAAATGACAGGGACGTAATTTTTTTTAATTTTTGGGTTAAATAATGAAATTTTACACTTATATTTAGATCCATGACCAAGATCTGGGTGACTTCATATACTCTTAAGTTACCTTTAGACATACGAACATTGTCAAGCAACGGGTTCTTGTCCGGAAAGAAAAGAACATTTTGAAGTGCTAAATACATCCATACAAATTTTGAATTGATATACATTGTACATAATTAACAATGTATAGGTGTCGCCGGTCAATAACTGTCGGTAATTTTGCAATTACAGCTCAAATTGATTATCAAAGAGGTAGCTATACGATATTTCTTGTTTTCCGCACCACGCACGCAACCTGATATTGATGTTTTACGCCTCACCTATGTTTTATACAATTTGTGATACGTGCGGATCAATAACGGAATCATTTTAATTTTTGCGGCCATATTTCTCTAGCAGTGGCATTCAAATTTCAGGTGTTTCCGGTTTGAAATATATGTAAAAGACATACGGGTATATAAAATTATTTTGTTAAGGATATATGGTATGGTACAAAGATTGTGTAGCTGTGGACTGTTCTTCATCAGGCATTGACAATGGTTTTGTGGTCCTCAAATTTATTTCCTGATCATGGGAGTAATTCATCTTCGGAGATCTCCATTAAGCAGACGACAAAAGGTGCGGTGAATATTATGGACACATTGAAATGTTACGTGTGTGGTCATTTTTACGTAAAACCAAGGATATTGCCGTGTGGACATTCATATTGTGAAAAGTGCGTTTCCGGTCTGAGAGAGAGTGCTTTACAGGAGTTTAATAAATCACGTGACCGTAATTCTCACAGACGCGGGGATTCTGGGTTCTTCACGTGCCCCTGGCCAAACTGTCACTACTCCATGCGGATAATGAATGTTTCCAGATGGACACTGAAGAACAAAGCCTTGTCGAGGGCAGTTGCTGAGGCTAAAAGGCTAGAAAAGGAGAGACAGGTATTTCTTTTCTGATATCACGTAGGCTCATTATTAAGTAAAACGCTGTTGAAAGCTATTGCAAACCAAATAGAATGCCAAAACTGTGCGAGGATTGCCACTTTAAGATACATGTAATAGATCTGTATCGATATTATATAATCGGTTGACACTTCAGTTCAAGTAAAATATCATTGAAATATATTGAAAGAAGCGAATAAATATTTATCACAAGGTATTGATTGTTTAAAAAAAAAAACAATTTTCTTTATACAGCACATGTTAGGTGGTGAATTGCCCTTTTCAGTGGTGGCTTCCGTGTTTATAATATTATGTCATGGAAAGTGTAATTTCATATCAAAATACAGTGAAATATGTTAAATAGCCCCACATGCTCGTTTTTAAAGCATTAGACATGATTTATATACAATGTGATTCTTTACAAGAAGACTCAATATAGTCAAAATACATTGACATTGACTTTACTTGACTTGACATGAAGACTCAATATAGAATTCTAGCAGTATATCGCAATAGTAAATACTGAAAATATGTTGACTTAAAATAACAATTGTGAAACTACTACATAGTAGTCAACCATTAAAAACAACATTAAATTCTAAATTTTAGAATACTTTTTTTAATTACATACAAAACAGTCTGAGTGACATGTACATTTATCATATATAATATCTTGGAATAGATAATGTTGCCATGTATACGATACTACATCGGCTCGGTTATAGATACGGAAATGAAAAATATGTCAATTAAGTAAAAACGGTATAAACATGTATATATTTTTTCAAAGATACGATAAATACACAAATGTAGATTCTTTAATTCAAAGTCAGCTGTAGGATTTGATACATGTTTATTGGGAGAAAAAACAAGAAACAATCCTTCCTTTTACGAACTAAATAAGTTCACAATTCACGCATGCAATAGATGTTACTTTACATTGATTGTCCATGACTGAAGTTTGTTACAATTAAATACTAGGAGCCAATAGCTTTTATCTCCTAATTTAAGCAAATTTGTGCAATGTTGTTGACATTTAATAGTACCTTGGGGTATAGTTAGGACATGAAATAAACAAGAGGTATAGCTGGAACATCATTCTATACGGCGTATGTTCATAGGAACTAGAGTAATATTGGTTGCATTCACAAAATTAACATATGAGTCGCGTCATGACAAAACCAACATAGTGCATTTGCGACCAGCATGGATCCAGGCCAGCCTGCGCATCCGCGCAGTCTGATCAGCATCAATGCTGTTCGCTTACCAACCCTATTGCAGGTAGAGAAATTGATAGCGAACAGCATGGATCCTGATCAGACTGCGCGGATGCGCAGGTTGGTTTGGATCCATGCTGGTCGCAAACGCACTATGTTGGTTTTGTCGTGACGCGGCTCATATGTCTCCGAAGAGTATCAAAGTCACGTCACGTGGCGATTCTTTAGAAAACAGGCGTAAGATGGCCAAATATTACTAATACCATCTATACAATTGTCTGGATTTGTATGAAGGCCTGGATTGAACTACTGTTCATGTTGACCAACAGCTTCCTAACATGAGATTTATATTCAGAGCGGAGGTCCTAAACGTTATTATGTTACATCGTAAGAAAAGTCTCCCAGGTTCAGCATTGAATTGCATTATACTTGTAATATATTTGATGTCCTGTAATAACGCATAAGCCATGTCGAGCCGTATACGATTTTCCATAAAAATGAAAGATTGTGGAATTATATTTAAAATTATAATTTAACAAATACATGTAGATAGGAATTGCTTTCATGAATTATTCATAACCATAAAATTGAAACAGGTCCATAGCTTCCAAAAACTTAAGGATCAATATGGCGTAAATTAAATTAAGGCATTTCTAACTGGGCACGAAAAGTAGTACCATATTTGCAAGCGCTACGATAATCATGATAGGACTATTTACAAAACCATATTTACAAGGTTCAAGGTTATTTTGAAGGTTGAAGGTTAAAAGTATTTCAACGGTCGTTTTATAAGTCAGTGTGCTTAACCATTATCGTTGCCATTATTTGCTGGCTTATGTGTTAGCCACACAAACTTTTTTAAACGCATATAAATACTTATAATTATTGGCGTAAATGTTTTTTTTTTATCAGATCTTTTTTTTTATTTATTATATTACATGTATTTAGCTCAAAACACCTTACATTATGATTTAATTCATATTTCAGACTGTCAGCACTCAAACGGAAATAGACTCTTCTCGGGTGATCATCTCCTTGCCGGCCAAACTCTTTAAAGCGACTGGAAATGGAGCTTCTCTGAAGAATGGCATAGTGCCTACTTCCCCGACGGCAACCGTCGTCCGTAATATGTTACAAAATATTGTCACTACAGAAATTGTGGATGTTCAGCACTGTCAGCCTCCAAGTGATAAGCCCGACGGGACAAATTCCTGGCGGTCATACGTTTTTGTCGCCGGAATGACGTTGTTAGATCAAGTGCTTAAAATGTCGTGATTTAAATAACAGACTACATGTACTTGATTAAGCCATGGCGCCAATATTTTTCTCAAAATGTCCATGAAACTTTCAACGTCGTTATGGTAACTTCATAAATAATGTTTAATCGAACACTATAATGTCATTTAAAGCTGATGTTACACAATTACGGAAATAATTGATCGAGAATTGTTATGTTTATAAAGAAAAATGGAAGAACAATTCTAATGCAGACGATACTTTCCAAGCAGACGATAATATTATGGACATCCGGGTATTTCTCCCAAAGACCCTATGTCCACAGCAGTTTCGTATTCCCATAAATCCATAAAAAATATTACATTATTAATACAAAACTAACTCAATAATATCATGTTGAAAGCCATACTTTGATTATTTTCATGTTTCGCAGTCAAAGTTTGCTTTACAACAATACATCGCACTAAATAAGTTTGGTTGACATTTACATGTACATGTGAATCCGGGCACAACGAAGCATTGTTACATTAGCTACATGGAGCTAGCATGCAATGAAGCATACCTTTTGTCAAAGAGCGTGCTGTATTGAAGTCTTAGAACCTGACTAATGTAATAGAAACAGCGTTCATTTTCGTAAAATGGCACCAACTGCGCATTATAAATAAAGTGTATTCAAACATTAGTTCACTGAAACGTCGTTTTCAGAGACTTTTTTTGCTATAAAAAGCTCCGTGGTCGTTTCCAAGAAATCTAACCGGAAATCACATGACACTGTCGGCTGCTGCAACAACGGATACATACAAAGGGACAAACAATACATTGTATAATCTTAAAACAAGATATTGATCTAAATTTCTGCATGTAACTGTACAACTAGACAATTTGTATGAAATTATATCAACATGCCCGCTGTTAATTCTAAATTTTGTTTCTCTAATTTCAAATGAGAAATAATAGACAGTGTGAAGAGTGTTAAGAAATAACAGACATTGTCGCAGAATAGATTTCCAGGAAAATCTACATGTAAGTGTCAACATAACTTAGTGCTTTTCAAAGCTGTATATTTTCATAATTATATTGTAATGGTTCCGTGCAACACGTACTGTAGTAACTACAGTCGTATAGATACAACAGTGTTGTACAGAAACCGTCATTTTCTTTTGTTGTTATTTTGTTTTGTTTTTGAAAATGTACACAAATTTGAAAGCAATCACTATTGAGTGGTATTAATTAAAAAAATAATTAATGCTCGATGCACATACAAGAACAAAGAGTGTTTAAATCACCATTATTTCACTTCCAGTACTGAAATATCTTGTACAACTATGTGTATTAATCTTGATGTAATATTTGATGATATGCTGAAATTAACAGAACAGTTCTCTTCTGCACAATTATACAGTTTGAACTAAAACAAACAAACAAGAACTTGGTAATAGAACAGAATAGAACAAAACTATCTGAATATTTATGGAAATATTAATACAGCTTAAAATATTATAGACTAACTGACCCATGCACATGTATCTTTCATTGTATTTGTATATGTAAAGGTCTTTCTGCTAAGAACTGCAGAATCTACCCCACACGACCAGTGCAGAACAGGTAAAAGGCTTATTAGCAGTCCTTGGGAAAGTTCTTCAAAAATGAGTAAAATAACATACAGACTAAATGATGCAAATGTATCATATATAATTTAGTCGAAACTGACACCTGACTGGAACTTTAGAATAGTAAATCAATGAAGCAGTACCTATATATGTGACAATGGTTCATCTCCCCTGATCAGTATAATTGGAACCATGTTTTATCTCCCTTTGATGAGCATGAGAACTGGATAGAGCATTGGAATAATTACAATTTATAGGGTAACATCAACTATTACTTGTACATGTAATTTTACACCAAGAAAAGCAATATACATGTGCTACTATTTATAGAAGTTGTTTTCTCTAAGATTACCCTAGAATATGTATTTAATTTGAACTTAAATTGACTTTGGAGGTTTGTTTTAATATAATTTTATGTTGTGTTCATTTGTATATGTAAATGAGCAATTACAATGCACCTTATCCCTTCACACACCCCTAGATAACTTGATATCTAAATAAATAATGATAATAGTTTGTAAACCGCAGTTTTCCTTTAAATTGATTCCTCTTAGTCATAAGTAATGAATTGATATAGAACATGATTTATAAAAATAGTAAAAATAATGAAACTATTCAGGTTTAAAGAGAAGGAAAAACAATATATTTAACTACTTATATGTGTAAAATAGAAAGTTGTTGACACAGGAGACAGCTGTGTGAAACAATCAATGTTACATAAAGTTGTAAGACAAATATTGGGTCCCCAGACATAGACAACAGATGTTCCATAAATACAATGAAAAATTCCTGCCGTCACTTTGCAGGCAGTTTTGTCAAGTGTTAAAATATGTTTAAAAAAATGTTTTAAAGCTGCTCGCCTAGAAAAGTTAAAAAAAACTAATTGTAAGAAAAATATATCTGTATTAAAGAAAATGCATAAATATTCACGATCTATGTAATACATGAGTTCAAGCACTGCCAGGGGCAAGCTGTTGTTTCCTTGCACAAGAGTTTTTACAATAATTGCTTGGTAATGATTGTAATACTGATGCTGGGAACGGATTCAAGTGTGTTCCCAGAAGGTAATAGCTTCAAACACAATCAAACTTTACTAAATTAATTCAAAATAAAACTTAAACTAAAAGACACCTTGCAAATATTACAGAATTTACTATTTTTAAACCACCATATTTCAACATTTGATACTACCAGAGCAAAGATTATATCCGAACATTTTGACATGTTATAGGTTATATATGACGGCAGTAATTGCCATAGGCTAGGTAATATTGTTTCTTTGTACAACTGAAAACAACATTTAAAAACAAGAGAATTTTATATTTTTTTAATAAAAATTAAACATGAATCTGGAGGCATGCTCCTTTAAAATTTAGAACTGAGCAATAATTCAAAATCTAAACCAAATTCTTTTTTTTTTTAAGGCTCTGGCGGCATGCTCCTTTAAAATCTAGAGCTGAACAATAATTTAAAATCTAAACCAATTCTTCTTTTTTTCAAAAAAGGCATGCTCATCATTATTATAAAATATCAATAATATTAATAAGTAATCATAATGAGCTTACAATCTGACATGTATCACCAAGAACTGAATTTGAAGAATACTACAATAAATACCTTATATAAAAAAAAAGTTAATATGCTATAATATCTTACAATACTGAAAGAAATATGTACTTATTGACAAAAATACAAATTAAAATAATGAACATTAACATGGAGCAACAAGGAAGTAACCTATCATCTTTCAAAACCAGAGTTATGTCCCTTTAAAACTATTTGACTAGATTAACCATGTAAATGTTTTCTATTTTTGGATTTATAGTGTATGTGTGTTGTTTTATGAAATCTGTCACTGAATGTCTGAAATCTGTGATATTGTTACCCTTGTTACTACTTTAGATGCTTTAATTAGATAGAAATAAATGTTTCTGTTAGAAAAAGTTTCTGTTTTCTTTTATGTCATTTAGCCACAGATATAAATATATATATATATATGTACATCTATATTGAGCTCCATGATTTAGCCTGTTTCAACCTTTACCCTGCTTGCGTTATACCATAGAGTTGTCACCCTTGAATTTGTAACCATTATACCACAGAGTTGTCACACTTGAATTTGGAACCGTTATACCACAGAGTTGTTACCCTTGAATTTGGAACAATTATACCACAGAGTTGTCACCCTTGAATTTGGAATCGTTATACCAGAGTTGTCACCCTTGAATTTGGAATCGTTATACCACAGAGTTTTCACCCTTGAATTTGGAATCGTTATACCACAGAGTTTTCACCCTTGAATTTGGAATCGTTATACCACAGAGTTTTCACCCTTGAATTTGGAATCGTTATACCACAGAGTTTTCACCCTTGAAATTGGAATTGTCTTTTAAAAGTGTTACTAGTATTTCAGTACTATAATATCAAAATATGAAAAAAATAATTGGCATTATCTATTATTTATTCAGGGATTTTATTATCAAAATACAAAGTGTTATAACACCAGTGCAATATTGTTTTTATTCAATGGCTTTATCACATAAACCGCGGCGCAGGAGTGTAATAAAGCTATTTAATAAAAACGATATAACAATTGTCATTAGTGTATTCTAACACGACCCGCATTTTTCCCTATTGAACATAGAAGAACCGAAAGTGTGTGTTATTGTGCAATAGAGTCACTGTTTGACGTTCTACATTTAGACATGTGACGTAATCATTATACATGTGACGTAACCACTATAAAATCCCACGCGCTGACAATAAGTACGGAAACAAATCAGGTGCAATTTTGCTTAATACCAGGTACGGCTGCATTTATTTGTTTATGTTGTGTTAGAATCGAAATAATATACCCAAATCGGTGATTTTATCGCTTGATAACATCACTGTTTGTCGTTCGGATGCGCATCATTATATCACTCGGGCTACACCCTCGTGATATAATTCCTCGCATCCGAACTCCAAACAGTGATGTTATTGAGCGATAAAATCACAGTTTGGGATATATTATTTCTTAAATAACACTTTGACGTGACATCATTTGTGCTATATATAAACATACCGTTAAAGCGCGCTGTTAGCGTTACACTTTAGCATGTCAATGAGTAATGTCTTTTTTTTACACTTTACAGTTTTATTTTGTATATGTGATAAATAGAATATTAAATTCGCTCAATTTACTTAACTTGTCAAATAAAACAGTATTATGCTCGCCAGAGGCTCCCATAATATGATTTTATTCTACTTGTTCAATAACTTTAGTATCAAACCTACACACTCAATCAATATCTTCTATTTATGATTCAAAACCTTTCAACTACACAATGCACTCAAAATTTATACCTATTTTCTAAATATATAAACCCAACAGATCACACAGATAAACATACAGACAGACAGCACTATATTTATACTGCCAGAATGAACTTTCTGCACTAGAACTTGCAAGTTTTACTTCAAATGGCAAAAAAACCTATATTATTCTGTCACTAATAAGAAGAATACTTAGGAAAAAAGGTATCAATTTTGAGTGCATTGTTGTAGAATTATCCATGGTTCAACACTTTCTAACACGCTTCATCAACAACAAATTCTTACACGCCACATGCATCTAACATGCTTATTAAAAAAGAGAATTTGTAAAAATATGTTGCACTACATTGAGCGTAGAAGTAATTTTCCCTGACAACATTTGGTTTATTGACGTCAATTCTGACATCATATGACATGTAAGCATTCCTTTCTCATGCTGTGCATATATCTTGTAATACATGTAAATGCACTTAATTGTCCTATCTATTTGATAGGGGAATAGTGTGAATCATGATAGAATTGTTTATATTGTGAAGAGGATCACATCAAAAGAAAATATTGAAATAATGGTATTATTTCCTATGAAACAGAACAGCACATGCATGGCATCATAGCTAACACCTACTTAAAGCTGCATGCTTCCAGTTGAGTCAAAATATTTCAATAAAATCAAATAAGAGAAATATTTACTATGATTTTAGGAAAAATAAAATGATTTAAGATTTATTTTACATGTTATGTGCGGTTAATGACTGATTTTTCAGTATTTACAACTATATTTCTACTGCGTTACTAATGCAGTAAGGGCTATTTTTGCTCATTTTAACCTCTTTTTGGTAATTTTACGTGTGTTGTAACTTTGTAAGTGCCATTGATAATGTGAAAATTGCTTCCTTTTGGTTATTTCACAATATCATACATTCAAATAGATTTTCAAAATTTTCATGAAAATTAGCATGAATCTGGAGGCGTGCTGCTAATAAACAGCTTGAAATATCAAATTTGGAACTTAGAATAGCAAGAGAATACATTTTTAGTGAAAATTATTTTATTTTCAGACTATTATGATTCACAGTATCAACAATTGTAAAATTACAAATCTCCTATAAAAAATTTTATCATACGGGTATGACAACAAGCTGATTGTACAGTTTTTTTTTTAAATCCGAGTATAAATGAATAAAGTTTCACCAAAGTATCGTTTGCAGCTTTACCCTCGTCAACATGTTTCTTGTTCATAAGCCAAGCCCTGGCTGCCATTATTTATCCTTTGACTCTCGACTTATGTTGAATATCGCAACCTCTTCATGAAGTTTGAATATCTCACTTTTTAAACAGTATCCAGATGTTATTTCTTTCAGTAATCATAAATATCACTCTGCTTTGCTGAGCATTTCAATAAATTCAACAATAGTCCTGGTGGGTCGACCTGTAAAATATCAACTAGTAATAATGTCATGCGTTTAAAACTATAAAGTTCTTTTGAAAGGTCAATAAAATCAAGTCAAGTGAATCGTATTAGTTAATGTATGTCAGCAGGTAAAACATACAACCATTCTATGTGAAAAATTTCATAAGAACTGAAGCTAAATAAATCTCTGCCGTCTAAAATTTCAGATTCGATAAATAGATTTAAACTAAGTAAACCAGATTTTCACGTAAGTTGCAAACTCTCCTGTCACATATAAGTATTTAAAATAATAAACAAAGCCAAGGTCAATTTGCTGAATTCTGAAACCTTCGCCTTTAAGGTTAAGTCAAGATCATATAAAAATATGTCAAAATGAAACTCACAGTATGTACGGTCTAAGTATAAAAGCTCTAGATTATAAAATGAAAATATTTTTCCTACATTAAAAAAGTTGTTCAGACAGTTTGATATAAGAGGACAACCTCAGCTCCCCACCCCCACCTCATTATCTCTATGGGCAATAAAATATCATGTGATTTCTTTGATGAATTAGAAATAAAGAAAGTCAGATCCATACCTGCCATCCCACTGTTAAGATAAGGTACTTCATCTTTGTTCGACATAACTCCAGCTATATCTAGATGCATCCAATTCTTGTTTGTAACAAACTCCTACAATTTTATATTAAATATCATCATATTACAAAATATGCATCACAATCTATCTATTTAAAGAAACAACTAACAGTAGGAACAATTTTGTTAAACATTTCAGATCTAGAGTTGATTAATTTTATATATTCTTAAAAACAGTGTATATGGGGCGTCCATTGTGGAGTGGTTAAGTTCGTTGACCTCAAACCACTTTCCCCTTACTGCTGAGGGTTCGAATCCCGACAGGCACTTTGGATTCTTTCATGTAAGGAAGCAATCGAGCTAGCTTACGGAATGTCAATGGTTCTCTTTAGGTGCCCGTTCGTGCCTGAAATAATGCATGGAAGTGCACCTGAGGTCTTGCTCAAACAGTATAGCTGGAATGTTGCCATATGACCTATACTGTGTCAGTGTGATGTAAAACCCAATCAAACAAACAACAAACAAACTAAATTGTACTGTGTTTTTACATGTTGATACAGACATATAGCAAAACACTAAACTAGAAGTAGATACAGATACAGTCATTTTATATGTTAAATCTAGACCTACACACCTTATAAGTGATCAGACTATCAGGTGAAAATATAATGTGCTATGCCAATGTACATAAAATAAATGAATCCCAAATTTCATCAATGATATATAATCTATATAATTCACTGCTGAGTGTTATTTGTTTCATATCATAACTTTTTTTTCTTCGCTTTTCTTAAATACGTGGAAAACATTACTCTATCATATTTACTGTTTGAGAAATGATTGTACATCAATTTGAAAAAGGCAATAAATGAAAATTCAATGAGATATATATATCTTGAGGCTTATCTGTTTAATCAACAGTTAAAGAATACTTTTACCTTTAAGAAAGCAGCGGCAGTACATGATCCCCCGGATCTAGAATGTTTCCCGATGTTGTTAACATCAGCTAGTTTACAGTCTGTCACTTGTTTTGTATAGTGATTAAATAAAGGCATTCTCCATACTCTGTCCCCAGTATTAGCACCTGCCTAGAAATACAATAAACTGACAGAAAATACATATAAACATATGTTTATTTGTGTAGAAATGGCCTAAAAACAAAATCTTTTTTCAGTATATTTTTGAAAAGAGCCTAAAAACAGACTCATCATTTTGTGTAGAAATTTTCTACAAACAAAAACTCATTTGTGTAGAAACTGTCTACAAACAGAAACATATTTGTGTAGAAACTGTCCACAAACTGAAATTTATTTGTATATAAACTGCATATAAAAAATAAGCATTTTTGTGAAGTACTTTCTAAAACAGAAACCTATTTGTTTTACAGTGTATAAATCATGTTCATTACATACATGTATCAAATTAGTGTCATCTCCAAAATTGTACATGTCTTATATGACATTTTAACCAGTAACAATAAACATCAAGAAATAACTACATATATTGACAAACTACTTACTTTCTGCAGTATATTCCAAGTGTCTGTTGACGTAGCATAAACCCCTGCGGCACCTGACCCCAGAGCAACGTCAATTGCTCCTGTTAAATAGAGTTTAACAAAATCATACAGTTAGAAATATTCGAGGATGTTATGTGTTTATTAGAAGAGCATATCTAAAAAATTTTTATTCCTTTAGTTGAGCAAGAAAAATTAGCACTGACTAAAATAAACTCCAATCAAGCTAAAAATATATCATTCAAACAGTCATATCTGTACCTTTTATCCTAAACAGAAAAATAAAAATTTCCACCAACCTGTTAAAGTAGCCATATCTAGAATGACTTGAGGATTGACAGTCTCGGCATAATTTAAAGCATCGGCTAGTATAAGACGACCCTCGGCATCTGTATTATCTATCTGTATAGTTTTACCATTTCTTGCCGTGACAACATCTCCCGGTTTAATTGCTCGACCACCAGGCATATTCTCACATAGAGGTATAAATGCTATAAATACACAAAAATTTAAATACATATACATATAATGGCACCTTAGTGCAGTAATGGATTGTCTTGTATCAAATTTAAATAAGAGTTAACTGGTTACTGCACTTAGATGACATTATATATTTCTAACAATTAAAGCACCTACGTCCTAAAGCACTAATTCTTCGTAAAGGCCAAAATTTCAAAACTGATTTAACCACAAGATTTGTCAGTTTCCAATCTGCTGGCTGCAAATTAATTTTTTAGACTACTTTTATTTTATTTCCAAAGTGGAGCTTTTTATATTCTCAAGGCAGAAAGATTACTTGACCAACTCTTTTAATTTTCACATTAATTTGTCAATCTAAAGAAAATACTAAATATATACACAACATGTTTGAACTGAAAACATGTCCAAATGTTTAAAACTTAATTAAAATAAAACAAAACATTTTGATTTTTAGTCATCAAACATGTCCTACAAGGTTATATTCTGATATAACTTCAGTCAGAACAGTTCTATTGTAACTTTAATAAGACGACTGGTGGCCATGTGATTTTGGTTTCTGTTGACAACCAAGAAATCATACATTCCAGCCATGCACTGGTCACACCCATATCTCCTTATATGGCACTAGAACTTGTAGGTTCCAGTCAAACTCTGGTCACATCTATATTTCCATACATGGCACTAGAACTCGTTATTTCTAGGAACAGAATGAGACTGGTTCAATTAGCTCTAAGCCTTCATCACAACTGAGCTAAAATAAAGTTCAAGATTTAACAAAACAATTTAGCTAAATCAGTTGCGTTTTAACAAAACAATTTCATTTGATATAACAGTAGATTTACTCACCATGTACATGTACTGGAAGATCTAACCGGTCTACGGAGTACAAGGTACCGACTGTACAAGCTGCTCCGCCCATATCTGCCCTCATCTGGTCCATACTGGCTGCAGGCTTGATGGAAATACCGCCTCTGTACAATAACATCAATTGAAGCTTTTATTTCACATTGGTAGATATTTTTCTTAATCTTGGGCAGTTGATCATGTATCATGTGCACAAATACCGCCCAAAAGTCTGTATTATTTACAAGTATGGACCGTAATGGCATTGCTGACTTGATACCAATATTATGTCATTGAATACGCAGTTGAAATTCAAGATGGTGTATGTTTGTTTGTTTGTTTCATTTTACGCCTTTTCCCAACAGTAAGATGGTGTATGATACTAGGGTTATTATACAAGTATCTTGATATATTTCTTGTATTTTACTCTCATGGCATTGACAACAATGACTCATACTTGTGAGATTCTAGCCTCTAATTTCAAATACAAAATAGATCTACTCTTATTTATTTGTATCACTAACAAATTTCTTCTTCTACATGACAAAGTAAATATTGTCAATAACATACACATGTATTTGATATGATAATCAAAATGTGCAATTTACAAACATACCATGTCTACTATTTGTAAAGGTAAGTTGAATCAAGACTATGAATGATACATTTCTATTATGTTATTTTATCAATTAAGGCTTGATATAACTATATTAAACACTAAAATAATCCAAATTTTATCAAAATTAACATCATCAAAATTTTATCCAAACTTACATTATCCAAATTTAATCTCAACTTATCCGAATCTAATCCAAACTTATATCATCAAAATATTATCCAAACCTTTATTATCAAAATTTTATCCAAACTTATCCAAATTTTATCCAAACTTATTATCCAAATTTCATCCAAAACTATATTATCCAAATTTCATTCAAACTTAAGTTATCCAAATGTTATCCAAACTTATATTATCAACATTTGATCCAAAATTATATTATCCAAATTTTATCCAAAATTATCTTATCAAAATTTTATCCCAACTTATGTTATCAACATTTTATCCAAACTTGTGTTATCCAAATTTCGTTCAAACTTACGTATCAAAAGTTACACCCTTGCCAACAACAGCAACGGGACTGGACATTTTATTGTCTGGATGTTTGTATTCTATATGCAGGAAGTAGGGAGCCTCACTCGAACCTTGTGACACCGCTAGGAATGCCTCCATCTTCTCACTCTGTATCCAAGACTTATCCCTTAATAAATACAAACATCTCTTAAAACAGAACAACTCCATATTAAACAATAAGGAAGCATGACTTTTGTTTATATATATACAATGTATGTAAACTTGTTATCTAAAAGTGAGAACTTTAGATTAAAAGATTGAATTAAGAGGCATATTATTTGCAGTGCATGGATACAGTCAAAAATGCTAGGCATACACATTCACATTTCAAAAGTAGTTTTCAAAAAGAACCTTTTACGGGGCTGGCTGGTAGGCAGGCAACAACTTTTGGTTTCCGCTCAATAACTTTAGTTTGTTATGGCCTATTGACACCAAACTTGGTTTGTAGGTAGCTTGTATCAACAGGCAGCTTGGGATTGCTACCCAGGTGTCTGTGATCAAGGTCAAGGTCACTGTTACTAAAATTAGAAATTTAGTTTCCGCTTAATAACTTGAGTTTGCTTTGGCCTATTGAAACCATACTTTGTGTATGGTAGCTTATATCAAGAGACAGCCAGGTGTGTGTGATCATTGTCTGGAATTTTGGCAACAAACGCCCTACATACATATAGCCCTTATTTTCAATACCAATTCAGAACTTACTTCCTTGCCAAAAATAAGATGCCTTTCTGTATCATTTTAGGAAATAAAGCAACTAATATAAATGCATTTACTTTCACATATATATTATTGTCTTACCGTACATGTATCGTAACATTTGATCTATTAGCAAATTTTTGTTGTACTGCCTCTACAAACAAGGCTGGTGTTAGTTTGTTCGATGGCATTTCCATTAGATGGCGGGCCCAATTCTGTCCTTCAGCCTTTATCCTTCCTCTTGTCCATGATTTCTTTGCACTAGAACTGAAAAACATAAAAGTAATGGATAAAAAGGTGGTATAAATTTTTTTTTGATGTTATTCATGACTGGGTGGTAAAAGACTACATGTATTGTTGTACACGGCAGATAGCCTAATAATCTACTTTTGATTTGAAATATCTTGTTTCTAGTGGTGGCTGGCCGAGTGTTTAACGTGTCAGTTTAGTCATTTAAGAATTGCTGGCCGTGTGGATTGGTTTATACAAATATATTTTAGTTCGATTGTGTTGGAAGCTATAAGCTTATTGAAACACTCTCGAATCCGTTCCTGGAACCAACCAGTACTAAGCAATGAATGTAAAGTTTCTTGCTCAAGGAAACAACGGCTTGCCCCTGACAGGGTTTGAACCCACGCGGTAAGCAATCCTTAGATTACTAGTCCGACGCGTTAACCACTCGGCCACGCCGCCGTGTGGATTCAAACCCCGTAAGAGGCAAGCTGTTGTTTCTAGAAAATTTTCACTCATTGCTAAGTACTAGTTGGTTCCAGGCATGGATAAGAGTGTTTCAATAAGCTTTTAGCTTGCAACACAATCAAACTAAAATAAATTAGTATTAATGAAAATAATATTTCATTTTTTGTGATAAAAAGTTGAAATTTAATTTGAATATAAACAGGAAAGATGATTATCTGGTTAACACATACCTTGCAGTAATATGGTCAACCAGGCAGGACAGTTTAACAGCCTTTTTCCTCTTTGTCTTATCTTTAAGTTCATCATACTCAAATAAACTTAAATATCCACCCTCTGCTGCAGCTGAAAATAAATACAATTATATGAATTTACAGGACTATTAATTTCCAATGATAAAATCTTTATGATAAATTGAAGAAGTTAAATAAACTTACATTATGCAAGCTTTTATCGAGGAAAGTGATTAGATAATGTGATAAATAACTAGCAAGGCCTTGAGAACACGAAAATATGCTTTTTTATCATTACATATAATTTCTTAATATTATGGTGGAAAATATATTTAAACATCAACCCCATCATAATGGGATCATTTGTACAAATAGGACCTGTAATATACATTTGTATCCAACTTTCTGAAATATGTTAACCTAATATACCGTCAGATAGATGATTGTAGGGCCAAAATGGAATTGGGGGTACTTTCTTTTATAATTTCTATTACTGAAATAGAGAGATATTGCCTCTCTTAAATTGGACATTCTGCTCATTTTGTTGTTGTCGAGTTAAGCTGAATTGGCTCCATATTTAACAAGAGGGCCATGGTGGCCCTGAAATCGCTCACCTGTATATAAGCCCCCGGGCGTGGCCAATTTTAACCCAGGGGTTTTTATTTACACAAACTTGGTAGACACCCATTTGAAGAGGTTTCATGATAAATATCTAAGCTCTTCTAGCTCTAAGAAGATTTTTTTAAGTTTTTAGTATACACATATAGGGAAAAACAATGACCCCCCCCCCTCTAAGTGGGGCCAATTTTGTCCCCAGGGCTTTTGTTTGAACAAACTTGGTAGACACTCACTAGAAGATAACTCATGCTTAATATCTTAACTCTAGCTCTTTGGTTTTTTTAACAGAAGCTTTTTAAGTTTTTACTATATACATACATGTATAAGGTAAATCAATGATCCCAGGGGCGGGGCCAATTTTAACCCCAGGGCCCTTATTTGAACAAAAATGGTAGACACCCATTAGAAGATGTTTCATGCTATATATTTTAGCTCTAGCTCTAAAGGTTTTTTAAAAGAAGATTTTTTAAGTTTTTACTATATATATAAAGGAAAAAACAATGACCCTCTGGTATGGGGCAGGCCAATTTTGACCCTAGGGCTTTTATTTGAATAAACTTAGTAGACACCCACGAGAGGATGCTTAATGCTTAATAGCTAAGCTCTAGCTATTTGGGTTTTTAAAAGAAGATTGTTTTAAGTTTTTACTACATACAAATAAGGAAATTCAATGACCCCCCCCCCCCCGGCGGGGCCAATTTTGACCCCAGGGTAAGGCTCCCACGTTTACAATTTTTTGTAAACGTTTACACGATAGCTAAGAACCGAAACGATACCGTTTAAACAGTGGTAGTTCTATGTACTATACACCGTGTATTTGAGTCGCCAAATGATGTCTTACTTTCTTTTTTAATGCATTTACAAATAAAGAATGTCCAGGGCTCGTCACGATTGAGTCAGCACACATTTTCTTCATTGTATCCCCATGCAAATTTTACCAATAATGTATTATGTCACGAGCACTTTTCGCCAGATAATGCTGTGTGGCGGATTGTAAACACCCATTTTCCGTTTTATACTCTGGAATAAACCACTAGAATTGATAAAATCAATGATAAAAGGCAATGATTAAGAAATTTTGTAAGACAATATCGTCATTTCGATTAAACAGTAAAAAATATCGTAAACGTTTACACATGTAAATCGAAACGAATCCGTTTAAACGTGTAATCGTGGGGGCCTTACCCCAGGGTATTCATTTGGTAGACACTGACTAGATGATGTTTCATGCCAAATATTTAAGCTCTAGCTCTTACGATTTTCTAAAAGAAGATATTTTAAGTTTTTTCTTTTGGTTGCCATGGCAACAAGAGTTCTGCTTGGAATTAAATTCTTTGAACAATTTTTAAAGTTGACTACCAAAGAAACATTTCTCTGAAGTATGGATGAAATTGGCTTTGCAGTTTATGAGGAGATGTCATTTAAAGTCGGACGCCGGACGAAAAGCGATCACAAAAGCTCACCATGTCACTTTGTGTCAGGTGAGCTAAAAATGATGACTACTATAATGTTCATTGAACAATAATCGATAATGAACAAATTGTTTTGAATAAAGTATAACAACTACCAAAAATATAAAAAAGAGATTGCCCCATTCTTTTCATCACTTGGACGTTAACGATACAGTCTGATTGATACATATAGAATTTTTTGAAGAGTCACATGGTTTATTTATTATACACATGAACAAGACTATGAACTTGATGGCAATTATGGAATTTTGAAAAATCTAAAGTTATTTTGACCTTCACCTGTACAACCACTACTTACACTTGGATGGACATAATGTCACTTTAAGCTACATGGATATGGATATACACTTGCTACCCTGACAATGTCGCCTAAGGGGAGCGGTGGCCTAGCGGTTAAGGTATCTCTCTCTCAACCCAGATATCATGGGTTTGAGCCCTAATCGGGTCACAACCATGTTTCTTCATATGACAACAGGACAACAGTACTGGTTGGTTCCAGGAAGTGGACTGGAAAGTGATTAATATAAGTTGCAAGAACTTGTTTTGCAATCAAGCTTAAATAAATATGTTTAAACTAAACTGATATCCTGGCATTGATTCATCATATATAGCCAATATACCTTCAGCATTTCCACAAGGATCAACGTCAACCTCTGTTTCTCCAATACTTCTTAATGTCTTTACACCACCTGTCAAATATCATATCTTTCTATAAATAACACACATGAAATTATTATAATCAAGCATGAAAAAAAAACTTGTGATCATTTATTGTTGAAACTAAATACTTCTCCTGAATAGTAGTATGGAAAAAAGTAATTCAAAGTCAGTGAACCACTCAGCCAAGTACTCAATGACCTTTAAACTGCTGGAAAAGATATTATTTAGTCTTTGTCATCCGTGCTGTCTGACCAGGCTCTGTCATGTTAGCCGACTAACTTCATCTCCATCTTTATATCCACAAAATTGATAACAGACAGTTCCAAAAATCAAATCCAGACAAGTACATTCAAGAAATTCAGTAAGTTACAGCTTTAATTAGCAGGTTATTTTGGCTTTAAAAGAAATACAAAAGTGGATCACTCACTTGCCACTGCTGCTCTGATATTTTCAGAACCCTCGTCAAAGCCTTCAGCCTCATTGAAGCTGGCTCCCTTCTCACCTATGCAGCATAAGGCAACACTTTCATAGCCAGGAACCACATCGTACAACACTCGGCATCCTCCTTTCTTCAAATCTCTGCTAACACTAAAAATATTCACATAGACATTTATCAGAATCTGATTTATACATCAACGACATAGGTCAGTGCTTTATACATATGATTACTAAATCTGACACAATCTTTACATGTACATGTATATTGTAGTAGATAATGAAATTAATATTTGCTTATAAAATTAATTGAGGGTGCAGTTCTATAAAGGTTGAACACAAGGATTATAAAAATTATGACCAGAAAAATGGTAAACTCCAGGAATAATCATTGCAGTCTTTAACCAAGTCTTCAATTTTCATGTAATTTTGCTGTTTTTAATGCTTCGGAGGATCACTTTTTAGTAGGGATGGCAACGAGTAACTGGTTAACCGAGTACTCGATCGAACGTCCGAATATCGGTTAACAAAATTGATATTCGATTACTCGGAAAAAATATATAACTTATATTTTTTTACCATTAAGAAAAATTGGTGTGTCCAATTAGTTCAGAAATTCGGAGATATGCATGTATCTTCATTAAATACCTGTTAAATGTAATCAAAACATCCTTGCAGAGGTGCGAAAATGATAGGCGATCAACGGTTGACACGCGCACCTGTGTCGCTTATGTCATCCAGCTCTTATGATATTCAGTAACAGTTTGTAGCGGAAGTAACTATTTTGAAAATAACAAAAGGCCGATAAGGATAACTAGTATTTAGACACATTTTTAAACTTTGTTGCCGCCGATCAGTCTATATTATTTCAAGATGCTATTGCATTCATTAAAACGTTGTAAAATATGATGTTGTTTAATTTGTCTCCCGTGCAGTCCTATTTATAGTTACGAATTCTATTAATTTAAATAGAAAACGAAAGTAGCATGCGGACGGTGTTGATATTATGAGATCATTGGAAATCATCCGAGTAACCGAGTACTCGATCGGAAAAATGACCGAGTACTCGAGTATTGATTTTTGTATTCGTTGCCATCCCTACTTTTTAGCAGATATTAATAAGGGTTATGTATGATACTTAATGTAACCAGAGTATATTAGATTAACTCCTGCAGGTATAATGCCATAAAAACTACTTGAGAGTGATCAGCCAATGCTGCCAGTGACCAGTATAGAGCCAGGCCAGCCTTTACTTCCATGCAGTCTGACCAGGCTCTAAACTGTTGGTAGCTCAATTTAAGTACTTTAATATTGAATTACCTTAAACTTTGAAAGGACTGTTGTAAATTCATAGCAGAGAAAATTAAACAGATTAATCAGATTAAGAGGTAGCCAATAACTATGAAATTGTCTTACACTTTGAGCAGACCTGAGATCTTCTTGGAAGACTTATCATCAAAAAATTGTGTACTCTTATCCAATATAAGGTCCCCATCCTTTTCTTTTGCCTGGTAAACACCTAAGACAGCACCTTTGTTCTGTAAGCAGATATAATACATGTACTCTGACAACATGTACAATCAACTTCTGTATCTCTTATTTTGCAACAATTCAAAACAAGCACATGGGATTCAGTTTATCCTGGACCCAGCAGCTGGGTTAAAATACCAGCAACCATGCTTCTTGTAGTTCTAGCTGTTGTTGACTGATAGTGGTACTTATATATCAACCTGCTAAAAGAAATGACCAAGCTTTTTTCAAACATAATGGTACCCTTGAGAGCACTACATTTGACTTGTACCTTAAATGAATATGTTAATGATACATTTTTTTTCTTGACACGTATCATCAGTTTTTACCTCAAATCCTTTAATTTAGTATCAACTTCAAAACTAAGCAAACAATTTGGAATTTATATAAGATGATATCTATATGGTGGCACTGAGTTGACATGTGAGTGTTTTTGTACACAATATATTATGTTATGTGCACGAGTTACTAAGTCATGTTTGTTTGTTTGTTTTGGGTTTTACGTCACATCGACACAGTATAGGTCATATCGCGACGTTCCAGCTTTACTGGTGGAGGAAGACCTCAGGTGCCCTTCCGTGCATTATTTCAGGCACAAACGGGTACCTGAGTAGAACCACTGACGTTCCGTAAGCTAGCTGGATAGCTTCCTCACATGAAAGAATCCAAAGTCCCTGTCGGGATTCGAACCCACAGCGGTGAGGGGCAAGTGGTTTGAAGTAACTACTAAGTCGTGTGCACGAGTTATTAAGTCGTGTGCAGATGAAAATTAAGTGGTGCATACAAGATACTATGCCCTGTGCACGAGTTACTAAGTAACGTGTACAAGATAATTAAGCGGTGGGCATGAGTTACTATGTCCTGCACACAAGTTACTAAGTGGTGCACATTACTTTCTAAGTTGTGCGCAACACTTAATAATCTCGTGCGCATGAGATACTAGATCTTATGCCGTGCACACAAGATCAATAAAAACGGAGTCGTCACCTCTGTGACACCGTAGATCTAACCACTATTTCCTAAGAATGATATACTCATACCCACTCAAACAGTGTTGTTTTTTTTTAAAACTTATAAGTCCTTATAACATTCAAAATTGATATAAAGCTATAGATTAAAGACGACTTTAATTCTAATACACGTATTAAAGCCGTGCAGTGAACATTATCCGGAAATTGGTTCTGTCTAGAATCTGGTACAGTACATATAAACGTTAATTTACTAATTTAAGTTTTAATTCATACAATTGGTATCATGTAACTTACTAAAACTTAAACTTACAAGAATATTGTGAGTAGAAAAACGGCTGTGCTGGCATATTGTACTTAAAACAGGCTTATGAATCTTGCGGCCAATGACTTTCATGGAAGCTGCCATCTTGGAAATAAGAGCCATGTTCGGACCAGATTTTTTGGTCATTTCGGACCAGATTTTGGAACATTTCGGACCATGTGATGGTCATTTCGGACCATGATGGAGTCACTTCGGACCAGCACATATATTCCTTTTTATATGTAATTATTTAATTTTACCCATGAAATATGGTGTTATATCAGTCAAATATATTTCATATTTTTTAAGAATAAATATGAAATATAAATATGAAAATAGGCTCATATTTATTTTAAGGGACTTCTTTCGCCATTTTGTTTGAAAAATCTGATAAACACAACACGACTTTTTGTTGAATTTTGCTTTAAAAAAAATCTAGAATGATAGAAAATGGTCTAACTAAGAAAATCAATCCGAACACCAATATCTTTAATTCAGTTATTAACAATAGTAAGCAATAGGATTTGTAACCATTTTTCTTTGATAATGAAATTAAATAAAAAGGTTATTTTTTCGTTTTTGCGTGAAATATGGTATATATTTTCACTCAACATGATAAAATGCCACATATTTTCACTCGCCGTCCCGGCTCGTGAAAATATGTCGCATTTTATCATGTTTCGTGAAAATATATTCCATATTTCACTCAAACGAAAAAATATCCTCTTATTATTTGTTATTTCAGGATGTATTTAATATATTTTCTAATAATAAATGCAACAAATATTTGACATTGTTATATTTTATGATATTCAAAATGCATGCAGTAATGACCTGTCCGACGAGATTTTTCACATTTTCTGACAAGCTTTTATTACCAATTCAATTATTGACAATTTTTTAATATTGAATTTTATTTAAAAAACAATAATATAATACCTTTAGAACTATATTGGTAAGCGTAGGATATATGTATGCGAATGTCCTTCATACAAAATAAAGAGATAATGATACGCTATGTTTAATATCTAAAGAATTGAAATTGATATACGTACCTGTTTAATCAACTATTTGATAATATGTACAATAATTACACACACGTAGAATATGCTAGTTAAAGTCAATTTTAACCAAATTAAATCGTGTCCTAGCAGGTATTAAAGAACAATGACATCCTTGTCAATGCAGTTTTTCACATGTTTTAATTGCTCAATAGAACTCGTTTAAGTTATGTTTCACTCAATTAAAGAAGCATATGTATGCAATTTTCACCTAATTTGACAACAAATATTTAAATTGATTGGATTTGATTGGAATGCGATTAAAGTACAGTTTAAATTAACAATAAACAAACTGATTATAATTGTAAAAAAAATGATGTCCAGACTGCAATATAAAAATGTCTTTTTAGTATATACTTTATAATAATTTTTTTGCAAACGTGTATTAAAACTTTTTTTTTTTTAATTTTCTTCATTTAAGTGCAAAATATATTAAATCTAAATCGGGATAGGTGTTAAATCGTTCCACAGTGTCTCATACATTCTAAAGTTACACTTTAGTTTATAGAATAATTGATGCATAACATATAAAAAAATATTTATTCTGGTCCGAAACGTCCAAAATAATGGTACAAAGTGTCTCACACATGATCCCAAATGTCCAACACATGGTCCGAAATGTCCAAAACAATGGTCCGAAGTGTCTAACGCATGATCCGAAATGTCCAACACATGGTCCGAAATGTCCAAAAATCTGGTCCGAAATGTCCCTAAATATGGTCCGAAGTGTCCCAAAATCTGGTCCGAAATGTCTGGTCCGAAACGTCCATGGTCCGAAATGTCCTATTACCGTTCGATATTGAACTCGTATTTATATATAAACCTACTGTACTGCATAAACAGACCTCTATGAATTAGACGTTTCCATAAATTTTAATCGATGAAAGAAGGGATGTTGGTAATAAAAATCCTCAGAAGTTAAATGCTGACATACAGTAAGTTCTTATTAAAATACAATAACTAATGCATCACCAAAATTATTGATAGCAAGTGCTCTTGCTGGAGGTAAAGTCACCCTGAAGACTTTGCATATCGATATTAGATAATTGGACAATTGTCTATTTTAAATTTTACAAAGGACCAAAATTTAAAAATGCAAATCAGATTTGATAGAATTTGATAGACACCATTTCCCTATCATAATAATTATATATTCATCCTTATAGATAGTGTCATTGCAATCCAACAATTAAGCCACTTACAAGTAAATAAAATATATACAGTATGGATCAAAATATTAAATGCCGCTTTTTTAAGTAACAGCTACATGTAGATCGCAATGAGTTAAGAAACCCTGAGTGGATTTCAATGTAATTTGGGGGTCCCTATATTTCCTTATTCATATATTCCTTAATATATACAAAAATTTAACCGTGTTCAAGCTATATATGGATCTAGACGAACGGAACAATGCACAATGGCCATTTCAAAATTATATACATGTAAATGTGTCTCGTGCATTTTTGTGGAGTATTTTTCTGTCTGTCGAATTGTTTTGCAATATGTACAATCATGCGAGATTTCAGGCTGTTTTCCCAAAAACTTTAAAAAAAAAAATAATTGGATGTTGCTCATGCCGCTATTTTAAACTTGAAATATCGAATCAAGAAATAACTAAAATAATTTATCAATAACTTTTGTGATGTGATTCTTGACAATTTATAACAATTATTGTTATCCAATTGATTAGGATTAAATACAAATCTGCAACAAACGAAAATGTAAAATAATTATAAGCTGGGACTTACGATGTCATTTTAAGTCCCAGAAAAGAAGTCATTTTGCTTAAGTCTTATTACATCTAACACAGAAATCCTTCCTTTTCAATATTTTCTGTGTCACGTTATATTATTTATACCATGTTTTTTTACGCTATTGATCAACACGAATTTGTAAAATTGACTATTTTCAGAGCCAGAGGACCAATTTGATTTAGACATTTTACGTAACTCGCTTTTCAATCGAATACGCCCATCAAGGTCAGGAAATATATCACGGAACAACAACGCTACTTATGTATGTATACTCCATATTTTGATTTTACATTGTAACAAGTGTCTCTTATTTGGGTTATCTTAAGTTTGTCTGTGTTTTTTTCTTCTGAAGACTTAAATATAAAATATGGTGCTCTTTATTTAGGCCTATATAGAGAATTAAGTAGATCTATGTTAGTGTAAACTTATTAAGTGTCAAGTTGGGTTATCTTAAGTTTGTCTGTTGTTTTTTTATCTCCCGATATCGTAAACCTAAAATATTGTGCTCTTTATTTATTCTAAAGAGAACTAAAAAGGATCCATTCACAATGTCTAACTATGTTTATCCTCAACTGCAACACCGCCATTACAATAACACAAACACTGTGCATATCCATTCTGTGACCAAGTACGTTAATATACGTACCTGCTGTGACATACAACATACACATGCTTGCCGGGACATACAATAACAACAACAACAATTTACAATTTTTTTACACTAACATTTTTTTCGTCTCCAGGTTCTTCGATCTAAAAGAGAAACTTAGTTTCGAATACAGTAAAACTAGTCATTTGTCAGTTTGTAATTTTATACTTGTCAATGTACGAGGGCTGTTCAAAAAGTTCGTTGACCGCGCTCAGTTCACATTTTTTTAATTTGCGTACACGATTTTACAAGAGACAAATAATGGAACATGTCCTTAACATACAGTGAAAAAATCAACAAAATATGTTTACATGTTTACAAAATTAATAACAATGTTGTGATAGTTACAAATAACAAAGGGCACACGATCCGGCGCACGCTAATGATAAAACAAAATCAGGGAAAATACATGAAGTACAAACAGTTAAGTTCTACATCTATTTATGGTAAATACGCATATACTCCATGTATACTTGTGAATAAAATTAAATATTCTTCAAATTTAATTGTCTAGTCAGAATTGAATGTTCAGACCCGATGCAGAAATTAAACATGCCGGACATGTGCAGCTCGCAAACCTTTCATACTGTACATCCTCGTGTAGAAGTTTTGCAATTGACCGGGTTGTTTTTATGAACAAAGTAAAAAAATGACAGCTAAAAGTCCATGAACTTTTTGAACATACCTCGTATTTGTACATGACGTCTAAAACGCACATTAAACCTCAAATGTTGAATAATATTTATGTTCATCATTATTCTTTTCAACACCATTTATTACGTTATAGTAAAGGTAGCAAAACGTAAACAAAACGGTATTTTACTTCAATAACAAATACTAAATCATTGTAACTGAAATATTTTCTGAGTTTTTTTTTCTTCGGAAATTGTAATAATAATTTTTTTGAGGGCTTAAAGGGACTCCACTGAGGTTTTTTGACATGATGGGACTGAAAATATTTTTTTCCAGATAAATGTACCATATGATGTACGTACGTAGGTTTAGACAACTAATCTTTAAGCTTAATTTCAGATCATTAGCGCATTTTGTTTTTCCAAAACAATTATTCAAATTGTAAAAAATAACCCAAAATGAAAAGCGTGTAAACGCTTTTCACTCAAATCGGGCTAAGAAAATCATAGAAATACGATTTTCAATTTATTTCAAAGTGTATTTCTTAACTATCTTTGCATATATTTCTGTTTAAAGAGCCCCAGCTCATTTATGTCAGAAATTCAAATGTTATGTTTTTAGGCTTTTAAACCTCAGCGGAGTCCCTTTAATGCGCTTTTAACTATGGTTAAATCACATTTGTCAGTCCTTGATTCAATGTAATTATAAATGGATGATAATAATCTATATATTATGTAAGACTAATCAGATTAAGACTGACAGATAATGTTCATCTTTGTGTAAGGGCATACAAGGTTTCTTTTCAAACTGCTTTTTTATAATAACATTAATATCAAAGAACACGAAGTTTAAATTAGATAGGAACGTATATAAAGGCTAATTATCAAGCATGCTATCAATTATTTTATAAAGAATTTTGATCCAATTTTTAAATAGGCTATTAAATATTGGAAACCCATTAATGCGTATCAAAAATATTAATTAAAGGCAGAAATTCTTTCATTTTTATTTCTCAGAAGCTAACCATTGTTGGTGTCCCATTATATTTTCCAAAAAGGTACTCCTTGGCCAATTGCGAGAGACATTTTTGCTTCTTTTACTCTTTGGCAGTTAAAAAGGCTGAAAGATCATTATCAGATATGTGAAAGATACTTCATGATCCCTGAGTAGTCCTAAGAATAAAACCTATCCTTAACATATTTCATGTTTATCCTTCATTAATCTGATATTTTCATTTTCCATGCTACATAGATGAAAAAATGACTTGATAATATAAAACACGGGGAGGAATCACGCCGTTCGTTACCCAAACAAACAAGATGGCGGATGCAGCCAAAAAATAGGGTTTTCCCTTTTTTCTCTGAAATTCATGATGTTCTTGTGTAAAGGTACATATAACAACCTTCTACACAATTTTCCTGGCACACAGAAATTTATTTCATGAAGTTTCGTCCCGTACTTCTTCTGAAATGCGCGTCACCAGATTCGAAGCGAGAGAATTTTCCACCGGTTTGATCGTGGTAACGTACGGCTTCTTCACTCAAACTCGCTGTTTCTTTACATATATGTATATTAACTGAAACCACTGACTTTAAAAATTTGTAATATGTTGTCAAGTAATCATTCATGCCCATTTTGGCTAGATTTACTGGTGTAAATATTAATATCGGGGCATTTTCCGGAAATGATAACGTATGGCGTATAAAATATCAATGATAACGTACGGCGCATTTTTCTACTTGATGGATTTCTATTTGTCCAGTCAGCTGATAATAAATTATTTGTATGTAGGAAATGATAGATATTTGAAACAAAAAGTTTGTCATTTCAGAAATAAATTTTATTGAACAATGCTGCACCATCGGGTATCAATATCTTTCTAGCTGGTGGCATAATAGATATTCGTTGTAAATATACCAAGTAAAACACACGTTTATAGTTTGAGAATATTTTTGTATAAAATGCAGAATGGAAAGAAAAGCCTCCACTTTTAGGAAACATTTGTGTATTGTTGTCTTCACATTAAATTTCGCCAGTGTTGTGCGATAATTATGGTCTTATCCCTTAATCAGAAAGAAGAAATGCATTCACCAGAGCAAAAATGTTAAAATGGTACGGAAGACTTGATATATTTTCTTTTCCAAAATTACTTTAACAAATTACTGATAAGAAAATCTTAATATTTGAACCACGTCAAACATAAACAAAACGAAAAGTGATTGCGACTAGCTTACACCCAGAGGCGATGAGCCTGTGTTTATACAATATCTGGTCGCTCATTAAAAGAAAATTCATAAACGAGAATAATGAATGAGTATAGGTTCTATATTGAATTTATTGAATTAGTTAGAAGATAATGTTTTGCGAAAAAGTTCAATAAATTTATTACATAAGAAATTTCCAGATTATTTGACGAAACGTTTTCTATTTAGCGTGACGTTGTGCCACTATGACGTCAGATATATTTGCACGACATATCCGTACAGTTTTTTATTATAAATGATTTGATCAAAACAATTACATCCAATTCATAAATTTGCCTATCATATTTTGGCTTTTTTTCTCGCAAACGCCCCAACTAAAACAATCAGTCTCTTACAAAATAGTATTGCAGGTATCAGCAATAAAAGAGTGTCATTGAAATTTGCGGTAAACATTTTACCGACCATGATAAAGTTTCAAATCGGATTTGGATTTCGATGTTTTATCCATGTCCGAGAACCCGTCTGAAATCATTAAAGCTAGACCGCTCATGAATGCGCTCAGATGACGTCATTTTATTACATGCTTTTCGGTGGTTTATAGAAATATATCAGTGATATAAAAATGGTAATTTCACTGTTTGAAACAGTGAAATTACCACTTTGATAATTTCACTGTTTTGAATTTAAGCCCCTTACGTTATTTCAGTGAAATACCAGCGTGCACAGTACTGGGAACCAACTTAATGACGTGACGTCGTAAATGACGTCACGTTATATTATTATTTGGCGCGCTTTTCATTCAGTATTAGGTTAAATGTCTTTTTAAAACGTTTCTTTGCATATAATAAAAAGAAAAGTTGTTTAGTTTAGTGTAAGATTGCGCCACTCGTGAAATATACCTTTCGGTGCTCACTCGGTGAAATATATTCCGATCTTACACTGAACTAAACAAATATCTTCTATATCTTTATGAAAGAACAGCTGTAAAAATTACTACGCTACTATGATAATAGTGTTTACGAAGTATATGTTAGTACCATATACTTCGTAAAGCCTAGGTCACAAATAAGAAAATGCCGCCGGGCGGCGTCTGTTTCTCCAAAAAATCGCAACATCGGTCGGCGTCCGTCCGGCGCCAGTGACTATCGGACGGCAGCAGCTGAAAATTTTGCTCATCGGGCGGGCGCCTTCGAGTTTTAAGTAATACTTAAAAGCTAACGGCGGCCGGACGATAATTTTTGGGGTCACTGAGTATAAATATCATCGAGCGGACATCGCTCGATCGCCGGGCGGCGACCGGGCGATGATTTTTTGATCGGGCGATTTTTTGTTCTACTAAAACAGCGTCCGATTTAAAAGGCGTCCGGGCGGACATCGGCCGGGCCCCGCCCGGTGCCTGAATAGAGGAAAGTAGTCAAACGATTATCGCCTGGTGCCCGGACGATTCATGTACAGGCACCGGGCGGTCATCGTTTTGTCATCCGGCGACCGGGCTGCTTGTGTTTGTTGTAATTTCAGCTTGAAGAAGTTGTAATTGCCTCAAAAATATATTTGTGAATTTCTTTTGAATACTAGTAAACATGAATTTTTTCTTCTATGTCCATGCGAATGTCTGATTGATTTTCGCCTTCTACGGCCTCGATACTGGCCGTTGGTGACTCGTTGTCAACAACACGGACCAACTCCTTGGCCTTCCCCTTGGCTTTGGCAGCTGACTTCTTTGCTGGCATAATTACAACTGGCTGATTTATCTAGGATGTCATTAAATGTAAAGTCATTGTCGCCCGGCGCCCGCGCGGCAACGGTCCGATTCACTTTTAAATGCACAGGCGCCGTACGGACATCGGGCGGCGACCGCGTATGAAATTGTAAAATAGAGAAAGATCTAATTAAAGAACGCCTAAAATCGGCACAATTGAAGGTTTCATTTAGCCTTTTTATAGTGTGTATGGTCGGTAGTGATAATTGCAAGCTACCGTCCAAGCACCGGCTTCAGTAGAATTCAACATTTTAATCGTAAAAAATGACGAAAATTTGAATTTAGAAACATCTGCAGATGTGTTCATACGTTGGCAATCATGGAACCTACAACGTGACACGTTTAATTTTTATACGCCCGTTTGAAAAACGGGACGTATTATGGGAACGCCCTTGGCGGGCGGGCGGGCGGCGTCCAATTTTGTCCGGAGCATATCTCCTACATGTATGGAGGGATTTTAATGAAACTTCATAGAAATGTTCACCACTATGAGCAGCAGTGTCGCGCACAGGTCTCTAGGTCAAAGGTCAAGGTCACACTTAGAGTTCATTGAAAAATGCTTGTCCGGAGCAAAACTTCCACATGTATAGAGGGATTTCAATATTACTTGGCACAAATGTTCACCATTGTGAGGCGGAGTGTCGCGCACAAAATTCAGGTCCCTGCAGCCAAGGTCAAGGTCACACATAGAGGTCAAAGTTTAGATAAAAATATGAAGATGTGTATAGGGACGATTTAATCATCATCTATTGAGGGATTGTAACACAAATGGTCATTATCATGACTACGGCTGTGACACATGTACTTTAGGTCAATATATGCAAGGTCAAGGTCACTAAAGATGGTGAAATATCCATATTTTGTCTGGAGCATATCTCCTACATGTATGGAAGAATTTTTATAATACTTAATGGAAATGTTCACCACCATGATATGTATTGCTCCATGCATGATCCAGGTCTCCAGGTCAAAGGTCAAGGTCACACTTAGAGCTCATTGAAAAACGCTTGTCCGGAGCAAAACTTCTACATTCATAGAGGGATTTCAATATAACTTGGCACAAATGTTCACCTTTGTGAGGCTGAGTGTCGCACGCAAAATTCAGACCCCTGCGACCAAAGTCAAGGTTACACAGAGGTCAAAGTTCAGATAAAAATTTGAAGATGTGTATAGGGACCATTTAGTCATCATTTATTGATGGATTGTAGCAAAAATGGTAACTATCATGACTACAGGTGTGACACATTTAATTTAGGTTAATATTTGCAAGGTCAAGGTCACTGGAGATGATTAAATATCCAGAAGTTGTCCGGAGCATACTTTCTACATGCATGGAGGAATTTTAATGTTACTTAATAGAATTGTTCACCACCATGAGACGTAGTGCCCTGCACATGAACCAAGTCTCTAGGTCAAAGGTGAAGGTCACAGTTAGAGCTCATAGAAAAACGCTTGTTTGGAGCAAAACTTCTACATGCATAGAGGGATTTCAATATAATTTGGCACAAATGTTCATCATTGTGAGGCTGAGTGCCGTGCATAAAATTCAGGTCCCTGCGACCAAGGTCAAGGTCACACATCCTGTGCATATCTTCCCTACTGATTTGTTTTAAGGTTCATTTAACAACACAGTGCCAAGAATAGAAACTTGCTTGCTAGATAACACTTATCCATAATGCCCCCATCTCCATCTAAAGCTTTCGTAAACGGGCGTATTTTGTGACTATGGCACCCTTGTTGTTTGTTTGGTTGGTTTTTCATCCACCAACGCAGGTTAGGTCATATGGCGCCAAAACGGCTAACCTCAGCTATAGGTGTTAAACGTTTACTTATAATGATAATGATATTTATAAAGGCCTAATGATATAAGATACAAATATTATTCAGTGTTGTGCAACATATATCAAACTTCGCCAAGTTCACGGGAATATATGTGAATGCTTTATTTTTTTATTTTGAAATTAAATAATGTTTATATTTTGTAAACTGCAAAATGCCGATCATGAATGATGATAATTAATGATCTTTACCAAATAACAGAAAACAGAAATGTCAGTATTTCATATTGTTGTTTACTTTGTCATTTCTTTCTATATTTTTGTCCTCGTGGGCTTCAAACCCTGGTTGAAATTTAAAAGAAAATCTATGTCTAGCAGTTTATAAAATTTTAGTTGACATTTTTACAGACATTTAAAATTAATTGTTGTACACATATATTTTATTTTGCAGCTTGCAAAATGTCTGCCTCGCCACTAGCGGGAAAAGTTTGTATCGTCACAGGCGCTACACGAGGCATAGGAAAAGGTATAGCCCTTCAACTTGCAGAAAAGGGAGCAAAAGTTTATATTACTGGGCGCACTTTAGATCCACCTAGAAATTCGGAAGTTGGCGGCTCCTTGCGCGAAACTGCAAACGAAATTGAACGCCGCGGAGGAATATGTGTACCAGTCCAATGTGACCACTCTAAAGATAATGACATCGAACAACTGTTTGAGCAAGTTAAACGGGAAAATGAGAATCAATTAGACATATTAGTGAACAATGCATACTCTGCAGTCAATGTCCTTTCAGAAAATTACAAAGTTAAGTTCTGGGACCAACCTCCATCAATATGGGATGACGTCAATGTTGTCGGGTTGCGCAATCATTACATATGTGCTGTATATGCATCACGGATTATGGTTCCACGAAAGCGAGGTTTGATTGTGAACATTTCTTCTAGTGGTGGACTGCGGTATTTAATTGGCGTTGCATATGGTATTGGAAAAGAAGCGTGTGATCGGATGGCAGCAGATTGTGCGGTCGAGTTAAAGAAGCACAACGTTGCTTTCGTTAGCTTATGGCCAGGTGCAGTTGGAACTGAAATTATGCTGAAAAACTTGCGCAACCAAGCAAAAAAATCAACCGATAGTAAAGATCGGTCATCAATCTTAAGAGATGAAAAAATTCTGAAATTCTTTGAAGGAGGTGAAACTCCAGAGTTTGCTGGGCAGTGTATAGCTGCAATGGCAACAGACGACCAAGTGATGAAAATGAGCGGGAAAATTGTACTGACGTGCGATTTAGCGAGGAGGTACAATCTCACAGACGCTGCGGGCCACACACCAACAGAAATGCGACAAATCAACAAGATTTTGGAACAATCTGGACACCCCTGGCTAGCATGGTTTGTTCCCAGCTTTATTCGTTTACCGTCGTGGATTCTGTGTCTTGCTGGGAACAAGTTCTATTAGGAAAAAAAGATAATTAAAGCGTTATTCCTGAAAGACTTATGTTTTCAAGCATAAATTATTAAATTTAATTGATGTATAAATTAGAATTAGATTGAAGTTTAGGTTGATGCTGTATGACACATTGTATGTGACCTCTTAACTCTTTCCAAAGTTTAAATGCCATTTTATTCAGCTGGAAAGTGGCATAATGTCAACAATGCTATGTTTGATTTCTGTCAAACAGCAATGAGGAAAAGAAACAAATTAAAGAGTATGTTCCAATGCTTTCCAGATGAAGATTGTTTTCATATTACTGACATGAAATATGACATGTTTGTTATAATCAAACAATGTTTTTGTGTCAACAGTTTTGTCACAATTTGGTTGTATGATTTTATTTAATGGAACCCGACTTAAAAATACGGAACGTGATTTAAAATAACAAGTTTAACGCTGCATATACATGGTTATTGAATTTTTATTTTTCATAAAAGAAACCCACCTTACATTGGTATGATATAATTTTGGTTGTAAAATTATTTTTTAAAAATACTTTAAATAATAAACGAGCCACCGTCTGGCGGGGACAATACTTGGCTTTTATTTACTTTTTCTAATAGCAAATGAACGGTTTAAACGGTTTAGAAAGAAAATTTAAGAAAAAAAAGTTTTTTTTCATTTTTTTAATTAATAAGTCCGTCTAGTCACACTTGTTCTTTTAATATCTGTAACTATCGCCATAGAACAAGTAACGTACAGAACGTTTCTCAGATTCTGACATGCTTTATTTTGTTTGTGTGTGTGGAGTGGGGATCAGCCGTAACAACACTTTTGAGCGTACATGGTGGAGGTTGACTCAGTCTGTCCTTCGTACATTATTTATCATTTAGCAGAACTACTGACGTTACTTCAAGGCATATTATGCCTCAGAAATGCATTTGTTTCTTTAGAAGAGGCAAACAAATTACTGACATGTTACCAAATATAAGAGCCGGTTGATGCTCCCTGACATAGATGCAGTTTCACGGTTATGTCCCGGACAAAATTCCAAACATAGGCAAGACAGAGTAACTGTTCTTTGAGATCTGTTTACTTTCATATCTCTTGTAGTGTCAGAGTTATGTCCCGGACAATGTCCAAAATATAAGAGGGCAATAACTCCAAAATTAGGAAATGCAGAGTTACGGTTCTTGTGCACTGCACATCTACCCAATGAGAACTATCTACCTATACAAAGTTACATGTTGATACCTCTTGTTGTTTCAGAGTTATGTCCCGGACAAAAAAAAGAGGACAGACGACTATATGCTTTCCCTTCGGGAAGCGTTAAAAAAGCTAATAAATATAGCAAATGAGTATCTTTTGGCAATGGTAATATGGCACTTAAAAAAATTGTTAGTAGGGCAGTGTGCTCGACTATTGTCAGTGCTTGGCCTTAAAGATTTAGATTTCTCGAAGTTAAAAAATGGCCATAATTCTGTCAAAATCTATGTAAGAGTTATCGGCATAGGAAAGCGACCTCTTATTACGCTCTCAAATAAATGTGGATAGTTTCAACCCCTTCTCTTTAGTAATTTTGGGGATATTAATATGCACGCAAAAACTTAACCAAAAGTGTGACGCTGACGTCAGGGCGAGTAAAATTGCTCACCATATTCTTGTAATAGCCGAACTAAAAATGGGAAATGAAAATTGCCATGTAATAGGCTTGATATTTTTAGAAATTGTATACCTGCTTCAATATTTTGGATTTGGTTTTACGACGTAATTGGTTGTCAATGAAAATTCTTAAGTTGATTCAGACACATTTTTTCCAGTCATAATTTCACCGAAATTGCTTTATATTCTGTTACGTTACTAATTTTTCTATTCTAACAAGATTGCCACTCTGTTGTTTTAACATCTGAAGCCAATTAATAGTACAACTACTTTCTATCCGCATTAATAGATTATAAATAATAGTCGGAGTTCCCGGAGTTCCGACTGTAGATTAATGTCTATACTAAGCGCTTCAAATAAGAGGTCCCTTTTGGTTCATCTTTAATGTTCAACAAATGTTAAGATATGGGGTTCTAGATTGTATCGACGAGAATTAATACCAAGGTACATAGCTTTCAGTACGAGACTGCGTTTTTGGCACAAAATGTTCTTGTACTCATATCCTCAGATTGGGCCAACGTTTGGTATTTTTCAAGCATTGTCATTAAAAATTAACACTTTACTAGGGACCTAACTGGGTATTTGGCATTAAAAGGCTTTGTCCTAAACAAAAATATATTACTGTCGCTAGGTGTATGTCGGAACATCATAGCTTGGCCAAATTAAACACGATGTATTCCTACACCGGAAGGTCAGTTTAAAAAGAAAACGTCAATTTCTTGTGACGTGTTTCTGTCAAAAAGGTCAACACCAGTGACAAACGCTGTTTGATTACGGACCTTCTTGTAATGTAAAAGTGGTAAGATGCGACTTTGTTTGTCCGTTGCACATTGCCACAATTGGGTTAGAATCCTGTATGGGACTTTGTATCCTATACGAAGGAGTCAACCTGCTAGTAAGTATACAAGTCGACGGTTCTACACAGGTTCGAACTTTCCACTATCTGGGCACCTAGGTTCCTCCTTCAGAAGTACAGCTGGGAAATCTGAGGGGAACCCGTGTCAAATTACCAAAAATATAGACAGTGATCCTTGGAGCAAATAATTATATCTGGCTCTTAGGGACTAATAAAAACAAACATACAAACTGAATTTTATTGGTTTATTGGCATAATATGCAATATTCATTTTTCAGATCTAGAGAAGCCTAGTCCGGTAATATTAACAACATTTTCAATTTCCACATAATTTAAACATTCAAACTACTTAATGGTCCTCTTAACAAAAATCATGTATTTATACATGTGCTTATAAGCTAAAAATAGCAACATCCACTTTAACAGATAAAAAACACCCTTATCTACTCCATATATTCAAATACTTAGTAAAGACTTTCAAAATTATTTTATGACCGATGTAGAAGTAAAACAAAAGTTCCCTTCCGCAAGACTTGAGCAAATGCTGCTATTTTTAGCTCAAAATTCAGCGCACTGTGTTTATTAATTACCGGACCTTAGCAAAAGAAAATGGTGAATATACTAAGGAGATTTAGGAATATGATATATAGTATAAAGAACCCATACAATGAGCTACACACGTTCAAAAAGAAATTCAACATGGAATATAATAATAAGTTTGGTAATTTATATACGCTAAATTGTTTTCATTTTTGCATCAGATAAAACAAACTTAACATCAGATATCTCAAGTTATAGTCACTAGATTGCAAGTTATACCACTATTAATAGTATAGAAATAACACATATTTTCCATCTTTAGATATATGCACATATGTATAGTATCATTGTGTAGAAAATAGTCCGTCTATCAATTTAATTTTCGCCTTAGAATATATGTTAACGGTAAGAATAATGAAAATTGCATACACACAAGCACTTTTTGCTGTCCAAGGAATAAGCTTACGTCACTGTTGAATGTTCTTTAAATGATGGCTTTAATTACCAGAATAACTTTTAAAAGTCACTGTTGAAAGGTCTTTAAATGGTGGTTTTAATTACCAAACACTGTAATTCAATCTAACAAACGAATTACTTTATGACCTCCTCAAGATTGCTACTGGAACCAGAGTAGAGCTCGGAATTATACTAATGTTATAGCATGTTTTGGTCAATTATCATAATAAAACAGTTTACACAGTGTGAGCATATCATATGACATAAATGTCCTAATATTGGAATTGTTGGTCCATTCATTACATACCCAATGATTCTAGGTAATCCGCAATAACTGCCACACCTTTATTGGAATTTCCCTGCTGACCGCCCTCTTTGGTGTGGGCAACTACTATAGCGGTTTTTGAACATTGTATACTTAATGACCCACAATCTTTCTTTTTGGCCAGAACCAATTTACCATCTTCTTCCCTTAAAAATTGGTATTTAGTACCTTCTGCAAAGATTCCACCAGACATAAAAGGCCCAAAATCCTTACTTTTGAAACAACTAGCTATTTTTGCAGACTCTTCCGGCGACAGCTTTAGAGCTTTGCCATGCCCAGCCGTTGTCCAGGCAGCCCCACCGTCTAGCCCAATGATGCATGCTTTATCACAGTGTTCCGCACCTGAAGCATCTTTTGTTTGTGCACACAAATTATCAAGGTAGCTATCCCAAGACATTATTTTTTCCTGAAAAATATCAATATTTTGAATACAATGTACTTTATATTGATAAGGTTTATCAGATCCTTAAAATTATATAGAATATAATAATAAAATGCAACATTTCGGCTGTAAGTAAACTGAAAAATTCATATAATCTCCAGTCAAAGGACACAAAGCAATCTTTTGAGTTAGGTATATATCAAAATTATTGTGAATACAGTGGTTCTTTTTTAATATGACGGGTTTCTACTCAATTCAACCCTTCAAACTAAGCGCATTTTTATACAGGACATTACCTATCAGAAAGGAAGCTTTGGACAAAAACAGTATGTAACTTATCATTGCTTACTAGTAACTTCCGTCTAAAACGTTACTTATCCGTCAAGTTTGCATCCAAAATCTTTTTGATATATGTACTCTTTTGAGTCTAGTCTTTATCTTGTTCGTCGCTTTGATTGGTTTGAATTGATAAAAAATATTGTTGATCAAAAGCTTGGCAAACTAACGTGAACTTTGACAGAACATTGTAAAAAGAGCACCGATTAAGGTTTTAAGGATGTTTTGGACTTTACGAACTTTCTCTGCTTTCCTAGCCGATTCATTCGAAGGGAATTTGTGAATAAAATTTACACGATTTATCGACTGAATCAGTTTCGTTCTATAAAGTAAAGTTGCAAAAATCGTGCCGCATTTTGAATGTTTGCCAATTTCTCTTATAACCAGATACCTACATTAGTTTGTTTTCCTGTTTTATTTATGCCGATTTTTTTGTCACATCTCGGGGATCGATCCCGTAACCGGTTTTAAGTAATAACCAACTGTAAGTTACGACTATTATTAATACCACATGACTTCTGAGCCAGCAACCAGCAGTGAGAGACAAATGAGCCGTGCCATGACAAAGCCAACATAATGGGTTTGCGACCAGCATCCGCGCAGTCTGGTCAGGATACATGATGTTCGCTTACCAAACATCATGGATCCTGATCAGACTGCACGAATTGAACTCACGACTCAAGGATTACTAATCCAATGCCCTCCAAATTGAGCCAATCATGATCAGGCGGACAACTGATGCATAAAAAAGTAGAAATTTCGAGGAATGCGGCAAGTCATGGAATTTTGAGACGACTTCTAAATTTCAGTAGTGTGTTTTCTTTTGATCAACAATTTTTAAGACATCGATTTTTTAAACCTGACAGACTGAAACAAATAAGATGGGTGAATACGCATAAGCTAAAAAAATATTTGCAGATGACAGGTGAAATGTTAACAGGCGAAATAAACTTCGAGTAATATTATTGCCCATCGGATTGTATGTGAAACAGTTGTAAAGGGAAGCAATCGCCGTGTATATTCCCGAACACACCTCTGTATGTGTAACTTCCCTTGAAGTAAATAACTTAACCTTCACTTTTTCACAGAATGAAACATTATCAAAAATTCAAAATAGCTTTAAATGATTTATTGTTAAATAACTTTAAAACGTACAAAAAAATAAAATTTTCAAAAATTAATAGGAATAGCCATAAGGTCTGGCTTATCAATATAATATAGTGTCACTCAAGTCATGGCAATAAATGTAAGAGATTCGAGACGGATCCCACTGTGTGTAAGCCTCCAAATCTTAACCCGACTTGCTAAGTTTCCTTTGTACTGAACTCCCAATTCGAGACCTGGTAAGACTGCGATAGATAAATGAGCTGTGTCATGACAAAACCATCATTATGGGTTTGCGACAAGCATAGATCCAGACCAGCCTGCGCATCCGCGCAGTCTGATCAGGATCCATGCTGTTCGCTATCAGTTTCTTTACTTGTAATAGGGTCTGTAAGCGAACAGCATGGATCCTGATCAGACTGCGCGGATGCGAAGGCTGGTCTGGATCCATGCTGGTCGCAAACCCATTATGTTGGTTTCGTCATGACGCGGCTCAAATATGTTACGATAGATAAATATGTTAGGAAGCCACGACACCAAATGCCTGGGCCCACCACCCGTTTACTGAGAGGAAGCGTGTAGTATGTACATGTATACACGAGACAGGCCGATACATTTTATCCTTTCAGCAATATATGTAATGGTAGAGTCGATATGCTAGCAAACTCTCTTGCGCAATAATTTGATGGATTCATCAAAAAAGGTTATAGCTACATTTTTTTTTACATTTTCATCCGGAGGTTATGCATGACCTCTTTTAAATGGATTCAAAGTAAGGTGTTTCAAATTTTCCGTAAGCAAAATCAAAATAAATTGGGCTCCCTTATGTTGCATTCTATCTGATAATCTCAAAATGCCCCATTCTGGTGCGACTAAATGACATAACTTTCCTCTTAGAAAACTTCATAATTCAACAAAACAGGTCCCTTATTTACTTATTATTTATGATGACTCACTTTAATTTTATAAATAAAATACAGGATCTACATCAAATCAATTGTGATGTTAACTAAGATGGTATCATTTTCATAGTCAAGTAGTGTAGCACAAACAAATAAATAACTACACAAACCACAATGCATAACAAAATATTAAACAAGGTTAGTGGTTGACAAATACTACATCTTACATCTGGCTAGATGACATCACAAAACATTAATGTATTACTCGTTTTCAACATTTAACTCGCATTAAGGAAGACATGGAAAAACTGGAATACAACAAGTTACAAAGGCCTGCGTAAACAACAAAACAGATCGATTGTCATATGTTTTCGCGACCCGGAAATGAAGTTACCCGCTTTGTAACCAAATGTTTAGCAGTTACTTTTAGCCAACGTTGGTCAAAAATTTAACAAACAATATTTATTAAATATATCTGCTATAAAATTATGAAGTAATATTTGAATATAAATGACCCAGACTTAAAATAATAAAATTATTATACATGAACACTGCCGAAATTGACCAAGATGATGAAATATGTAGCAATCAGTTCGGAAAGGGTTACAGGTAATATGGTATTTTTTAACAAGTTGACTATTGCAATTTTCTTTAATCAAAATCACTTCCGTACAGCAGAGGTAGATTTGTCTCCCAAAATGTAATTTCGAGCGAATTTTAGCCAGCCTAACTTAAATTTACATTCACAGAGCACTAGTATATATGCCTTTTTGCAAAGTAAACCTCAAACTGTGTCTTTGTTAACAATCTGAAAAAGCAACTGGTCTTGTCTGATAACGAAAAATACATGCAGATCAGGTACTTTTTAGACTGCCATTTAAAATGAAAACAAATGACAGGTAAGCAGATTTTATCGCCAGATTTAAACAGCTTAAGTAAACATTTCACATCGTATATCACTTTAATAAATACACATGTATTCTTCATAAATGCAAGATTTTGTTAAACTTTTTATATAAACGTGTTTTATATAAACCTCTATCTACACATAACCTACATAAAGAGAATAAATACCCTGAATGTATTTTGGGGTTTATCTCACTCGTTCATGCGAAACACTTTTTTTTGTGGAATGTGTAGGAAGTTTAGATTTTACTGTTATTCAATGCTGTTAAAGTATTAAATTAATAAATATGAAAAGCGCTGTTATTTAAAGTACACTTATAACGTTAAATCAATCGGAAATATTTTTAAACTGTCAGAAACGTCTGGACACTAGTCTAGTATAAATAAACCTTTATAGTGGCCTATTATATAACCAAGGAAAATTTTGGCTGATCAATAAAATTTTGATATTCTCTATATATGCATGGTTAAGACTCCAGTATCAACAAATCTTCATTTACATCCGCTTTCTTGACGGTCAACTTGACTGTCAACTCCTTTGGAGACATCCTGTTATGAAATAGGATACTTCCATTTTTTTCGTGAAGTATCCATCTGGTGCAATGTACATGAAGTAACTAGATAACACAACCCTACATGTATTCAGGCCATGTCGTAAGTATGGGGTGTTAAAACATGGGGAACACATCTTTTATGATGAGCCAAGCTCCTAAACCGACTGGAACCGGATGTGATCAGCCTTTGCCTCCAGTATAGAATCAGACGTCTGACACCTGCATATCGCTGCAGTCTGAACAGGCTCTTTTTTAATGGTTGCTCAAATTTTGTATATTGATATTGCAAAAGTTAAAACATTAATAAATGGAATTTCCAAGCAAGGAAAATCCATAACAAAAAAGCAAGGAAAATCCATAACCAAAAAAAAACAGCTACTGTACTTTAAAGGGTTAAAAAGATTTCTTGATATGTTAAGCTCGTATGTAATAACTTATATATCATATATGAGTATACTTAATGGTTTTGCCTGTGTCCTGTTAATATATAAGCAGTGATTTTTCACACTTAATTGGAAGAGGCCTTAGCCACTTGACTAATTAACACTTTTGGAAGAACTAGATCTATCAATAAAATTGCCATTTTGGAAGCGTAAGTTTTAGATCTAATTATAATCTGTATGTAGTCAGAGACTGAGAGTGTAGAGTGTATATATACTGTAAACTGTATTAATTAAATAATTTATTTCTAAATAGAACTAGTCAAACATGCATGTCCTAAATTGCTTATTAAGTTAAAAATGTCGACCCCGACAAATAAAATCTTAATAATTGATTACAGCAATAAAGACTGTACTGTATTGTACACAGATAAAATCAGTATTTTTGTTTAATTGATCAATAAACAGACGTCTATCGTGTCGACCTAAATGACATATTCTTAACCGTGTAAAATATATCTCAAACGGGAAGTTTAGTTCGTATAATAGACTTTAAAACTATTGTTAAAAAAGTCCTGGACAAAACTTCCTTTTCCACACGATTACTCATAAAAACTGCCTGGGTAACTTCCCTTTCCTGCAGTCTGCCGATTTGAGTCATGCGTAATGTCTGAGCACATGTACTACACAGCCCCTCCTGATTTACATATCCCTACTTCTTAATATTCAATAATAGTCAGACCCCCTGAAATTCTAAAGAAATAGACAAATTTAAGGAAAAAAGAACACGTCTATATTTTAAGATTACACGGCGCCGAACATTCCCGAACACATTAATTTCTTTAAAAAAAAGTATCACATGTCCGTTTTGATCAAAGCCTCCTTCCATTGTTTTAAACAGCTAAAACTCTCAACTAAATAAATAACCTAGTTTCATTTATGAATACCTATCCAAAAAGGTCAAATTATACTTAAATCTATAATTTGCAACGCGGCACTCCTACTAAAGTACAACAATGTAACATATTTTGTAGCCGCCATTATTGGCGAATGTAATGAAACTCGTTTTTTTGTCTACCGCTGTGTAAAAGGCAAATAAGTAAAAATGTTTAAAATTACCTTATCTAGAAATCCCTTTCAACCAAAAGAAACCTGTGTGAAAACTTGTAAAATACCAAGTTTAATGTCAGAATTTAAAGACAAGTCGATCTGAACATGTAATAAGCCGGTATTATATGTCACGTAAGGCTAACCAAGCAAATCGATGGATCATCCCGTGTAACGCTGCATGTCATCAGAAATACACATACAGCTTAAACCAGCATGATTATGTTGAGGGGCGCTCGATCGCAGTACATCCTCCCAAATACAAGTTTAAGGTCGGAACTGATCTAATTAGATCTTTAGAAATTAATACAAACATGCACTGTATGGAAAAAATCATAATCACATTTAGCTTTATGTCAGCGTGGTTTTCTTCTCGGAGTGTTTCTTTCTAGAATGTTTTGCCTTTGTCTTTGTTTTGCACAGGTTTCACGTGCGTAGTTGGTCACCAAGTAACTATGGGAAATTATTCAACGGACTGTATTCCAGTTTTGTTGTACAGTATAGATTGGGCTTGGAATAGTAAAATAAGTTTCTGGACAATGTTTAATGTTGTAACTAACAGAATGGTCTAATGAAAAGGTCTTAGGATGAATACAAACATGAGAAAAACAATGAATAAACATGATAGCAAAATGAATGTGAACAATAATGAAAAGAACCGAAAGAACATTACAATTTATCAATTTAAATATTAAGAATAAACATTTTAATTGAAGTGACAAAATATTAGATAAAAGTAATAATTTACAAGATATAAAATATAGATCTAAATCTACATAAGAATATAATACAAATATTGAAAATTGCAGGCTAAAAAATGCACGACTTTATTGGAACATGCTTAAGGAAGCTTCCGGTATAAGAAATGCAAATATTCCGCTGTCAGCTTTTGAGAGATATTTTAAAGCTGTAAATAATCCGGAAAATAGATTTTTTGTACCAGACGAGGATATTTTAGACTTTAATAACAAATATAAAAACAATGAGTTTAAGGTCATGTTTGAGGAGCTAAATATTGAACTTTCTTCGGACGAGGTAATAGCAGCAATTAAGAAATTAAAATATAATCGCTCAGCCGGACCGGATTTATTACTTAATGAATTTTTTATTGCTGGCAGAGACGTGCTCGCACCATATATTTGTTTGTTATTTAATAAAAGTTTTGATTTAGGATATTTTCCGGAGCGCTGGTCCGAAGGTTACGTAATTCCTTTGCATAAAAAGGGCAAATTAGATGATGTTGAAAACTACAGGGGGATAACATTATTAAGTAACTTGGGAAAATTATTTACAAGTGTAATAAATAATAGGCTGAAATGTTGGGCTGAATATTATAATGTATATATTGAAGCGCAAGCTGGTTTTAGGTCTGAAATGAGCACTATAGATAATGTTTTTGTATTAAATGGTTTAATTTCGCATTTCATTAATCAAGGAAAACAATTATTCTGTTTATTTGTTTATTTTAGCAAAGCATTCGATTATGTAGTCAGAGAAAATATGTGGTATAAGCTTATAAAACTAGGATTACGTGGTAAAATTTTGAATATTATTCAGTCAATGTATGAAAATGTGAAATCAAGGGTTAAATATTTAAACAAATTAAGTGTTGAATTCACATGTGCTCTTGGTGTAAGACAAGGAGAATGTTTATCACCTTTCCTTTTTTCTATGTTGTTAAATGACCTTGAAGATAGTTTTATACATAGTGATGTTGAAGGCCTTGATATAAGCATGTTTAAATTATTTTTGCTCTTATATGCTGATGATATTGTTATTTTTGCTAACTCAGCAGTTGAATTACAGACTTGTATCAATTTATTAAGTGATTATTGTGACACTTGGAAGTTAAAAGTTAATGTAGAGAAAACAAAAATAATGATTTTCAAGAAAGGTGGAAGACTTCCTGATAACCTTATGTTTTATTATAATGAAAATTTAATTGAAGATGTGAATAAGTTTACATATCTAGGTATTGTTTTTACGTGTGGCGGTTCCTTTACTACTGCACAAACTAAATTATCAGATCAAGCTCAGAAAGCCATTTTTAAATTAAATAAATATTTATATAGGTTTACATACATTAAACCTAGACATAAGTTAGAGTTATTTGATGTTTTAATTGCACCTATATTAAATTATGGTAGTGAAGTTATGGGTTTTAGTTTAAGCCAGTCAATTGAAAGAACACATTTGCAGTTTTGTAAACATATTTTAGGTGTTAAGAAAACAACCCAAAATGACTTTATTTACGGTGAACTTGGAAGAATATCTTTTCAGTGTAGACATTTGTTTAATATCATTAAATACTGGATAAAAATTTTGAGAAGTAACGAGAATAGGTACATTTATAAGATATATCAATTGCTTAAGAACGATTTTGAAAATAATCCAACTAAAGTTAATTGGTGTTCACGATTGAAAAATGTATTATGTGTTTTAGGTTTTTATGAAGTTTGGTTACAACAAAATGTAGGAAATGCAGACATATTTCTAGAATTAGTAAAACAAAGATTGAAAGATAATTTTGTTCAAAACTGGCATGATAGGATACAAAGTTCACCACGAGCATTATTTTATAGAAATATAGCAGTTTTCAAGTTTCAAGAATATCTAGATCACATTACAGTTAATAAGTTTTGTTTTTCATTGATAAGATAAAGAGTGTCTTCTCACAGATTGCAAATAGAGGCAGGTAGATGGACTAGACCATTAAGAACACCAATTGATGAAAGAAAATGTACTTTATGTAATATGTTAGAAGACGAATATCATTTTATTCTTGAATGTTCATTGTACACTGATTTAAGGAAAATATATATACATAAAAGATATTGGAAGCATCCAAACATGATTAAATTTATTGAATTGTTAACAATAGAAAATGTAAAAATTGTTAGGAAACTTGGAATTTATGTATCTAAAGCTTTTGAAAAGCGAAATAATGTGTTGTACGGAAGTAATACATAGATACAATTATTATTATTATTATTATTATTGAAATAATGTGTTGTACGGAAGTAATGCGTAGATACAATTATTATTATTATTTTTTTCTCCAACTCTCGATGCATTTTAAGATTACATCCTTATTAAATGTTAAGTATTATTACTTTAATGAAAATATTAAAGTGAAATACTTATGAAATACTTACGATACCTCCTTAATATTGGTCTTGAATTTCGTCTCGTCAAGACCAATAGCTCGATATGGAGGTCGTTCTACACATAATGACTGAGATCGGTTTAATGTATCAAATATAATTTATGAATACATGTATATCAATATGATCTGCGCATTACATCCGTAAGACTTATATGTATGTACATGTATATATATATATATGTATATGCGCGTGAGTGTGTGTGTGTGTGCGTGCGTGCGAGCGTGAATGTGTGCGCGCGTGTGTGTGTATGTTCTTATGTTTGTAATATTCATGTTCGAACTTCTCCAATTATTGATGTTTAAGGTACATTTTACTTGTCATTGTTCGCCATTTATAACATGCTTGTAATGCCATCATGGGCATATTGCCTTATGGAATAAAAGAATAAACTACTAAAAAACTACTACTACAAATAGATTTCCATATGAAATTATGGGGAAAATTGCTTAGTAAGAGGTTGTCGATGCGCAGGCTGGTCTGGATCCATGCTGGTCGCAAACCCATTATGTTGGTTTTGTCATGACACGGCTCAAATAATGTGGATATTTAGAAATAATTTAAAAAATTACGAGAATATTTTCTACCGAGACAACATTTTGATATTTTATAATTTTTAGCTTTTGAATTTATTTTTCGTTATTTTGTATACTTTTGATAATTTTTTGATAAACTATGTCGAACGTAGGCACTAAAAGTTAAAAATAAAAGAGAAAGAGAAAAATGACGTGAGATTTTTTTATCACACACCCGTACCGATTTTGCGACTCCGTAAAAATGGTATTGCACGGCCGTGCATATATTTTGACGTGACGTCATTAGCGTTATACAAACATAGTGTAAATAGGCGCGTCAATGAAAAATTTCACTTTAAATGGTCTTTATTTTGGGTATGTGATAAATAGAATATTAAATTCGTGTAGGTTCATTACTGAATTTATTGCACTTGTTTAATAAAACAAAATTATGCTCGCCAGAGTCTCGCATAATATAATTTCATTCAACTCGTGCGATAAATTTAGTATTGAACTTACACTCATTCAATATCCTCTACCTATGTAACGGTCGATATTTACATTTGAATTTCGACGTAACGTCATGTGACTTTCATCATCATGTGACGTCTTTGAATTCTGCCAAGGGAGGTAATCATTGTGAGGAGTAAGTCCTTTTTTATGCTGTGTTAAAAAATCATATTTATAGAACATGGCAACTGGGAATATATAAAAGAAAAGTAACTAATAGACACAGACAGCTTGGAAAGTTGGGAAGTTTGGATTATATAAAAAGGTGAGCCTTAAACAATTATGCCAGAGGGTGTATATACTAGTAAAATAATGATACTTTCAAAACCAGACAGCGTTGGATAACTTTCAAAACCAGACAGCGTTGGATATATGGAATAGCGATAAATATAGAAATATGAAACTGGGGATTTTTGAAATAATATGTTACACTTGCTGTTGCTGTGTTATGCAATTATTCTTACACAAAGAGGCAGCTACTGGGGAACATAAATATAGGTAAATATAGAACCAGACATGTTGGGTTTAATGAAGATAAAGGTTGACTATAGATCAAGAAAGTTGTTATAAGTTACACAATCGAATAATACTTAAGAGAAATTGTGTTATATGAAAATTTGAGCCGCGTCACGACAAAACCAACATAATGGGTTTGCGACCAGAATGGATCAAGACAAGCCTGCGCATCCACGCAGTCTGATCAGGATCCATGCTGTTCGCTATCAGTTTCTCTACTTGTTATATTGTTTGTAAGCGAACAGCATGGATGCTGATCAGACTGCGCGGATGCGCAGGCTGGTCTGGATCCATGCAAGTCACAAACCCATTATGTTGGTTTTGTCGTGACGCGGCTCAAATAATGATACATATAGGACCTGTTACGTTTATAGCTTGCGATATATAAACAAATGATACTTGTAGTATCAGGCAATTCGGGATTTATGGGATCATGATTATTATGGAAGACATCATTTTCAGATTTGTACACCAATAGTACAGTACGTAGGCCTACTCTCTCTGATACGCTCCTGGTTTCGTACGATATTTATAAATGGTTACTGACGGGTTAAGGTCGATACACATAAAAATGCAAGCGATTGACTATTAACGCTTTGTCTTTCCTTTATCTAGACTATTCTATGCTTGTCACTTGAAAATAAAATACGTAGATATGATTACAAAAATGGATTTTTTTTGTTGTAGTCTTTTATTTTGGTAGTATATTTCGCAATCTCATTTAAATAGTCACTTTTCAATTGTGTACACATGTACATTATATATACATTTATTTGCTTTTAGGTCTAGTATTAGCCGAGATAAGCTGAAAAAGTTATTTCCTGCTTTTGAGTTTAAGTCTCGGAAATGACAACTTATAATGCCAGACGATTCAGGAAATAATGAAATATATCTAAGCATGTGTAAAATAAAGATTTGCGATGAGTAAAATGTTGGCCTTTAAACCAGTTTGTTAAATATATCATAAATGGACTGAAACCATTTATCACTTTTAGGGAAAGTTTCAAAACATGTATTGACTGAATTTAGCGAACAGTGCAGAGTACTGCAGATCATTCTCAAACGGCACGGACGGCCGGTTGATCTTCATCTGAACTGGTTTGCATGGGTAGAAGGCCAAAGTTTTATTAACTTTTCACCTTGAACACAACAAATTCCGCCCCTCCATAGAAATATACCTTTTATGATTTTAGTACGAAATATAATAAGCTTAAATTTAGCCTTCTCCAAATTTATATGCAAATCATCGATTTGATATGTTTTGAATAGTTTAACCCTGCACCAAAGAATTCCGTATTCACTTATCAAAATAAATCCTATAAATTTACTCATGTGTATATATTCTATATTATATAGATCTACAAAAAAGTTATTCAAAACTCCGAGCGCTGTATTAAATATTTTCTGTTCAAAGGTGAGAAAAAGAGAAAAAAAGAGAAAAAAAAAGTTTTTGAAGGCGGTATTGTAATCTGTACGTGCGTGTTTTCACTCAAGTGCAAGAAATCTTTACAACGTACGTTAACTTTTAATTTTATTAGTTCAAGTTGAATAAAAAAATGATAAGATAATCTGAAAATTTTCAATCGTCATTTATTTTTTAAAGGCCCATTATGCCCCAGAAATAATTTATTTTTTATGTATCAAAAGCCTTTCCTGTTAAAGTTTCAAAACGTTTCTCATTGGCCAATTACCTAATTGGTAATATGTATATTTTAAGTGATTAGGTATTTTGTGTGGAAGTCAAAATACTTCATTGGCTATATTTTGCTATTTTTTGTGTCGATTACTTTCACATTCAGTGCTACTTTCTTTAGGTTATATATAAGCATCTAACATGTATGAACATGCAGTTTAAAAAACAGTAATTAAATGTTGGAGAACCCATACGTATATATGCCCTTTCTAAAGAAAGAATTATCTTTTCATTTCTGAGGCATGCCTTTAAAAGAAACACTTTCTAAGTGTTGATGTATTACTAATGTAGTTTAATTTATAAAATGTTTTGTTGTTATTGTTTTTTTGCACTTTTTGTCTTGTTTTTTCTTCTTCGTAATTTAATGTAACTCTGTCATATTAATTAATCGTCAGTCTTGTTTGTTGTGCAAATAATTTTTACATGTATTTATGTACATTGTAATGGTTTGACGCTTATAAATATATAAACAGCTTAAACGAAGCGACGTATGTAATGTAAGTAGTAAAAAGTGGTAAATCATAAATATTTGACGGTGAATGTCAATAAATTTTGTCACTTCACTCGACTAACTATAGTTCTTTCTAAATATTTGAGATAGTGTCCTCCTCATTCTTGCTATGTTAGAGCTAGTAAGGGGAGAAATTTGTTAAAACCCAAAACTACAACTCTTTGCGAGAAAGGGATCACTGAATATGCCCATTAACTATATTATGTACATCCAGTCGTGCCAAAGCTAGATTCTGAGATGTTTCTGTTCTGGGTCAGAATACCGAGACACAATTATCACAATATCTCAACCCGAAACACAATTAGTTAATATATACTTTTCGCACTCTTTGTCACACTGCATGCTTTATATATCCACAAACAAAATAAACCTTAATTTATTATTTAGTTCATTTCAATGCCGTTCTCGTCAAAATATAACCCTCATAGCTGAACATTTCTCGGTATACCAGTTCACGAGTTTTCTCCCCTACTTTATATAATATTAGCAATAATAAAGAAATGGTTCTGTACCGTCTGTACGTGTAATAAGGGTATTTCATATTGTTGAGTTAAATAATGAAATTTATTGGACGAATACACAGCTGAGATGCTAGCTGAGTCCAATATAGTTTATTTTCATATTTGTGTACGAGTCGGAGTCCAAGTACTCAACAATATGTAATGGCCTCTTTATTCTACACTGCCAATTTTAGGAAGACTATATGAGTGTAGGACTCATCGTAGTGCTTTTTTCTGCCTTATTATTTTCACGGGAGGGCTTTTGTCCGCCAAGTCATTTTAACGGGATTTTGTCCGCCCTGTTATTTTTACGGCAGGGCTTTGTCCGCCCTGTCATTTTCACGGGAGGGCTTTTGTCCGCCTTGTCATTTTTTGAGGGGAGGGCTTTTGTCCGTTTTCCAGACTATATAGGTCTATAATTTATATATAACAGGTTTATATATATACACACACATAATATATTAATTTAAAAAAGAAACAGCAACAAACAATTGTTTTGCATTTTATTACCCGGTTTAGTAGTGTGGCTTCCAGTAAAATGGAACTTTTAAATATGGACAATGAAAAGTACAACACAAATTGAAAACAAGGTTAGATGTAGTGCTATATGTACATTTGATATACATTTTCTGGACCAAAATTGATCCTTGTTTTGATACGTACTGGCAAAGGTTTCTCATGAAATATTAAAATAGACTAATATACGTTTGCTTTTATGATCGCCAATGTGTGCGTTGCCTTGTGATATCTACTAAACTACATCATCTAATTTGAAACTTACATAGAACAGTCCATGATTGAATCTCTTTCAAATTTGTTTAAAATTTTAAATAAATCCATTTCACGCATGATTACCATTGCAGCCATAAATAAAACTTTTTTAAAAATCGTCCTAATTAATCTGCATTACAAGGAGTGACCCACTACTAGTAGTGAAATTTGTTCAAATTATGTTCTTTCGATCAAACTTGGTAGTAATTACTTTCAGTCACTGATTTATATTGCAAAACTCTTAAAATTTCACTATGTGTGTGATTGATGCCGACACCAGCGTTTATTGACATTTAAGGTGTGAAGAACTGAGAGATTGTGGTGGCACCAGTGACTGACATTAAAGAGTGGAGATTGTGGTGTCACCAAGGAATATGACATTAATTAAGGTGTTGAGATGGTGCCGGCACCAGAGAATGTGGGGTTTTGGTGGCAACAGTGTTTCTGACATGAATGCTTTTCATGGGATCAACAAAGTTTTTAAATTCACTGAAGGTCTGAGGTACAAAGGGAAAACAGATACACATTTAAAATTGGATGTTGTATGATTTATTTTTCATGTTTTTGTATAAAAAAGTGAACAAATATAAAAATACTTTATACATAATGATAATTTTCGTAAAATAATGTAAGTATATATAAAAACCTATAGTACAACACCCAAACTTTCAGTCAAATAATGGTTAAAACATCTATTGCTGCATTTAATGCAAAACTTACCCTTTGTACTTATAAAGAAGTCATATAATAAGTCACATATGCCACTGGTATAAAACCAGGACCAACACGCTTTTCAGCCCAAACTCTATACTGCAGGTTTTTTAAAGCGGCCTTCAGATTTTTTGTTGTTGGAAAAACAATTCTGTGTTGTATCAAAACAATTAATTCTGTAATATCATCTTGGAAAAATGCATCATATCACTGTTAAGCCTTCTTCAAAACAAAGTCCAGAGAGCTATTTATAGCGCGCCAGTTACGTTAGTTTCTAAAAATAGAAGATTGCTTCTAAAAATAGAAGATTGCCGCTTTATTTATTTACAAATAGAGAGCGGACTGGTAGATAAGATGAATTGAGGGGTTTCCTTGTTGTTTATGTATTTTATAATCGCAATTTTCATTTTTCTAAATTTATTCTTTTGTTTTGACAATTATATGGAACAATTTATCTAAAAAAGATATTACAGTATTTAACCTATAGAAAAGCCGAAGGCCGCTTTAAAGTGCTGTTTTGATACTAAAACACTTCAGTCTAAAAATGGACAGTTCTCAATTAAATACTGAGCAAGTTTTTTTTATATAAATTTAGTATGACATGGGTTGAAAACATACCCAAGCATTCACAAGCAAGACACTTCAAAAATTTTGGTTAACATTATTAACATCATCAGCAACAACAACCAATCTCAACAAAAAAATTCATTTAAACTGTCTGCTACAGCAACTTCTCTCACAGTTTATCATGCAAGCAATTAAATTTCTCAGGTTTTTTTCTTCTCTTCCAAATCAAATAAAGAAGACATTGTTAAATTGGTTATTATATAATAATAACAAAACAGTTAAATGCTGTCTCAAGATATAATTGCTACTTTCATCAAATTGGAGCAAAATACATGTAATTACAATGTATTGCAGTTTGATTTTTTAACACATCACTAATCAGAAATATTTGAAAAAAATTTGACAATAATCATATTGAAAAATATATGATTTTTCTTTCTGTTAAAAAAATAAAAAGACATAAAATAAAATTGTATACATTAGAAATAAGTTAAAAAACAGAGTCTTTTAATTAGATGTCTGTTTAAAAGACCCTGGTGGTAAGCTTAATATCTTATTATTATCAATCACCCCTGGGAAAATATTTATAAGATGTTTTGTAGTGACACATGATTTAAATTATACATGTATATAGATAAAAATATATTATAAAAATATTTACAGGTGGAATGAACTGTTCTATTTGGAATGATTGTACATGTACACAAACGTATAATTTATAGTCTATGGTTCTACTTGTATCTAAATAATTTAATTATTGGCCCTGCCTCCAGCACACAAAAACGTATGAATATGCAAATGAATATAATCAAAATAAATCTTTGGCCCTGCCTCCAGCAGACAAATGTTTATGAATATGCAAATTAATGAAAATTCAAACTTTAAGCCCTGCCTCCAGCATGCAAATAAATATGAATATGCAAATTGTTTAATTTTCAAACTTTAGGCCCTGCATCAAGCATACAAATACTAAAAAATTATTGAAATGAATTCAAAACTTTGGCTCTGCCCCAGCATAAAAAGCAACAGCAAAATATATATTAATTTTATAGATATCTTTTTTTACAATTCTGATATCTCATTGTAATTTCTAGATATTATATGTGTTTTACTTTGAACTGCACAAACATTATGATTTTTCAGTGCTTCAGGTGATTCATCTTTAACAGATGATTTATCCTCTACCAGGATATTTATTTTCCAACAGATGATTCCTCTTCTAACAGATGATTTATCTTCTAACAGATGATTTGTCTTCTAACAGATGATTTACCTTCTAACAGATGTTTATCTTCAAACAGATAATTTATCCTCTACTAAATCATTCATCTTCTAACAGAATATTTATCTTTCAACAGATGATTGTTATATTAACAGATGTTTCAATATGGTATTATTACCTATGTTATATCACTAATTTTACCAGGTAAACCGGTATATTTTCCACAAACTTCAGTGTCAGAGAATCACTGCTGGTTCTGTAAGGGCTTATTTCCATGAGATTCGCAACATTTTACTCGGAGTACACTGCAAGTACACTTCAAGTACACTACAAGTACATTTCAAGTACACTACAAGTGCACTACCAGTACACTTCAAGTACAATACCAATACACTACAAGTACACTTCAATTACATGACTGTTAGAACTAAGATTCGTTAAGCACTGTTATTTCAATGACAAAGAGACACGCATGGTTTTTATTTTGTTAAGATTTAACATTCAAGAGTATCACTGTCATTTTCCATCAATGTTATGACATGGGTTCCACGTACAAACTTAATGAATACAATTGAGTTTAGATGTTACACATTGACAATGATTTACTGAAATGTAATTAAATGGGTCTTCCTAAATTTATAATAACAATTGTTTTCAATAATCATCACTAGATTTTTAACTGTCATTTAATGTCAATTATCACTGTAATTTTGTAAGCAATCTATTCAATGTGAGAAACTAGGTTATAAAACAATAATGTGACAGCACTAAGATTTTGGTAAAGATTTCACTAATTTAGTTTCTGCACCACCAGATAAAACAAGAATGTTCTGTTTAAACATGTTCACAAGGTCTAATAGTGAAGAAAATGCCTGAAATTAAAAGAAAACATAGATACTTAGACAACACAATCCACAAATATAAAGGGAGGTAATTCAATTAAAAGCAGTACAGAGTTATGCATCATGAATAACTCCTTTACATCTGCACACTAAATTTTGTATAGAAATGAAGATACAATTAAATGATTTGATTCAATTGCAATGCATTGAAACAAAAATGATATGATATTAAAATGGCAACAAAACCAATATGGCAATCACTGTAAATTTAATCTACAGGGGTGATGGGTTCTGTTGAGTCTGGATATATTAACATTTATATTAACACTGGCCCCTTTTTGGAGCTTTTCTTGTGTAGGAAGATGTCAGATTGCTGTAAGTAAAACCACCCACCTCCTGTACTTTATGACATCATCACATTATTTTTCATTTCAACAGATATTCATTGCATTGTTAATGAATTTTCACACTTTAATTACTCTATCTATTTATGGTTATATCATACAAGTTTACCAACTTTCAGTATATAATATTTTATTTAAAACTAGCAAGTCGGCAATACTGTTTCTTTATTATATGGATGTCATAATAAGATCTTTTAACATCAAAACTGGAAAAGTTGGCCATAGTTGTATCACCTTATAATGGACATTGTCACCTTTGAATAAAGTACAAAAAAGTTCAACTTACCTTTTCACCTTCTTTTTCCTCTTTGCCAACAGCCAGCAAATTATCAGATCTGCGCCTTATTGGAAGATTATAACATTTACCATGGAAGAAAATTTGTAATGTATATGGCTGATCACTACCCTGCGAACTTTTACGTATCAAATACATTCCATCCTGAAATTAAAACATCACCTTTCTTATATAATGCTCTATTTTTTTCCAAGATCTTAAGGAATTTTCTAGAATTACAAATGAATACCATTCAGAGGTTCATTGCCCACATTAAAAGAATGTAGCAACTAAGAACTAAACATGTATTATATCATAACAAATAAATAACATGTAATAATGAACACATATAATAACACTATTATATTTATACGTACAGATGTATATTCAACTTGAATGTTTAATATACAATAAAAAACCAACTTACTATACTGAGCTGTTTTAATTTGATTTCTGCATCTATCCTCTTGATGTTGCCATGGTACCATTTCTGTCTTAAAAGGTCTGACTATAAAAGACAAAACAAAAAAACCCAAACCATTATAAAAATGCTGTTAAAAGGGGAATTCAATCAGAATTTTCAGCACATTTACATTTAACCTGCTGGTCGTAATAAATTTCACCAATGTCTTGCCCAGTGCATACCCAAGAGCAGCTGACTGATCTAATCTGAGCAGAAGCGACGTTGCCTCATGTACAATTTTCATAGTTGTATCATCGAACTTATGATTCTTTATCTAATACAAATTTATTTTAGTAGACTGTGTAGGAAGCTCATATAAGCTTATTGAAACACTCTCAAATTTTTTCATGGAACTAACCAGTACTAAGCAATATGTGTTAAGTTTCTTGCTCAAGGAAACAATTGTGAAGGGTTTGAACCCACAAAATCAGCAATCCTTAGATTACAAGTCAGACCCATTAACCAGTCAGCCAAGGCGCCATTTTGATTCTTTGCGACTGACTTCATACAAACAAGATCAAAGACCTATAACAAAAACTATTGCTACTGGCACAGTGTACTAGTATTAAAGAGAGGCAAGTGAGCATATTTATATACCTCTGTAAGTTCGGCTTTTTGAGGAGTTGTAGATTTGGCTGCATGTGGTTTCTCGGGTTCTCTCCTTTCAGGGGTCACTAAGATAAAACAAAACAGTATTAGACCAATCTGTTAACAACAAAATAAAGCTTGCATGCAATTTCAATATACATGTTGTTTTACATTTCTTTTACATTTAAACACAACAATTTTTTTGGGTAAATTTTAAAGAAATTTGATATCTATCTTACTGATTACAATCTGGAATGTGTATGTTGAAAAAAAAGAAGTAATAATCAAAATGCCAAGATTTTAAAAAGGGGGACTGCATAAATAATGTATAAGCTAAATTCAGCATAACATATCATTATTCCTTCAAATGTCAATTTGGCCCATACTTTAATTATTAACTGGAGCACAAATAGGTTCTGTTTTATGCTGATAACAGTTCTTTGTTATAATGTCCACTACTATCCACCCCAAAAAGTGGGGGCAAAAAAAAATATTATAATTAACAATTTGTCAATTTTAAATCATTTACTACCAACCTGCAGGAGGTGGGGGTAGGGAACGTCCTTGTCTCGGCGACTGTTGAGCCGGTGAGTGTTGGGCCGGTTCTTTAACACCTGTAAAATAAGAGGGTTTCAATAACATTCATGCAAACATTATAGTTTAATGAAGAAGAATAAGAAGTATTTAAACTATATTTGTTTGTTTGTTTAATTGGGCTGTACGGCACACCAACACAGTATAGGTCATATGGCAACGTTCCAGCTTTACTGGTGGAGGAAGACCTCAGGTGCCCTTCCGTGCATTATTTCAGGCACGAAAGGGCACCCGGGTAAAACCACCGACGTTCCATAAGCTAGCTGGATAGCTTCCTCACATGAAAGAATCCTTGTCGAGATTCGAACCCACAGCGGTGAGGGGCAAGTGGTTTGAAGTCAACGACCTTAACCACTTGGCCATGGATGCCCCCATTTAAAATATATATTTACTCCTATCTTGTTATTCATCAGAACTACTAGAAATACATATAAAACATTTTGCAACGATTAGTATTAAAACGTAACAGAATAATATATGTTTTAGATAAATAAAGATTAAGTTAAGTTTTAATGCAGATAAATAAAGATGATGCAACCTTGAGTTTCAAGCAGATAATACACTACCGTTAAATAGAAGTACGGATAAAACAGCATGAAAAATACCACTAAATGAAGTCTGAGTATTCAATTTTGCAGCCATCTTTTTTTTTAAATTCAAAATGTGATGCAGCTATTATAATAATAATAATTTTTTTTTTTGTATGAAAAATGATCCAAAATTGTGTGAAGTTTTGCAACACTTTTCACTCAAGTCAAACAAAATTCTGAGTATATTTCTTGATCATTTTTGCATATCTTTCTGTTTTAAGTGACCCAGCTGATCTATGTAAAAAAAATTCAAATTATATGTTTATGTTTTTAAGCTTTTGGAGTTCAATAGAGTTCCTTAAAGTAATTCAGAAGAATTAAAATGGAGATCACTGAAAACCCTGAAATCATAACACTTACCATTTGATACTGGAAATACTGGAACCCCAACTTTTTTCTTCATTTGTGGCACTGGAAAAAAAAATCACTTATTTATTCCATATTTGATAAATGTAAAGAAGAATAGTTGTTAAACAAGAAGAATCTTTAAAAAGATACTTGGACAAGGTACAACTGATTTTACTTGCATGGTGTCATGAGGTATGCACATGTTTTTCTGGGATCGTGGGCATTATTGGTTGTTTCGTCATTTTAGAATGTCATTTTATAATTGGTAAATTCTTCTGTTGAATAAATTATTTATTGGGAGGAAATTCACAGGTCTCAAATATCCAGAAAGTTAACTTTGTTTCAAATACTGCTTTAGATTATTTTGTAATTTGGACATGTTTACATTTCAGAAAGATCCTTTAAATTATTATACTAATTTTAGAATGGTCAATGAGTTTTCGGGTTTCAGTTTGTAATTTTGAAATGACCAATGAAAATCATTCTAATATTCAGTACTTCCCTGTAAATTTTACAGGAAGTCAAACCAATCTCAGATGGAATTCGTCTGAAAAAAATAGCAATGTAGTAAATGAGAATTGATTTTTGGTCACTGACCTTTGATTTCTTCATCCTCCACAGGTGGTTCCACAGGGGCCTGAAAAATATTAATAATATGGACTGCAGGCATGAGAAAACAGCCCTAAACATCAATTACTTTTTTTTGTAATTAACATATTAAATTTTTTTGAAGAAATTCAATTCTATATAGCCCTTGAAATAAACAAAAACATCTTTTGAAATTTGCTTATTGTTATCTATTCATATTTATCTTTAACATTTCATGGGTAATACACTTTTCTAACACTATCGGAAATTTTTCTATACAAACAAAGAAGGCCTGAAGCACAATGCATTATACTACAACAATGCACTCGCTGTTCTTATTACGTCCCTGTGTATTTTCAAATAAACACACTGACCATTTTGTTTGAAAAATCTGATAAATAAAAAGCATTTTTTTGACGAATTTTGTTGTGAAAACTATCTAGAATGATAGAAATGGTCTAACTAAGAACATGAATCTGAACACCAATATCTTTAATTCAATCGTTAACGCTGTACAGACGTTTTAAGTGTTGTTTTACGTGATGTCACAATGTAGCGCCAAACATCACGTGCAAAACTATCAAATCAAGAACACTATTTCAATGTTGCAAACAGTTAAATTTCACATTTATTTCACTATTAATACTTTGTTATTTGCTTGAAAAATATAGAGTGAAATAAAATAAACAGGCAAAGTTTTATTAACGTTTTTAAAATTTGTTATTCTCAAAATGTTTCTACACACGGTAGATTTAACGACAGTTTTTTTCAACCCGCTGGAACAGCCTTTAAAGAACGTTTCTATTGGAACTAACTTCGAGGCAAAAACAAATTCAACCACCAAACATAAAGTCCAACTATAAAATAATTATTATATTATTTCTTGATGTGTAAGAATGGAAATAGATATTAATTCTTTGTGCATTATAGAATAATAATGCACATTTTTTCGTTCAAATGTTTTGTAATTAATCACTCGGCCTTCGTGATTATATCACTACGTATTTGAACTCAAACCGTGCATTATTCTACAATAATGCACTCAGAATTGATGTCTATTTCCTAATTATTTTTTTTTTTCATTGAAAATGTTAACATTTTTTGATGTCATGTATTAAATGAGCCGCGTCATGACAAAACCAACGTAACGCGTCCGCGCATTCTGATCAGGATCCATGCTGTTAGCTATCAGTTTCTCTATTTGTAATAGAGTTTGTAAGCTAACAGCATGGATCCTGATCAGACTGCGTGGATGCGCAGGCTGGTCTGGATCCATGCTGGTCGCAAACCCATTATGTTGGTTTTGTCATGACACGGCTCATATGATGTCTAGTCGCTTTCTCATGCTGATTATTTCAAATTTTTATTTATTTTATTAGTAAAATAGTACCATTGATCTCAATGCTCATGGACATGAATTTTTTAAGTACAAACCTTCCTGTCATCACTAGTTTTTCTGCCTTGCGATTTGGGTTCACCAGGTAGAGGCATGGCCCCTCGTCTAGGTCCTCTGTCAGGTTTACTTTTAGCACTGGGTAACTAAAAAATTAAATATATAAATTGTCTGAATACTAACACATTTGGAAATATTTAAATCTTGTAATTTTCTAACAATTTGAGAGAAGTTTCAAATCATTTCCACAAATTTCTTGGTTTGAGAAAAAATATTATTTTTACTATGAAAGAAATTTCAAACAAAAAAACTAAAAACAATTTTTATAAACAAATTACTATGATATGCAAAATTTTCATGTTGAATTTGCAGAAATTATTTACTTGAATTTTTGTTTCCACAACAGGAAAAAATTTCTTTATCAAAACTTGAGAATATTTGTTTAAAAGATCACAGCTAAGTGACACTAGCCTTCCTTATTGCAATACTAATTTAAAAAACAAACAAACAAACAAAAAACAACAACAACAACTACAGAAAAACAACAACAAAAAACAACAAGAAACAACAAAGAAACAAAATAAATAATAACAACTCGCTAAATATGAAACATAATTTATAGAGAGCTAAGTTTTTTTTTTAAGATGCTTTTATATTGAAATATTTCACAAGAAAAGTATCTCATTGACTAGTTACAAAAATTTTAAGGATTACTCATGAACTTGTAAGTTTACTAAAATTTACAACAGATTTTATAATTTAATGTACTAAAATACTTTCTATATCAATTTTCATTTTTTTTTTAAACATTGAATACAAAAATGCTCATTGCCTTAGAGCTAAAACTATTCCGTTATACTATATAATCTAAAGCATTGATTATGTATGATAATGTATGCTAATAGCATAATTGAGCCGCGCTGTCGCTGTCAGTTTCTCCACTTGTAATAGAGTTGGTAAGCGAACAGCATGGATCCTGATCAGACTGCACAGACACAAAGGCTGGTCTGGATCCATGCTGGTCGCAAACCCATTATGTTGGTTTTGTCATGGCACGGCTCATATGTTAAACATGTTCTTATACACATGTATGTAACTTTTGTAAGCAACAAACACTTTTTTTTTATTTTGCTAGATATCAAAATGCCCAAATTGCAAGCTGGTAAATTAACAACAACCAAAAGAACAAACAAACACTTCTTTTCATATCTTAAATGAAATTCATAAAAAAAGCCAATAAGAAAACATGTTGAGTGTACACTGTTAAAAGATCAATTATATAAAATATTAATCATTCTGCATTTTCTTCAGTACATTATAACATATCTAGGCAATGCAAATATACATGTATGTGTATAGCGTTAAACATAAGGCATGATCTGATGCTATTTTGCTATGGAATGTTTATAAAGATTTGAGCTGCGCCATGACAAAACCAACATAATGTATTTGCGACCAGCATGGATCAAGACAAGCATGTGCATCCGAGCAGTCTGATCAGGATCTGTGCTGTTCGCTTACAAATCCTGTAACAAGTAGAGAAACTGATAGCGAACAGCATGGATCCTGATCAGACTGCGCGGATGCGCAGTCTGATCAGGATCCATGCTGGTCGCAAACGCATTATGTTGGTTTTGTCATGACGCGGTCATTTCTTCATTTTATAGTTCAATAGAATTTAGCACATAATATGTGCCCTCAGCAGTCAGATCAGAAATCAGCTAGCTCAACAGCAGTAATTTTGACATCCCAAAACTTTGACATAGACTGGTTTAAATTTACACTAAAAGGGAAGTCTACTATACATATATAGGGGAAGAAAGTTAAAGCATGAATTTTCCATATTTTTTTCAGTGTTTAAATGGATAATCAAACATAAGTCAAAATTTTCATAAATAACCAAAATACATTGTATGCTTATTCAATAAACAGTGAATGTAAATAATTACTCGACAATGCCTCCTTCAGCATAGACTTTTATCGACCATTAGGACAATAATAATTTCAATGTTGTCAAGTCAATTTAATTTGAGCAAAAATATATCAATTTTTGAAATTGCGCACTCTCAGATTTTTGTACAGACTATGAAACACTGGGATTATTTGCAGGTAAGGTGATGGCAAGATGGTAATGCAGGTACAAATGACAAGCTGGGCATAACTTTAACAACAAGATCATTTCTAGCCAACTTTAACAATAAGATCATTTCTAGCCAACTTTTGCCATAATTTATCATGACCAATTTAATCTACATCAATCTATACAGGTACATGGCATCAATATTAAACTAGGGTTTACAATTAGAAGTCAACTCAAAACGTATAATACAACAGGCATTATACAACATTTTGGAAGTATTTGATATACATTGTACAATATAGAAAGGATTGTATTGTGTTGTTGGGAACCCTTATCAATAATACATTGTATTATGGGGATTGCATAATATTCAGAGGGATTGTGTGCAAGTTTTTTCATAGGTTATAATAAGCAATTGAGAGGGATTACATTTTGTTGTTGCAAGGGTGCAGTGACTATTTGAAATTACTGCAAGACCTGCATTTGTTGAATCTTGCATCAATCTACTGGGGATTACATTAAACTGTTGCAGCTTGCATTACACTAATGTGGGATTGCATAAATTGTTGTATCTTCTATCAAACTAAGGCGGATTGCATTCAGTTTTTGCATATTGCATCAAACTACTAAGGGGAATGCATTCAATTTTTGCATCTAGCATCAAACTACTGAGGGGGTTGTATTAAGTTCTTGCATATTGCATCAAACTATTGAAGGGAGGGATTGCTCATAAAAGACTTACAATATGCAAAGTTTGTGTATAGTTATTGGAAAAACTTGCCTAAACACAATGACAGTATTTGAATGTAGAGACTGACAAGATCTGCCTCATAAAAGCAGTGTCAGGGAGTTTGTTTCACTATTCTTAGGGCTTTAATTACTTGTAAATTATAAAACACTAGACCGGACATAATTATGTTAAAGTCATTGACAGAATTTTGTGAAAAGTGGTGGTACAAAATTTTTACTAAAAGTCAAAAGGGTAACAACTATATCAAAATATATGACAGAGTTATGTATTCTTGCCTGCAAGGAAATATGAAAGTCATAGATAATGTTTTTTAAATTTCATTGCAGTATAGTGATAAAGTAGGGTAATTTAAAAACCTCAAAGTGACCTTGATGTGGACTAGCATTCCAGGTGAGGAGATAAACTATTGCTGCGAGTTAGTGGTAACCATACTAGACTGGCAATCTAGAGACCAGAGATTCGACTCCCGACTGCTTTGTGCCGTTTTTTTTTTGGTGATTTTTCTGTGTTTAATTTCCTGCTCATGACTGTCTTTCTTTCATATATACATATATGTATATTTATGTCTATATTTAGATAGTCATATCTAAACTTTTATGAACTAGCAGGCGTAACAGCATTTTACTTATAAGCCAAGCGCTAATATTTTGATAATGTTTCGCCTAATACACTGCTAAACTTAATCATAAACAAAATTGTAGCGGTAATTATATTTTGGAGTGAAAGACATGAGGTAAAGTTCTGCTAAAGGTGCTTTGAATAAATGTTTCATTTACCATACTGGTGGGTACACTGACACTTTCCTGTACAATATCTATGTAATCCTGCCAGATTTACAATCAAGCAAAATGTTCATATAAAAATATAACTAAACATAGTACAGCACATATCTTATTAAATATACATGTATATATATATAACAAATATTAAAAACATACATAAAACAAAGAAAACCTCCTTTCTGAAACAAGAAATGTGCCTTTAACTAAAGAGTATTACATCTTATGTAAGTTTAAAATTAAATACTATGCACTGGGAGAGAAAAAAATATGTAGACGTCCATTTAGTATATTCATTTACCTCAATTTATAAACAAAAAATGTAATATAACTAAGACATCATTCAGTTTGTTGGTTGGTTTTTCACTTTTTTTTCATACCAATTTTAGTGATAATATGGTGCATTAATATCACTTATATAAACTACTCTATTCTGTAACCAGAACTTATCCGATTTCTCAACAAGTAATAGTCAACGTCTCCACACATGTCATTTGAAACAACAGTGGAGGACTTTACTATGATGGTAAGATGTATGGTCATCAAAATAACCCATTATATACTGTTTGAGAAAGTAACTGTTTATCAATATACATGTATGTGCATGGGATAGTTAAAATTCCCTTACTTAAGCATGGAGAAAACACTATAAATTTTATCATTTTTTTTTCTTCTTTGACTTATCAAAATATTTTTTATACCATACAAAAAAGTGATAAGATGCACTGAAAAGATAGTATAAGTTGTATCAACTAAGCTGTGTGTTTGCCTACTAAGTGCTTATTCTATTTCGGAGTGTAATTCTTCCAATAAAAAATGAGCCGCATCATGACAAAACCAACGTCATGCGTTTGCGACCAGCATGGATCCAGACCAGCCTGCGCATCCGCGCACTCTGATCAGGATCCATGCTGTTCGCTATCAGTTTCTCTACTTGTAATAGGGTTAGTAAGCGACCAGCATGGATCCTGATCAGACTGCGCGGATGCGCAGGCTGGTCTGGATCCATGCTGGTCGCAAACACATTATGTTGGTTTTGTCGTGACGCGGCTCAAATAATGTCACAGGAATTCCATATTTGCCACTTAAAGGGACCCTAAACTTTAACTTGATAAAAAGTGAATCTAGTTTAGTTAAGCTTTTATATGTATGATGGCATAGCTATTGACTGCTGATTAACCCATATAACATGCATTTGTTCACCTAAATAATACAACAAAATATTTTCTTTTTAAGAAGTTACAGTATGTATCCTTATGGCAAAATATTTAGAGAGGTTACATATCATATCCCTATGGTTATTTTTTCAAAAGTTACAAAACATATCCCTGCGTACAAATTTTTCTGCAAATATCAATACAGATACCTGTGGGCAAATTTTAGGCAACTTACAATGCATATTTATGTGGCTATTATTTTCAAAGTAGTTTCAATAAATATTCCTCTAATCAAATGTTCAAGAAGTTACAATACATCTCCCTGAGGCTGTATTTCCCAGAAGTTACAACATTTATTACCATGTTACCATTATAATATTCTAGATGTTACCAGGCATATTTACATGTATATACATAAAATGATTGTTTAACATGCTATACAAATCAATACAGCCATTAAGCTAAACAGACCATATAAATAGTGAAGAATGAGTAGAGGAGGAGAACTATGATGTGAAAACCAAACAGATTGTGAAATCATTATTTATCATAGCTACAAGATAACATTGCCAACATTGAAGAGAAATCACATCTGATATTAGGGGTGCAACGATACAGCCAAACCCGTATTGCGATATATTGCGATATAGACAGCCTGTATTGCGATACGTATTGTGGTACAGTGTATACTAAAATAATTAAAGAAAACAGTAAAACGTAAGCTATATTTCAACTCTTCTTATTATTCTTTTAGAACACATACAGTCATGTATCTATTTATAGAATGAATAAGTACCCTGTGTCCTTGAGGTTTAAATGTTTTTCTTAAGAAATATCAACATGTCAACAACTTCTGAAAAGTACGTACGTGACGGTAGGTCGTATCTAGGGTCTAAAACACGAATCATATCCTTAAATCCATCATTTGAGACAACACTAAACGGTCGAAGATCATTAACAATGAATTTTCCGACGGCTTGCGTTATGTCCTTATACCGCTGACTTGTAGGCTTGTATTTGGAAGTCTGCCCAAAAGAACTCATAATTGTCGGCTGCTTTACGGTTGACACTGTTGCCGCGATCAAACTAGTACCAGACTTGCATGCACCTTGTTGCAGATTGATTTTGTGGTGTTGAGTCAAATGTGTATTTAGATTTGTGGTCCCTCCACTGTAGCGAATATCCATCTTACATTTTTTACAAACGGCTGTGCCGTCCTCAATTTTTCTTGTAGATTTTCTTTTTTTTAAGTTGAATTCCATCCATGTTTTTCTTTTAGCTTTCTCATTTTCAATTAGTTCAAAATCTTCTTTTTCCATTTTTTTATTTCAGTTAATCAACAATTTTAATCAGTCCTAACTTAAATTGCGTAACTGTGTGTAATTTAATAAAGCGTGATCAAAGCCGCACTCTGAAAATGACGTCACACGATTCTGCTACTCGCGCAGTAAGATCAAAGAGCTTCGTCAGGAAAAGTTCGCGGCGGCGTTTCTTTATACATCACAGGGATCGACTAGTGTCGGCAATCTTTTCATGTTTCATTGATGTTTTGTTTTTGATGTCGTAAATCGTTGCTTACTGATTCAAAATTGAAGTTTCTACATTCATGTTATTTCGGCATAAATATTAAAGAAAAAACCGCAATACAGGGCAGCTGCACCGCGGTACGTATCGACCCGAGACTGTATTGCAATATACCGGTATACCGGTATATCGTTGCACCACTATCTGATATATTGGTAAAGAAAGCACAAATGAGCCGCGTCACGACAAAACCAATATAATGGGTTTGCGACCAGCATGGATCCAGACCAGCCTGCGCATCCGCGCAGTCTGATCAGGATCCATGCTGTTCGCTTACAAAACCTATAGAAAGTAGAGAAACTGATAGCGAACAGCATGGATCCTGATCAGACTGCGCAGATGCTCAGGCTGGTCTGGATCTATGCTGGTCGCAAACGCACTATGTTGCTTTTATCATGACGTGGCTCAAATATTTAAGACAGAACACGAGGCATACCAATCACAGAGCATCAAATTAAGTTCCACTTTCTTAGATAATATTCATATGTCAATAATTAGAAATATTGTCTTCAATTACTCAGACACAATTACCACAAAAACATGATATATCTATAGCTTCAAATGACAAATTTATGTCTAAAATCAAGCAGATTTATTGATATATTACACTTATTTGAACAGATTTTTATGTCTGAACAATAAAATTTGTACAAGTGATAATGTAAAAATCTGCCGTAATAAAAAGTTGTTCAGTATTGCTAAATACTTTCAATAAATCACTTGTTATCAAATAAATCATGCAATTATAACAAATATTTGTCATTAAACCTAGCTGTATCAGCTTGACAATCCAGTTTGTTTTGTTTTTGGATTTTTATGTCAGACACGATAAAAGTCATATACCCTCTTTCCAGCATAACTGGTGGGTGGAGGAAGACATCAGGTTACCACATCATGCATTATTTCAGGCACAAGCTGGTACTTAATTAAACCACCAATCATCTGTAAGCTAGCTGGATAGCTTTCTCACATGAAATAATCCAAAGACCCTGATGGCATTTGTTTCAAATAAATTTCAAGTAAACAATCTTAACCACTCAGCTGTGGAAGCACAAGAAAACAACAATGACTATATTAGTATTTCTCAAGTCATTCTAGACTGCACCAGCACTGGTGATATATATCCCTCACCCAATTTCTTTGGGGGACTTGAACCCACAACCCCAAGCATTATACGGCAGTCACCATAAGCACAATGCATTCTGCTCTCAAATAATGTATTTCAAGGAATGTTAGCAAAGCCTTTAAACATAATGTTCATGTCTAAATAAAAGAATATTTTCTAAAATTAAGAGTTTCTTATGAGTATTGTATGTGACACAGAACTGACAGGAATATAAATTCACATTATTAAAGAATATTACAAAATTCATACAATTCAAAAGATTTGAGAGCTTGCTGCAAAAACTGTTTAACCTTTAACCTTTGTTCTCATACCTATACCATACTGGACCTTTCCCACCAGTATAGAACCAGGTCACTTTGCACTTTCAGGCAGTGTGACCGGACTTTATACCACTGTATGACCAATCTAAAAAAAAATTCTTGATATCCCCAAAAATAAAAATGGGATAATTCCAAAATGAAATCTGGATAAGCATGTTAAAGAAACTCATAAAGGTTAGAAACAATTTTTTTGCACCATTTTTCAAGAATCATCTTAAATATGCATCAGATATGATTTGTTAATGTAAACAAAACAGTATTAAGTTTTTTGTGAAGAAGTTAGTTAAAAAGCAAGCCAAAGCAATGAAGAATGGATTATATATGTTACCGGCATAGATGGTGGTGTAGAAATCTCTTGTTCCATATCTAAATAGTCATCTTGGTCCTGTAGTTAATATTAGGTGATGTTTAAGTCATGTAAAAAAAGTCAGGGAACTTTCTGATAATGATGGCAGATATCATTTCTGATAATAAACTTATCTTCATTTTTAAAAACAAAAAATGATCTGTTTCTCTCAAGTTCTCAAATCTATAATAATCCACAGATTATTTGTAACCCCAGTCCTCTCACCTAGAAATAGCTTGGACCATACATGTACACAAAACCAGATAATAACAAGAATTTGTAACAGAGTTACCAACGTCCCCCGCCCCGGGAGTTTTATATGAAGCATAAAATTGTGCTATTTCAAAAGATTGAGGTATGGATCTCAGGACATTCAGTCCAAAATTATGATCAATGCTAGATCTGCAAATGTAACAATAAATTTGTTAAAAAAATAAAATGAAACACGGAATTTAAAAATCTATCATGTTAAGCTTTGACCTCTAAGTGTGAACTTGACCTTGGAGATAGGGAGCAGGTGTTGTGCATGACATAAACGTCTCATTATTGTGACTATTGTGCCAAGTTATTTCAAAAATCCCTTGAACTATGAAGAAGTTCTAGATTCAACACAAAATATACCCTATAACAGACTATGTTAATTTTTTACCTCTAAGTGTGACCTTGACCTTGGAGGTAGGGATGCAGGTATTGCGCATGACACATCCTCTTTATTATAGTGACTATTTGTGCGAAGTATTTTCACAATCCTTTGATCTATGAAAAATTATAGACCTGACACAAAATATACCCTGTAACAGACTATGTAAAGTATTTGACCTCCAAGTGTGACCTTGACCTTGGAGGTAGGTGACCGGTTTTTGCGCATGACACATCATCTGATTATTGTTAACAATTATGGCAAGTATTTACAAAAGTCCTTCATAGATAAGAAAGTTATGGACTGGACACGACATATACCCTCAAATAGACAATGTTGACCTTGAATGAACAAGTACGACCTTGACCCTGAAGGTACGGATCTGGTTGTTGCGCATGACACATCGTCTTATTATAACAAAACATTTGTGCCAAGTTATCTCAAATTCCTTTGATAAATGACAAAGATATGGACTGGACACGAAATATACCCTGTAACAGACTATGTTAATATTTGACCTCCAAGTGTGACCTTGACGTTGAAGGTAGGCAACTGGTTTTTGCGCATGACACATCATCTGATTATTATGAACAATTATGGCAAGTATTTACAAAAACCCCTTCATAGATAAGAAAGTTATGGACCGGACACGAAATAAACCCTGTAACAGACTAATGTTAATATTTGACCTCCAAGTGTGACCTTGACCTTTGAAGGTAGGTGACTGCTTTTTTCTGCATGACACATCATCTGATAATTGTGAACAATTATGGCAAAGTATTTACAAAATCCCTTCATAGATAAGAAAGTTATGGACGGACACGAAATATACCCTGTAACAGACTATGTTAATATTTGACCTCCAAGTGTGTGACCTTGACCTTGAAGTAGGTGACTGGTTTTTGCGCATGACACATCGTCTGATTATTGTGAACAATTAGGCAAATATTTACAAATGCCCTTCATAATAAGAAAGTTATGGACCGGACACGACAGTATACCCTCAAATAGGCAATTTTGACCTTGAATGAGCAAGTGTGACCTTAGGGACCCTGGAGGTAGGGGTCTGGTTGTTGCGCATGACACATCGTCTTATTATAATAAACATTTGTGCCAAGTTATTTCAAATTCCTTTCATAAATGACAAAGTTATGGACCGGACACGAAAGTGTGACGGACGGACAGACGGACGGACGGACAGACGGACGGAGCCTTTTTCTATATCCCCCTTTTTTCTTCGAAAAGGCAGGGGACAATAAGAAGGTCAATATAATTGGCATTTAAAAAAATTCTCTTTGTATATAAGATAAATAACTTCAAGGGTTATAAATCTACATGGGGAACATTGAGCCTTTATCCTGCTGAATCCAAAAGTAATAAGCCTTTGTCTTCAGTAATTATCCATCCAAGCCTGCACATCAGATCCTTGCTTTTGGGACCTGACGGATTAAAGGTTTTTTTGAGGTAAATTTCCAAATTTCAGCAAGTTCAGGGGAGCAAATGGGGTTGGTTTAAAAAAAGATTATCAATTTTACCTTTGATCACCGATCAGTCCTCGAAAATTTTTCCTTAAAAATATTATAGAAAAATATAACTGCTAAAAACATTAAAAAATCCAGAAAGAAAAAATTTTAGAAAATAAAACTTTTTACAAAAAGGAAAAGGGAAAAAAATATAAACTCAAGACCACCATTTTAAACTCAAACTACAAAAAGTGAAAAAAAAAGCAAAGTACTTTAAAACATTTAACAATTTTTCCACCTCGCTTGTTTATTAAAATTTTTGTGGGGGCCGGGTTAGGGGGCGGGGTCATCTCATCAGGATTTCGTAAAATTTCCCCCCTACAAAAAAATAAAAAACCCAAATTACTTTTAAAAATTTCCTTCATATAAAAAAAACATAAGAAACTTTTCCCAAAATAAAAAAATATTTTAAAATACAATTTTAAAAAACTGAAAGACTTTTCAACTATAGGCCATTGCTCTTTCTTGGGGGTTTTTCGGGCTTTCTTGGGCATTTTTTCGGGAAAAGTTCGAGGGACAGGGGGGAGAGGAAGTCTTCTTCCCGGGATTTTTTACGAGTAATTTCCGTAAAAATAAAGTAACACTCCATTGTCTGTGAAAACTAATTAATCATCATTTAAAGCGTATTTTAATAACATTTAAACGTTCGATGGCACCAAAAGCACAGCTAGTTAAAATAGTGTTTTCCAATTCAATGATAAAAAAAAAAAAACACCTTATTTTACATTTCTAGCAGCAGTTTGTCCATATTTAATGTTTAAACACAATTATAATATACAAGTATTTTATGCATCAAATTAATCATAATGGACATTAAATTCTCGTACATGTTACCTTAGATTATCATTATACGAGGGCTGTTTTAGAAAGTTTGTACAATTCCTTTATCAAATGCTCAGTAATCATGGAAAGTTTAAACAAATCTCATATCCCTAGTCTTTAAATTTTTTTTATATTTAATCTAAAAAATTCAAAAAGATAAATTTTCAAACTTTTTTTTACAGTTCAAAAAAGCTGTGCAGAGCACTACCCAAAGTCAATACAAAAATGACATCCAAAAAAAGTTCACAAAGTTTACTCCTATCATAGTTCATGTGTCAAATCATTTTGTTTTCAAAGAACATTTACGTCAACAACACACCATAATCAAAGAAATATTAGAAAATAATTCATGCAAAGAATGGTTTCACAAAAACATAGATCAAGTCTAGCATGCCAATTAGTTGTTCTAGTCAAGAAGTTGGTGCATTATCCAATGTGTAGTAAAATTACATATTGAACCATCCAATCAAAAACTTTTAATATAGAATGGTTAACAGATTTAAGCACTGTTGCATGTACAATACAATAGAAAGTTAATTGTTTAATATAGAAACCAGTCTATGATAATTAATTACTATGAGCAGTCTATTACTTGGAATACTGAAATGAAACCAGCCTATGATTTTAAATTTAATATGAAACAAAACCAATCTGTAGTTTTAGACTGATGATTTTTGATTGGATGAAATAATTCCAAAATTAACAAAAACCAGTCTGATGATTTGCATTGAATATTAAACAAGAAAAGACTATGAATTTACATTGAATATTGAACGGAAAAAGTCTATGACTTTGCACTGAATATTGAACAAATTGAGTCTATGACTTCACAATGAATATTGAATGAAACCAAATACATGTATCATGAAAAAAAAAAGAAGTCTCAAATGTTTAATGAACCAAGTATCAGTGACCCATATCATGAAAGGCTTGGATAACATACACTAGAAGTTGAAGATTGTTTTCTTGGCATCTTTGACAAAGGAGGAGGCTGTGGTTTCTGGATACTTGACACCGTCTCATCAGGATTCTCATATTCTTCCTAAAAAAGTAGTTCCAACGTAATTTTTGTAAAAAAAAATAGTTCCTACAAACTTTTCATGGGCAATGTATTAAACCAGTCGTTGGTTTTAAGCTGAAGTAAAACAAACCCATTTTGATATTTTTCTGACCATTTAAAACATCATTTTGCACAGAAGCAAAGAAGACGTTTCTTGACTTTGAAAAAAAAAATAGAAATTTAAAAAAATGAAGGAAATGAAATGTTACAGTAGCAGATTGTATCAAATGTCTACATGAAATCAATATAGTAATATTTTCAGAAGAATTAAGTAAGAGACAAAATTCAGTTACATATAAAGTAAGTCTGAATACAGGAAATTCCTCTACAACCAGTTTCGCAGAGAATAATTTGAACAAAACTGATAATGAAATTTGAAAAAAAAGTTGAAAAAGTCTTTTAAAGATAATCTGAAGAAATGCTACATAACTACATGTATACTTATAATTTGTAAATTTGCAGATGAAAGTATAATGATAGCTGTAACAACAAGTAAAGTTACCTAAATAAAATTTAGAATAATCATGCAGACAAAATTGAAAATAAGACAAATTAAAGTGTGACTTTATCTCTACTAACTTCCTCTACAAGGGCTCGGTTTCTCACCGACCGTGACGGGGTACTGACGATACTGGGGGTGGCGGAGGCTTTCTCTGACCTTGATTTCTTTGGTGGTTTCTTAGCAAACCATGGCATCTGGTTCCTCGTAATTCCTCCTAAAAGTCAATGATAAATTGAGATGTCACATATGATGTCATTGATGATGTCATAACTAACTGTTTGTTCCATGAGTTAATTGGTTGTTAAGGACAAAATTTTAAAACGACACATTATAATATGTTTAACACACTGTTAAGTCTTTATATAAAGTCAAAATTCTATTAGAAAATGTCAGCCAATAGAAACATCAAAGGTCATAGAAATGCAGAAAAATCAAATGTTCCCATAGTTCCTTTGGTAACTGTACATTTACAAGTTAGTTTTTATAGAATCATGCGGCAATATCAATTGAATCAAGACATTCATCGACTGCTTTGATACCAACCATGCTTTGGCTACCGAGCATTTTTTACTCTAAAAGTTAAAAAATTATTACAATACATTAACACCAATTATCCTTCATCTAGCTACAAAATAGGATTTGTTTCCCAAGCCATGCTGACTTTTGATCATCTGTGACCTTACATTGGCTAAACAGCAGTTTAGATGCACACAAACTTATATCAACAAATCAAGCAATTAAGCTCCACCCTTTAAGAACTAGAATGCTTTGTGTAAAAAAGCGGCATGTCTCCCACCTGCGAGAATAACGTAATGGAAACAGGAATGGAAAATGGAGATAAGAAAATTAAAACCGATCACTTTCAATAAGGCGCCAGAGTTCCTCTGAGTGAGAGAAGAATCTCTAAACCTGTAACCAGGATTCAATTTTGTAAACAACCTGGTTATTCAATCACGAGGCAGCGGGAGTCAAAGAAATGCACTGATGGCAAACTCATATTATCACAAAAATAAAAAATAAATTGGTGTGCTGCCCAAATCATCCAAACTAAAGGATTGATGAACGCAACAAACGTTCATATGCAGATTTTTAAACACTACTGAAAGACACTGAAATCTACAATGTAGTACAAATACAGATAACTGAGTTTGGGATGACTCATCGTTCACAAGAAGCCTTCTGAGATACTGAAAACAAAAATCACCACACCAGAGAACGGTAGAGACATTTCGATGGCGGTCCAAGGTCAAAGGTCTAATTGACACTGAATCGTCATATCATATATATTTCACAAACGAATTAAAGGGGAAATTGTGTCTGCTCCATAAACGTCTCAACCCTATTGAAGGATTTGAGGATACTTGAAACAAACTCATATTGCAGATTTTTACATCAATGAAAGACACTAAATAAATGTAGTCAATCAGGATAACGTAGGTGTGGATGGAACTCCACTCGTTTCACAAATCAAGCCCCTGTATATATGCAATAAGTGTGTGTGCGAGTAGCCTTGTTATGATGTTAAGGCGATCTCGTAACAAAGTGGAGGGCAAATGGATGTCTAAATATTATGAATGAGGTCAATGTGAAGTCCTCCTAGAACTATGCAGTTTTCTGTGGTGGAACCAAAGACGGGTAACTTTGAAGGAAAAGTTAAGCGCAAGTGACGGATTTATACTACAAGGTTGATGAATAAGACCAATCATCCAATGAAGTTTGAGGGTGTAGGTCATAAGGAATCTCAGTTATCATCCGGAAAGAGAACATGACCAACGGTCACTGTACCTTGACTTTCCCACTGACCCAACAACAATAGGGACATCTGCTCTATAGAGACCAATCATCCTATGAAGTTTTGAGGCTTGTAGGTCAAAAGAACTTAGTTATCATCCGGAAAACGAGAAATTGACCAACACACTGGACCTGACCTTTGAAACTACGACCCCAAAACAATAAACATTCAATAAGACCGAATCATCCTATAAGTGTGAGGTCTGTAGTCAAAGAACTCTAGTAGCACCGGAAACGAAAATGACCAAACGGTCAGTGTGACCTTGAAACCTTGTGACCTACGACCCTAAAAACAAAGATCATCAGCCCAAAGACCAACACCATGATTGAGGGCGTAGGTCAAAGAGGAAACTACGTTATCATCCGAAAACGAGAAATTGAACAACGGTCACTTGACTTGACCTGACTACTGACCCCAAAACAATAGGATCACTGCTCAATAAGACCATTCGATCCATGAGTTGAAGTAAGTCAAAAGGAACTCTAGTTATTGCAGAACGAAGAATGACAGGACGGACTGACGGACGGACGTTCTCACAGGACAGTAATTATGTGGCTTACCTCTATTGTTCTCTCTATTGTTCTTTTAGCCACGCAAAAGAAAATAGCCACATAAAAGCATACGGATGAATGACATCAAAGAAACCTAGTTGCCTCTAGCCACATAATTACTCTCCTGTGAGTGTCGGGACGGACTGACGGGACGGACCAGGGCAAAAACAATATGTCGTCCCCCCCAGTTTTGAGGGGTAGGTCAAAAGGAACTCTATTATCATCCGGAAATGAGAAATTGACCAACGGTCACTGTGACTGACCTTTGACCTACTGACCCCAAAAACAATAGGATCATCTGCTCTATAAGACCAATCATCCTATGAAGTTTGAGGGCTGTAGGTCAAAAGGAACTCTAGTTATCATCCGGAAACGAGAAATTGACCAACGGTCACTGTGACCTTGACCTTTGAACTACTGACCCCAAAAACAATAGGGATCATCTGCTCAATAAGACCAATCATCCTATGAAGTTTGAGGTCTGTAGGTCTAAAGGAACTCTAGTTATCATCCGGAAACGAGAAATTGACCAACGGTCAGTGTGACCTTTGACCTACTGACCCCAAAAACAATAGGATCATCAGCTCTATAAAGACCAATCATCCTATGAAGTTTTGAGGCGCTGTAGGTCAAAAGGAACTCTAGTTATCATCCGGAAACGAGAAATTGACCAACGGTCACTGTGACCTTGACCTTGTTGAACTACTGAACCCCAAAAACAATAGGGATCATCTGCTCAATAAGACCATTCATCCTATGAAGTTTTGAGAGCTGTAGGTCAAAAGGAACTCTAGTTATCGTCCGGAAACGAAGAATGGACGGACGGACTGACGGACTGACGGCACGGACGGACGGACAGGGCAAAAACAATATGTCCTCCCCCCTGTTTGAGGTTGTAGGTCAAAGGACACTCTAGTTATCATACCGGAAAATGAAGAATTGACCAACGGTCACTGTGACCTTGACCTTTGACCTACTGACCCCAAAAACAATAGGGATCATCTGCTCTAGATATAGCACCAATCATCCTATGAAGTTGAGGGCTGTAGGTCAAAAGGAAACTCTAGTCATCATCCGGAAACGAGAAATGACCCAACGGTCACTGTGACCTTTGACCTTTGAACTACTTATCCGCAAAAACAATAGGGATTCATCGGCTCAATAAGACCAATCATCCTATGAAGTTTTGAGAGTCGTAGGGTCTAAAGGAACTCTAGTTATCATCCGGAAACGAGAAATTGACCAACGGTCAGTGTGACCTTGACCTTTGACCTACTGACCCCAAAAACAATAGGGATCATCAGCTCTATAAGACCAATAATCCTATGAAGTTTGAGGGCTGTAGGTCAAAAGGAACTCTAGTTATCGCCGGAACGAAGAATGGACGACGACGGACGGACAGACGGGAACGGACGGACTGACGGACGCGACAGGCCAAAAAACAATATGTCTCCCCCCGAGGTGACGCGGAGACATAATTATTGGCAAGAAACCATTATTCTATAATTAGCCATTGTGACCTTTGACCTCTGATTGCAAAAATGTAATCCCTGACCATGGTTTTTACATAAGCATCAATTTACACATCAATTAATTAAACCTGTCAATCCAAACTTATGTTATTAAGTAGAAACAATGAAAACAACAATAAATAAACACCACAAACAGAATCTATACCTCTGTTCTGCGGGGGTTAGGCAGGGTCTTCTAGGACCGGTTGGTATGGGGGGGAGGTTTAATGGCAACTGTGCTGTCCCGGATCTTCATACTCCTCCTAAATGAAAGTGAAAAAACTCAGAGATGTACTGTTGCCATGGTAATCTCACATATTCTTTAAAATGACTTTTCTGTAAACTGGCCGATAGACTCCTCGCATGAAAGAATCCCTGTTGCTGTCCCTTTCGGGATTCAAACTGAAGTCAATGACTTTAACCACTTGGCCCTGATGCCCAAATGAAATAACATTTTGAAATGACAGTGGACATAATACCTAGATCTATACACCTTTATCAAGTCCCCGTGAAAGGGCACTCTGACTGAGCCCATCCTAGAAATTTGACTGACCAGTCCACATAAATATCCCTTGAAATTTGATCATTATGCTGTTAACTACCAATATCAATATAAATTATTAGGGGATAAATTAAGTGGCTTAATGCATGAAAAAAAAAAATAATTATTGAGGGACGAAAATAATGCACCAAAAAACAAATCAAAAAAAACACATATACGCTATCGGTATCGCTGGTCAGATGAGTCAGTAGGTAGCGCTGGTGGTTTCCTTTGAGCAATCGGCAGCTGTTTATTCACTTGTATTATTCACTTGTGTTGGTCGGTGTGTAGTATAAAGGGCCGCCATGAAAAATGTGCGACTTTAAGCTAGCATCTGGGTCCTCATAATCCTACCAGATTATAAAATAAAAATATTTTCGAACATCATTTTCACAAAATAAATGGTATATACAAGATAATGAATTTAACAAATAAAGGGTTTGATACTGAAATACTGAGGTTAATGTTAACATGCGAATTGTTTTTATGCACTGAATTTCCCTTAGTGATGTCCACATAATTTATGAAGTGTTTTTAACTAAAATAGTTTTAGCTTTAAGCTGCATGCCTCCAGATGTGTTAAAATATTTCAATAAAATCAAGCATTAGAAAATGTACTAGGAAGACTTTAGGAAAAATAAAAGATTCAAGTAATAATTGACCTGTAATGTGCAATTAATGGCTGATTTTTCAGTAATCATATCTATAATTCTACTGCGTTACTAACGCAGTAAGGGCTACTTTTGCATATTTTTACCTCTTCTTGGTAATTAACATAGAATGAAAGTGCCATTGTTAATGTGCAAATTGCTTCTTTTTGGTTACTTAATAACTTTATACTTTAAAATCAGTTTTCAAATTTTTCATGAAAATCAGCATAAATCTGTAGATGTGCTGCTTTAAGCTCCAGTCAAAGTGTGACATACAATTAGTGGACAGAGTGCGAGACCAATGCCAAACATAAATTATATCCCTCCACCTTTAGATAATAAATGAATAAGTCAGGTGCAACAATGACACAAAATTTGTAAACAATGAAACAAAAGGTGCTACCTTTGACAGTAATACCAGATTCCTTTTATAAAAATATACACAAATGCTATCTAACTTAATTCAACAGCAATGTATCTTACCTCATTTGGTCCATCTAAATCAGGCACAGGAGCAGGGGGTCTTCCTCTGACATCTGGGGGCTGAGGTCTCCCTCTAGCATTAGGAGGTGTAGGTCGCCCTCTACTATCTGGGACTGGGGGTGGGAGGCGATCCCTAACAGACGGCAAAGGTGGCCCACTTACCTCATCAGGTTCCTGGTAAAATTCTTCCTGTAAAAAAAGCAGCAATTTTTTTTTTCAAAAACTATCAAATATAGACCAAAAAATTCATGAAATAATGCAAAAATTATAAAACTAGATTTAAGAACAAAAAGAATTTGGTACAAGTAAATTTTTATAGCTTTGGTAACTGCCATTTTATTACAAAACCCTGTTTTCATCAATGAATTTTTATCTGTAGCCTTGGTGGAAACAACTTGCTAAACTCATGTAACAAGAACAGGCCAAGACCAGCTGGCACATCCATGATGTCTGATCAGGGTCTACACTGCTCCCTATATTTAGTCAGTACATATTTTGAAACTTTTCTTTATACTGATGAATGGTGTTGACCAGATTGAAAGTGAAAGATACTACAAAATCTTACACCAGTGCCGGTACAAACTGGAGCATCAAGCTCAAGGGTAACTGTTTATAGCAATAACGGGGCTCTGCCAAGTTTCTGCTAATCAGTTATCCGAGAGCTAGATATTCAAGTCTATGGAGACAGCCAGTGTTTGATTCTTTTTCTTGCATATTACATATTAATGATATTTTGAAAGGATATTACAAAAAAACTAGTACATTTATACTGTTATCCTAAGAACGCATTTCATTCATAAAAGGTGCATGGGAATAATGTCATTTAACACACGCTACTTGTCATACATGGTGTTATAACAAAGGTTTTTCCAGCACCAGTGTTAACAGTAGATAATCCTGTCTGATATGCAAGATTACATCTGTGCAAGCAGACGGAGAAAGTGAAAATGAAAACATGTAAGCATCAGGATACAAACCTCTTCTGGTTCTGGTTCCGGTCGTGCCGGGAGCTGTCTGTGCGGTCTGGAACTGACCGGAAGTTGTACATCTCTTCTATCTATATAACACAACAATAATAAATGTTTTATCTTACAATATATGTGTTTACATGTATTGATACACCAAATATACATCGTTATGATACACCAATTATACATGTTATGATACACCAATATACATGTATGATTACACCCAATATACATGTATGATACACCAATATACATGGTATGATACACCAATATTCATGTATGATACACCAATATACATGTATGATACACCAACGATATACATGTATGATACACCAATATACATGTATGATGCACCAATATACATGTATGATACACCAATATACATGTATGATACACCAATATACATGTATGAATACACCCAAGTATACATGTATGATACACCAAATATACATGTATGATACAACAATATACATGTTATGATACAACAATATACATGTATGATACACCAATATACATGTATGATACAGCAATATACATGTATGATACACCAATATACATGTATGATACAACAATATACATACATGTATGATACAGCAATATACATGGTATGATACAACAATATTACATGTATGATACAACAATATATATGTATTGATACAACAATATACATGTATGATACACCAATATACATGTATGATACAACCAATATACATGTATGATACAGCAATATACATGTATGATACAACAATATCGGTACATTTTGTATGATACAGCAATATACATGTATGATTACACCAATATACTTGTATGATTACAACAATATACATTTGTGTATGATTACAACAATTATTACTTGTGTATGATACACCAATATACATGTATGATATACAGCCAATATACATGTATGATACAACAATATACTTGTATGATACACCAATATACATGTATGATACAGCAAATATTACATGTATGATACACCAATATACATGTATGATACAGCAATATACATGTATGATACAACAATATACATGTATGAATACAACCAATATACATTGTATGATACAACAATATACATGTATGATACAATAATATACATGTATGATACAGCAATATATATGTATGATACAACAATATACATGTATGATACAACAATATACATGTATGATACACCAATATACATGTATGATACACCAATATACTTGTATGATACACCAATATACATGTATGATACAACAATATACATGTATGATACAATAATATACATGTACAATTTACATGTGCATGTATAATGTAATACATTGTACATAATGATGTTATAACATGTACTATAACAGGACTTTATGTACATGTAGGTAACCTTTATAAAGTTTATATACATGTACATATATATATTTCCTGTAAACTGATTTTGAGCAATGAATAGGTTGGAAGTTTGTTAGGAAATTCTGGTATTTCAATATATAATACAAAGATCGAAGCACCAAAAGAATAATAGTACTTAATGTTTCTATTTTTTTTGAAGTCATAAACTAAAGATATTTGTTGAAATTAAAGGTAACTGCTAAACAGACAAACTGAAACACTATCCAGTGCATAAAAGGTCAAGTGCACTGGAAGTGAACTTCAAAGTGCATTTTTAAGTGCACCAAAACTGCATGTGTACATGTAGCGGACACCAAGTACACTTTGTGTAACGATTTGTGCGAATTCCGTTGTATTGTGCCTTGCTCTATATTGGTGGCGAAGGTTTATCAATTTCAGCAGAATAATCCTATAGGGGTTAATTAAAGATTTTCCAACTGATTTCCTTAATTGTTCCAAAATAAATCCACTGACATAAAGGCTTTCTGACAGCGAATATTCTTCATGTTTTTTTCTCTCGTTTCTTTAACTTCCATTATGACCAAAGTATAAATGAGATTTTACAAGTTTTCAATCCAGTTGCAGTTTGAAAAAAAATCACAAAAATTTAACAAAATAAAAAAATATGATAAAATTTAACAAGACTATATATAAACTGTATAAAAATATCATCTGTTAAACACTTACTTGGTCTAGGAGGCGCCACTGGGTTGTTCTCTATTGGCTTGTTATAAGAATCTCCATTGTTATTATCTGAAATTAATAAATATATATATTGTTAGAAAATACAAAAGCTTTCCAAACAGAAACACTCACCATTTTCCTCAGAGCTAGATAATAAATTACACTTTGATTTAATGACCATTTTTATGTTTTGCTATTACTGGAGCATGACAGGTGGAACTCATTAAGGTGCATTCACCAGTACTCATATGAAGTTTTCAATGCAATAGCTTTGTTTAAGGTTACATAATGATGAAGTAAAAACTTGACCAAGACTGTTAACAATGTCATTGCTGCCAGGTAGGTCATGCCATAACATTGACCGCTCTTTCTTCAGAAAGTGGAGCTAAAAAAATACATTTTCCACTATTAAAGGAACTCCATGGAGCTCCAAAAGCCTGAAAGCATAAAATTTGAATTTCTTACAAACATCAGCTGTGTCACTTTAAACTGAAAAATATGCAAAAGATATTTAAGAAGTATACTCTGAATAAATTGAAAATTATATTTTTGCGCTATTTTAGCCCAATTTGAGTGAACATTAAGGCTGCAATGCTTTTAAATTTTGAATTATTTTTCACAATTAAAATAATTATTCTGGAATAAGGGAGTAAGTGAACGATCTGAAAAATTGCACAAAAGTTATTGGTCTAGACCTTCATCAGATGGAAAGCTAATCAAGAAAAGTTATTTCCAGTCCTATCAATTGTTAAAAATATCAGGTGTGTTCCTTTAACTTTTGTCTGCCTATATTTCTCTACTTGTATTTGAGCAAATTTATTAGTATTGATTTTGTTCTCATAATAAAGATATATATTATATTTTCAAATCTACATATTGCCTGTCCTCATTTAAATACCATCCTGGTTTATTTAAACATTTTAAATGCTACATGAAACAAATTTTAAAACTGTGAAATGTTACAAGAAACAACAACAAATAAACATTTAACTTACAAGGTCCGAGCTCCTCATAAACGCTTCTCCTGTATATTTTAGTTTTTCTTCGATTTCTTTTTATATTATCAAATATTTTTGACTGTTTCCGTAATTTAACATAAGTTACATCTTTTTCTGATCTTGACAATAATTCCTTCACTTTGGAAATCAGAAACATTTTCCAAACTTTTCAATTAGATTCTTCTTATTACCAATCACTCAGTTAGGAAAAAAATTACTATGTCCAGTCCTATAATATTTCTATATTTTGGAGTCTTAAAATAAAAATTCCAGTCAAAGAAGTTAAAAGAAAAGCCATTTACAAGATGAATACAGAAAGTGGAAAAGCAATTAAGTTATATCGCCTTAAAGATTTAATTTTAAATCCAGAAAGTGAAAAATTAAATCAATTAAGTTATAACTAATTAAGTTAAATTTTTTTTTTCTACATTTGAAATAATTTATAGACCTAATTAAGCTTTATTTTTATTACACACTTTAAACTTTCTTCTCACATAATATCAGATTAAAATATTTTACATGCAACATCAGAATTTAACTATCACTTATTATAAATAAAAAACATGTATAAACCTGTCAGAGCTTGATGTGTGATTAAAAGATGTCTGTAACAATAGGTCACTTGCTACAATTGAAGGTATGTTGTTCCTTTAATTTTTCACAGTTTTTACTACCATATCATAGTTAAATCAGCCATTATTATATAATATAGTGAAACTTTTCACATACTTTGTGGAATTATCACACATTTGTTAATTACTCTTTTATTGAGAAGAATTTATAGGATTTATATGACAACAGTATGAAAGAAAGAGAAGAAAGAAAATAAAGGGGAATGACTAACATTTTTTAACAAATTTTACATTACTGTGAAACAACAACAAATAAACATAAATACAGTTGAGTTCACACTAAAGGTTACACAAAGTGCACTAGGAGTGCACTAGATGTGCACTACTAGTGCACTTCAAAGTGCACTAGTAGTGCACTACTAGTGCACTTCATAAGTGCACTTTGTAGTGCACCAGACCTATTATATGCATAAAGCAGTTACCTTTTATTTCAATGACTTTTACAAAAAGATAGATAAATATTGATATATGTATAATAGTTTTTCATAATAAATTTGAAGTTGTGAATATTGGATTTTGTAAAATATGGCGTAAAATATTAGAACAATAATTTTTCAAAGTCATTAATTTTACTGATTTTTAAAATAAGTAAATATAACTAATTATAACTTTAATGTTGATAAGTGCATAAATAAACAAAATAAATTGGCATTTAATATGATTCTATTTTATTATAATCTGGTAATGAAATATGAAACACTGAAATGCAATCAAGTTTTTTTTGTTTTTTGTTGTTGGTTTTTTTGTTGGTTTTTTTTTTTTTTTTTTTTGGGGGGGGGGGGGGGGGGGGGGGCAAATTTATACCAATTTATCATTTTATCTCATTTATAATTTCTCTTACCTTCTCAAACTGAGATTCACCTAAGATTTATCAGAAATGATATATGTTATTTTAAAATAAATATTTATATATTTAAATGGT